ATGGCCATTGGTCGCACGTTCGAAGAGTCCTTCCAAAAGGCTATTCGACAAGTCGATCCTCGCTACGTGGGATTCCAGGGCGACAAGTTTGATGATTTGGACGACGTCCTGCGTAACCCTACAGATCGGAGATGGCTCGCTGTGGGCCAAGCCATGATCCACGAGAATTATTCTGTGGACAAGATTCATGACTTGACCAAGATTGACAAGTGGTTCCTTCACAAGTTGCAGAATCTCAAGGATACCATGACTGAAATCCAGGAGATCGGCACACTTAACGGGCTCAAGCATGAGCTGATGCTGAAGGCCAAGAAGCAAGGATTCTCCGACAAGCAGATTGCAATGTATGTCAACTCGACTGAAGGAGAAGTCCGAGCTCGTCGCCAAAAATTCGGGATCAGGCCTTGGGTGAAGAAAATCGATACACTGGCGGCCGAGTTCCCAGCAGACACGAACTATCTGTATACCACCTACAACGCCTCTTCGCACGATGTCACCTTCGAGGACAAGGGAACCATCATTCTCGGTTCTGGAGTCTACCGTATCGGTTCCTCCGTCGAGTTCGACTGGTGTGCTGTTAATGCCACCTTGTCTTTGCGCAACATGGGCCAAAAGACTGTGATGATCAATGTAAGTCTGTTCTTCTGCCATGCCCGAGTGGACGCACCTGCACGTTTGAGCTCGGAGCTTGGCTTAACAGCTAGTTCTGGATCTGGGGTCCTAATGCGCTCTGGGAGACCTTTTCCCAGCCAAATGTTTTCTTCACTTTTTACAGAATCTATGCTAACTTCCCTCAAAGTACAATCCCGAGACCTATAGTACTGATTTTGACACGGCCGACAAGCTCTATTTCGAAGAGCTATCGTATGAGCGAGTGATGGACATCTAGTTCGTTCTCCTTCTCCCCAAATGATGGTACAAGCTGACGATGTCCCGTAGTGAGCTCGAGAATGCATCGGGCGTGGTGGTCAGTGTCGGGGGCCAACTACCCCAGAACATTGCGCTCCGACTGCAAGAGGAGGGCAACGCCAATGTGCTAGGCACCGACCCAGTGGACATCGACAAGGCGGAAGACCGGCACAAATTCTCACAGATCTTGGATTCAATTGGTGTCGATCAACCAGCCTGGAAAGAGCTGACCTCTGTTGCAGACGCGGAGGCTTTCGCCGACTCTGTCGGTTATCCCGTTCTTGTTCGACCTTCTTATGTGCTTTCGGGCGCTGCTATGTCAGTCATCTACACCCAGGACGAGTTGAAAGACAAACTGGAGTCTGCTTCGGCCGTCTCTCCGGATCATCCAGTGGTCATCACCAAATTTATCGAGGGCGCCCAAGAAATCGACGTGGACGCTGTCGCATCCAAGGGAGAACTCATTCTGCATGCAGTGTCTGAGCACGTCGAGTCCGCGGGGGTCCACTCCGGAGATGCCACCCTGGTTCTGCCTCCTGCGAACCTTGATGACAAGGTGATGGCTCGCGTCAAACAAATTGCCGAGAAAGTCGCCAAAGCGTGGAGTATTACGGGACCCTTCAACATGCAAATCATCAAGGCTGATAGACCTGGCGAGGAGCCTGCGTTGAAGGTCATCGAGTGCAATCTCCGTGCCTCTCGATCGTTCCCCTTTGTGAGCAAGGTGCTGGGAACCAATTTCATCGACACGGCAACCAAAGCGTTGGTGGGTCAAAACGTGCCCGAACCTCGCGACCTCATGGCCCAAAAGCGCGATTATCTTGCCACTAAGGTTCCTCAATTCTCTTGGACTAGATTGGCAGGAGCTGATCCCTTCTTGGGCGTGGAGATGAGCAGCACCGGTGAGATTGCATGCTTCGGCAAGGATTTGATCGAAGCATATTGGGCGTCGCTCCAGTCTACCATGAACTTCCGGATGCCAGAACCTGGCGAGGGTATCCTTCTTGGCGGGTCAACCGAGCTCCCTGAGCTGCCGAAGATTGTGGAATATCTCCGGCCACTCGGGTACAAATTCTATGCCGCAAGCAATGAAGTGAAGGATCATCTGGCAAAGTCCGGAGCGTCCATTGAAGTCATCGAAATCCCCACGACGGACAAGAACAAGCTCCGACAAGTTTTCCAAAAGTACGACATCCGAGGAGTCTTCAACATCGCCAAGACTCGAGGTAAGACACTGGTGGACGAGGACTATGTGATGAGACGGAACGCCGTGGACTTTGGCGTGCCTCTATTCATGGAACCCAAGGTGAGTAACTCCTGTGCTGAGGCTGACGAGCGACAAACTGACAAAGCATTGCAGACGGCCTTGCTCTTCGCGCAGTGCATGAACGCCAAGCTACCGCGAGCCGAAGGCATCCCGCCAGAAGTGCGAACCTGGAGCGAATTCGCCGGAAACAGGATGATGTAATTGAACAACAGTTTCAAGGTCAGACGTGTCTGTGGTAATATGCCAGAGTTGTCACGCAACGGTTCAGCTGCTCCACCGGGAAGACGGAGTCCGAAGTCACTGGAGGCGAAAAAGTTTTTAGACTAGAAGGATGATATGATAGGCGTCAGTCGGGTGTTGATGGTCACATGTATCCTTCTGGGAAACCAGGGATCCCAGCGCTGTGGCGGCTAAGTCATTGATCCAAGACGAGCGAGGTTCAGGGACCTTACACAGGAATAGTGTGGTACGTATGTACGGATTACTTGTGTAGGAGTTGAAAGGCATGACCCCGGACGACGGCACGGCCTTGCCGTCGACCAGGAAGAGAGAGAGAGAGAGTGTGTGTGTGTGTGTGTGTTTGTTGTAGAGTGCCTTTCGCCCGGTGTTACGAGGAGGTATACAGAAGCAATGTCTGATGCCGCGTTATGCGGAGTACTGCATGTCGATACGAGTACAACGGTCGAGTGCAGGCAGGTGAGTGTCAACAGCAGCCGCCCGAGACGCCCACTACGCCCAATACATACCTAGGTACCTGGTACTCGTACGGGAAAGCGTGGCCTCCACGAGGCCGGCTGCCTGCTCCTCTGCCCCAATTCGAACAGTTTGATTGGTCCTCGGTGAAATCTCGCCTCTCCACCATACGTAGTATGTGCCCCGCGGTTTCAACTGTTACTGTGTATCGCCTGAGTATGCACGGACAAGCCCACGCGACGGATTTCCAGACGCGGCAAAGTCTGATGATGGCCCGGGTAATCCAGCCTCAGTTACAGTACCGACGGTGCCTGCCGTTCACAGGCATGTCATATATTAGCCACCGGTCGCGATACGTGCACTGATCAACAACACAAGACCCACTGGCTGGGTTTTTCGGGCCTGGAGGTCCTCCTCTGTGTGATCAGATCAGCGAGGGCGCGAGTGCGCGAGTGTCTGTTCTGTGTGCCATGGAAGGAAGAAATCCATATATGTGCAAGGCGCGGGAGCGTGAGGAGAGAAAGATTTAATTATATAAGCGGTGCCTCAACGTGAAGAGAAAGAGATTACTTAGCTGTGATCTTGTAATCCTTCCATCGCTTCGTCTCCGCAACTCGAACGTGACATAGGGATCAGTGATCAGTGATCACCCACTGTACTGAGTATACGTTCGACTCTCAGACAGACAGCCCATTGTCACCAAGCGCGGGAAGTCAAGAAGCTCAATACCCAAGTACCTCCCAAGCAAAGCCAACATGACGTACTGTAACATGATTCACCGTTCTGGTGGTCCCTCCCGGAGAAAGAACGCGAGCCTGTGAATGCCTCGCAAAGGGCACCCTCGAAAACCCGGACTCTCGCCAGATACCAGATCACCGAGGTGGCCCGCACGCCCGTCTACCGTGACGCCTCGGAATGGAAGAGCTAAGTATCGCAGTCTGTCTGCTAGGGAGGGAGGGTGTCGAGAGGCAGTCTGGGAATGTCTCTTCTGCTCAAGGATGATTGTATTCAGTCTAGAGAGTGCAACTACCGGCTACGGACGATGCACCCGGGCAACCTCTTGTGATAGGCAGGCACTCCCAAGTGCCTCCTGCCACCACAGAGGGAACCTACATTTTCACGAGTAAGTCCGCCTCGCTTACAGTACGAACATGTACCTCGTCCATGGGAAGAGAAGCTACGTGTTGTGGACACCGGGCTTACTTGGTACTCACGTTTCGCATGTGCAGCCTGGTCGGGCGGTTTAATTACAGTAGCTACCGATCGAAAGTTCATCGAGATTTCTGCTAGAAGTGCACCTTTGGGTGTCTATCTAGTCTGATGAACGTATGATTGATTCCAAGTCTAGAATGCGGCTACCAGCTAGCTATAGATGGGCGACGGCACCGGTCGCTGGGGCAACCTCAAGTGGTAGGAACACTGGGTGCCTTCTGCCACCACAATTTTGATCAAAGCCACGCACCGACGGGGAGTCTAAATGCATCACGAAACCGGCACGTCGTTCGCTAACGTCGACCTCACAAAACAACGTGATGTGGGCAAAATGAAGGCCACCATCCCCCATCGTCACGCAACGATTCACCATCAAGGGTGTGCGGTGTGCGTTGTGCGGCGTGTCCGTCGACATCGAGTGCGACTGCCGAGATAGAGTATTTTCTTTGCCAAAACCGAAGACGGAGAGTGGACGCCTCAGGTTGTCAGGTTCAAGTTTGTCTTACGAGAAATGGATCGACATCCCCGGTGTACCGGTCCAGACTCATTCGGGAGACCACAATGTGTACCGAGTAAGGAGTACAGAGCTGGTGCATCCAGCGGATGAGCCGGGGGTAGTGGGCCTGCGAGCAGAATGGGTCCAAGAAGCTGCTACTGTAGATTCGAGAGGGCGGTCGAGAAGTGCTCTACTGACCACGCACAGTCGGTATACTGTCTACTGTCTACTTTACAGTATGTGCGAAGTAGACTGTGCACTCTCCACGGGTATGCGAAAGCGGGCAAGCTCTGTTGGCGCGACTCTGCCTCTACATACCTACATACCTCGTATCGAGCTGCGTAATTCCTGGTTCAGTACTATGTAGCCAGCACAGTCACGCCTACGTCCCAAAAATCCAGCCTACTTGATTCCTCGTCCCGGTCACAACTTCACCTTTTCACCACCCTCTTCGGACGAACTCCCGCTCCGGATGTTCTCACCCATGGACCCCTTGCCTCCCGCCATGGCATGCTCTTCCTTGCCTTCCAACGTCATGCCGGCAGGATGGCTGTCGCTGTTGTGCTCCAGATCCTCGTACGGCCTCCAGAAATCCTTCTTGCCCTTTGCCGCGCGCACGAGCCACGGGGGCAACAAGCCGCCCTCGATCTTGTACGTCCAGGGGTCCTTGTATTCCTTATCTGCGGGCCTGATGCGGTTTCCTGAGATCTTCTCGACGATCCAGACAACGGTGTTCAGGACGATGTAGCTGATGATGCCGGCAATCAAGCCGTAGGCGATCGAGTAAGTAAACGGCATGATGGCGATGGTCAGGAAAGCAGGAACCGCGTCGCCGATGTAGCGCCAGTTGATATCTGCGGCAGCTTTGGCCCTGCGCAGGACTGTTAGTACGGAGCGAGACAGGAAGACCACCGCAACAACTTACATCAACGACCCGACAATGATCAGCACGCATCCTGTGGCGTATGGTGGGATGGATGCAAATATGGGTGCGAAGAAAATTGAAATGAAGAAGCACAGCCCAGTGGTCATCGCCGTCAGCCCTGTCGCGCCGCCTTCGGAGATACCGGCACCGGACTCAATATATGCTGTGACTGGGGGTGTTCCGAACAAGGCACCGATGGAGATTCCGAACGCGTCGACCAAGTAGGCGACAGCTGAACCCTCGAAGTCTTGTGTCTTTTCATCGATAGCTCCGCAGAAACGGGCCATCGAGTAGAGAGTACCGGTGCAGTCCAAGATGTCGACGTAGAGGACTGATGTATCGTCAGCATCCGAAGGCATTAATTGAGACAGACACTTCGGCGGGAAGAGTCCTTCACGCTAATCTGGCTCCAAGGTGACTTACATGTAATGAAGGCGAGGCCGAATTGACCGCCATACCCAGAAATGTCCCATTCCTGCACCACTAGGATCTTTTCAATGGGATGGAAGGTCACGACTTTCTTGAAGAAATCAAACATGCTGTCTCCCAAGTCGGTATACGGGAAGTAGGTCACTGGCTTATGGTTAGCACCTGGGTGTTTACGTAAGGAGCAGAGGCCAGAATCAGTGCTGAACTTACCTTCGGTTCCTCGAGGCCAAGAGATGATGCTGACAAGCAAGATCCCGAAGATGATAGCACCCTTGACGCGGAAAAGCATCAACAAGACCGTGAAGAGACCACCACAGAAGATCCCGATCCACATGGTAGGGTTGCGCATCTTGTAGGCTGATGGGCAAACCCCGGTTTCGTCCAGGAACTCAGGCTTGCAGCCCGCCAACTCGAGAGGGGTAGCTTGTGCGCCTGTGACGGCGCCAATGCCAGCACTGTACGTCAAGCCGATCAACGTCAGATACAAGCCGATGCCAACACCAGTGGCGAGTTTGATGGAGGCTGGAATGGCGCGGGCCAGCCACTGTCGAAGACCGAAGATGGTGAGTCCCACAAAGACGAATCCTTCCACGAAGACAGCCGTGACAGCAACTTCATATGGTACGAGCCCGGATCCGTGATATCCAACCACAGTATAGGCAAAATAGGCGTTCAGGCCCATGCCTGGCGCCAGAGCAATGGGCATGTTGGCGAAGAGACCCATGCAAAACGTGGTGAGGGCAGAAATTGCGGCGGTGGCGGTGACCAAGTCGCGCTGGACACCGGCGACACAGATCATGTAGTCGGGGTCGCTGTCGCACAAGTCGGGGCTGTCGGGCGGGCAAACGCAAGTGCCACCCGACTGGGAGACGATGGTCGCGTTGACTGAAATAATGTAGGCCATTGCGAAAAACGTTGCTAGGCCGGCACGGATTTCGGTGAAGAAATATGATCCCTTTCGTTCCTTGGGGTGACCGGAGCCATCCAGCCGGAAGCGTCTGCCCACAAAGGAGCGCGCCACGGCCATGTTGGCGTTATGGATCATCTCGTTGATACCCATGGCGGCAAGGTCGCTGCACAGAGCGCAGGAAGTCGAACAAGAACAGATCGAAGAGGGGACTGCGCTTGACGTCGGGCGACAGGTCAGGGAGACAGACCGTCGTTGATATAGTTGGACAGCGAGGCTGAAGATCAAACCAAATGACACGCTGAATGAGGGTTCGAGATAAAGCTCTCGCTTGCAAAAGCTGTGCAGCATGGGGAGGGGCACGCGAGCGACCGCTGCGAGTGGGTGGAACAGACTCAGGCCAAGACGAGAGGCGGCTTCCGCTTGACCCGAATTCGACGAGGTGCCCTTGGCGACGGGTCTGGTGGCCTTGGCCATGATAGGGCTTCAGACCCTTGTTGGTCCATTGCTTCTGCTGCTGTCGGAGAGCGGCGATGGTCTCGATCTGTTCGCGACACTGTCACATCCGGGCTTCCATGTGTCGACCGAAGCTTCGGAAGGGTCCTAGGGCTAGGCTCTCCACCTTGACCGAGGTACGCGCTGTGCTGTGTACATTGATTGACATCGGACAGATCAGGCACTCCGTTCTCCGTCCTACCGTGTCGCAATATCCCGATCTTTCAGATATGCCGTGTCCTCATCGGCGAACGGCTGTACCTCGTAGTATGAAAGTGTTGTACAATGGTACAACATATCTCTCTGTGATCTGCTGGCGTAACTGTATTTGTCCGTGCTTCAGATCACTCCAGAGATAGCTTTATCAGCTGTGCTAGTATTGCGAAGACACTGCAACCTTCATGGGATGCATGTACGCAGCTCGCTGATATCGCACGTAGTACGGAAGGGATCTGGAGGCGAAGGTGTTTCGGTTGGCGTGAGGTCTGTCACAGAGACCGGACTCCGGTGCACTTCATCAATCTTCCACGGAAAGAGGGCCTGAAAATGAGTAATACGGCAAAGAGACGAAGCAGTCTCTATGCTGGTATGATCATAGTCAATGCCAACGTTAATTTGTTGCTGAAGATATGTCAATGATGAAGAAGTGAGACACGCCTCGCTACGCCTCGGCCTACTTTCCATACATCTCTAGCCACCCTTTCCTCTTTTCCTCTTTTCCTCTTTTCTTCATGAGATTTCGTTTCTTCGGCGCCAGACAGGACAGCAAACAGCCTGAACAACTCGTCGTCTCCTTCTGGGATGACTCATCCGGCGACATAAGAAGCCTGCTACATGCGTCGACTCCATCCTGCTACGGTCGAGAGAAGAGCCGGCGACGCCAGAAGATCGTCCTTCTAGGGCGGCACAAGAGACAAAGATGCCAGGAGAGTGCGAGGAATTCGTCATTTCTATACATATTGCATTTGTGATTATTGGAGAATGGACGGCGTATGAATGTTCTCTTCTTGGAAAGCTAGCATACCGCCGTTTCGCGCAGCCGAGACTCGCACCAAGTCCGTGCAGCAGTGCGGCAACAATGACCAGGTAATGAAACCGACTCTTGGGACACGCTGCTCTAAATCGAACAGCTTCATGCCTCAAGCTCCTTTGTCTCCTCAGTAGATATACCGGAAGTTCAAGTTCTCCCTGTCGGTCAGATCGCCAAAAGCTGTGGCGTCGAGATCCCGCTCCTCGTTGCCTTGGATCTTGTCGCGTCGAGCATTTTCATACTTCATCAACATCCAGAACGTGATGATGACGACAACTTCAATGAGGTGACTACGAACATATGTCAGCCAGGTATAACCTTGAAAGAAATAGGAAGCGACTGCGGCAAGCCAGCACAGGCGCACTTGTCAAACGTACCTGACGATCATGCTCCAGATCCCCAGCTTGTAGCTGGGAGCCTGATCAGTCTTGTAGAAGAAAGGACCGGCAATGCTAGTAGCGTCCAAGTCAGCATCACGGGCAAGAGAGTTCGGGGAATCCAAAGGTGAAACTCACTTTCCGGTACAGTACCCCAAGAATAACACGGCATTTGTAACCACCTTCTTTGTATGGCCGGCCGTGTTTGCAATTTGTAGAGACAAGATCATCACAAAAGCGGCGTTATATGGCCCGGTCAGGAGATAGCAGAAATACCGGCCGACATGGTGCTTTTCATCCACGAAGCAAAGACCGAATGCGCCGGCGATGTTCGGGCACAGGAAGAGGAGGATAAATTTGCACCGATTGTTGTTCGGGAAGCGATCATTCAAGAATACGCCTGAGAGAGGTGTTAGCCCTCAATGCGATTGAGAGATGTGGGAGCGCATGGACATACATGTCAAGATCGCAACGATGATGAAGCACCCGTATGGGATCTGCATCAGGGTCGTGACAAGGGTCGAAAAGCCGAAACCTGGGGGGATTGTCAGCTTCGAATTCCTGCAAACAAGCTTGGTGGGTACCCTTGATGATGAGTGTGCCGAAATTTGAGATGCCACCATTAGGAATATTTCCGACAACTCCCAAGATGAAGAACAAATATAGCTTGATGTCGGAGAATGCCTCCATCACTTGGTACGCCTTGAGGTGCTTGTTCTCGATACCCGTCTGGTTGCTCTTCAACCGCTCGACGGCAATTCTCTTCTCGCGGTCATTCAAGAACTTGGCCGTGACGGGGGAGTCTGGCATGAAGATGGCAATGACAATGCCCCATACACAGCAGAGCGCGCCAATAATGATGAACTCGTACCGCCACGATGCTAACGCACCTCTGATGTGACCGATGGCGTAGCCGAGAAGACCACCGAGGGCGATTCCGAGACCGTTAGCTGTGTACCATAAACCGATGCGCAGTGGCTGCTCTCGTCTTGTGTACCACATCACGGTGATGAGCATGAAGGCCGGATCGGAGCACGCTTCAGCTGCCCCCGCCAAAGCTCTGAGGACACTGAGCGTGGCAAAACTGTTGCACGCGGCCTGGAGCATCAAGAAGAAGCCCCACATAAAGATGCTAACCAAGGTCAGTATATTGAATGTGACTGCTAACCGGGTTGATTGCATCCAACGTACTTGAAGCCGAGGTATTTACCAAGCGGCAGTCTTTGCATGAGAAAATTGGTGGGAAATGCCCAGGCGAGAAATCCGAAGTAAAATAGACCTGGCAGCGTTAGGATCGTGCTGTCCCGCAAGCTCCTCCTTCCACTTACTGCTGAGCCAGCTGTATTGCGTCCCATGGAGGTTCAAGTCCTCACGGATGCCGAAGATAGCCGCATACGAAAGCGTCGTCTTGTCAATATAGAAAAATGCATAACAAACTCCAATCAATGGGAGAATCAATAGGTCGATCTTCCGGATGAGCTTCTTCTCTTCTGCAGCGTCCACAGGGATATGCAGGTCATCGGCAGTTGCGAAGAGTGCCAACGCCACGTCACCATCTTGCTTCTTGGACTTGGACGAGAACTGGAATTTGTGTCCCGTGGGTGGGAGATTGAGACTCTCAATCTCATTGTGTGCAGTGATGGTCTTGTCGTCGACTCTGTCAGCCATCTTGTCCGTCGGCGAGCTCGAATTGCCCCTGGATTGCGAGTCTTATTGTGCTCTGTCCGTTGTGAAGCTGCGTTTTCGCAAATCCCGCGGCGAGACAGTCTGTCAGTCACGGCACAGCAGTGAATGAGGCGGAAAGGGAAGACAAACAGAAGAGAGAAAGAAAATACCACAGATCATCGTCCACATACCCCCGACCCGTGGCCGAGCCGACGGCATGGCGATACGCATGACGGCGGGTGTCGAGTGGAGGAAATATGCAATGACGTCCAAGGCTTTGTGGCGTTTGCTTGGAGGGAAGTCCGCTGTTGCACCCAGCAAATGCTACGGCTGCTTGGCATGCTTGTATCTGATCAAATGAGCATTCGAAACGGCTGATAACCCTGCTACGTCGTCTCCATCGAACCCCAAATGGCCCCTGCTCCTCTGCTGGATTGCGGGGAACGACTGGGGTGGAAAGGCTCTGAGACGTCCCACCGGAAGATTGATGTCCCAGTCGGCCTTTGATGCGCCGAGCTGTGCTTGTCCCAATACCCCATATCCAAAGTACCCTAGGTATTGAAGTGGGGGCTTTAGTAATAGGGGAGCGTGGAAGAGCGGGGGAAATTCCGTACACGTAGGAGAATTGCCATTGTTCTAGTTGGGCAGACGAGTCAGCAGGGTTGATATGCCCACTGTGGCATACCCAAGAAATCCGCAATGAGTGGTACGTTCAGTCTGAAACATCAAATAGAGCCATGGTCACGACTCGTCAAACACCAGGATGGTGCAGCTATCGATCCAGGAATCCCACCCGCACAGCAGACAATGGGGGACACGCAGGGTAGACCGCCCTCACCCCACGTGGAGAACCCCATATGCGAATGCGAAGAATGGAGACTGGAGATGTTTCGGCGCCCGAGCTTGACTTCTGCCAGATTTGCTAGCCTCGGCCCAGAAGACGATCCAGACGGCATACTGAGTACACAGCCTGGCGTTGGTTGACATTATCATCCGGGAGGGGTTCACCGGTCGGGCCGACACGGAGACGGTCGCAGCCACCGAGCAAAGATTCAGCATTTATCGAGGCCGTCGCGACCTGCCAGAACTCCAAGGAAGACGCGCTCAGCCTCTAGGCGTCGGCAGATTGTCCGAGGAGGAGATACAGTGGCAGAAAAAGGTCTAGTAACGCTTTGACGCCGCAAGGAGGCCATGTGAAGGTGTTCGTAAAGACTCCTGACCTCTGAGCTCCCGAGGCTGCTTTATCTGTAGGGTGGTGCCTTGGCAATAGCCACAGCCCTGCAAGAGCAAATTCTCTGTTGCTGATCGAGCTAATGCCGAGTGCCGTGTAGTGAGGACACAATGTACCATCATGACCAATGCTGGTAGGTGTCGACTCGACTAACTCAGTCGACACGAGATTATACGGGACATTTCGACTCTCGCGACTTCTCGACATGTAGGTTGATACTCCAAGTAAGTAAATGTACGCAAACCAGATGTACTTTACTTGACTATGTACTACCCGTTGTTAAGGCTAGCTCAGTATATTAATTTTCTACCTTAGCTTACGCCACAGTTCAATAGTATGGCTACGCCACTTCGCCACAAGAGCCGACAAGTCGACTCATGGCCTCATCGGCGGGTGTCGACTCACAAGGAGTCGATTGAGTCGACTGAGGCACGCTAGTGGAGTCGACACAGGCCTGCACTGGGACTTTCTTGTGAATATGGAGTAAGTGTCTTGTCAATACGACATTAGAAGCCTTGAGTAAACTTGAAATTGGTGTCTCACTGCGTTCTTGGGTATCTTATGGTCCTGGCGTACGACAGCCATCTATGTCCTCCCGAGTCCCAAGGAGGAAGGGTGCTGCGATGCACGTGACCTCAACCGTAATACAGCCTTGCGCAGTCAGCCTTAACCGAACCGCGTGAACTGCGCCCGGATAACTACAACAGTGTCCACGATGGTAAAGGCAGGCACGAGGCTACGGCACAGCCTCACGGAGGAGGGCATGTAATCGTGGAGGTATAGGAAGCATCGAGAGCACAGACAACCAGATGAGACAACAGAAACCGGTTTTCCCGTTTATGATGCGCCTTGCGTGCGCGTTTGTCTTGTGTGTTCCAGAAGCTCTACCAAAGTGTACTGGGTATAGTCATTACAGTCATCTTTGGCCTGCCGTGTCGACGCACCCAGGTGTGGTGTTCTTGTTCATTGTGACCGTCGACAAAATCCCCCTTCCGCCGTTGTAACCACCGCCCTCCGTGAGCTAAACACCGCCCCTATAGACAGCTACGCATCGCCGATAGTAAAACTCGGCCAAGCTCGAACCGTACATTATAACTCCACCAGCATCATCTTATATAGGTAGGGTTGCACATTTTACTCAACAAATTAACGGGCATCCTGAAGCCCACAGTGGCACCAGGCAACACGACGCAATCTCGATCACGGGGCCTCCTTTTATTTACGCGAGTACAAAGCGCTCTCTCCATATTTATCATCGACCAACCCGAGAGACGCTCAGAGAGTATACTCGACCATCGAGCGAAATACTCGACCGTCGAGGTCTTTTTCCTGGGCTCTGAGTACAATGATTATCGGGTCAAACACCGACAAACATCGACGCTACAGTGTTACAGAGGCCCACACCCTCTCACCATCGAACTACGTTTGATACGGCCTCCGCTGACTCCATGATACCCCCAAAACCCAACCCAATAGACCAATACGAGTCTGTTTTAAGGCTTCCATTGTGACACCGTTGTAGGTCCCTATCATGATGCTCGCGGTCGCTCCTCTGTCGGCTGAACGTCAGTCTCTGCTGCCTTGGTTCTGCTTTGGTCAGGCACTTTCGAGTACTGGTGGCTCGCAGTCCAATCGTTGGTCTCTCGGATATAGTTAAGCACGTAAGGGAGAGATTTTTCGGTCACCAAGCCAACATTCATGCACTTGATGTTGTGCTCCACTGTATGCAGGCGGCTGTGGCCACGATTCGGAAGCTGCTCACCGACGTCTGGTCGGTCGGAGCTCCAGAGCCGGGCAAGAAGGCCACGATTACCTGGAACGAGGCCGAAGCATACCTCAGACACTATGAGACTCTGTTGCAGGATCGGAAACTCATCGATGGGGACAACCTCGGTGCATCGCAGCTACAAGACCGGATGGGAGAGGTGACTAGACTTGTTCGTCTTGTCAAGGAAAAACGTCAAGAGAAGGTTAGCGAGATCCTAAAAGAGATCAAAGACAGTGGATCACTATTGCTGCAGAAGAAGACAGACGCTGCCGCAGAGAAGGCATTGGTATTCGTGATCCGACTGTGGCTTTTCGTCGTTCCTAAATTGCCGAGTGCAAACGTCCAACCTCCTCAAGGGGCCCAAATCTCGAGGTCTTCTACACTTTCTGAGGTCATGTCAATATCATTTCCAGGCACCAGCAGCACGAAAATCGAGGAGCTCTCTGATGACTTCTCGGCCAAGAGTCTGATTCGGAAAGGAGGTTTCGACTTTGAAATCACTGCTGACTTGGACAAACACCTCACGTTCGATCCCAACTGTCGATGGAGGATTAGGATCTTCGGGTGTGCACGAGCACTTGAAAAGGCGCGACTGTCTGGGTACAAGTGAGTGATTGATCTTGAATTGGAAGTCTCGAATACTGATCCCAGCAGAACAATGTACCCAGAGGGCTTCATTGACGAGGTCCAGAGAACCTTGCAACTGCTGTTTCCAACTCTAGAGCGCAAGCAAATCAGGACCACAGGACGTTACATTCGGCGGTACCGTGCAGATCTCGAAGCTCGGATTGACGGGAACGAGGAGATGGACCGCTTTTCGCTCGGTAATTATCCAGTCTTTGGCGAGCGACTTGAGAAGATCCAGAAGCGGTACAACGGGTCGAAGTATAGACTCTTGCGGCAGTGGTGGTATGACAGGCGACGACGACTTGAGTGGGCAACGTTGATCATCGCGATCGTGGTGTTCCTTTTGACCGTGGTATTTGGTGTCATCTCATCCGTGACCGGCATTCTGCAGGTTTACGCAGCCTATTACTTGCACAATTGAAAGGAAGAGAGAAGCAAGTGAAGCTTGGAAAATGAGCTGCAAGGAAGACGCGTCAATGGGAGTTGCAGCCCACCGGAGACGCAAGACCGTGATAATACGGTGGACCATTTATGCTCAATCGAGAATTTGTATACTCAAAACTTCTCTGACATTGTCGTTAAGCCGCTGCTACAATCTCGGTATCTCGAATTCCGGTTGAGCTGGAGCAGTATGGGTATGCTGTTGGCGAGATCTCTATTTTGCTCAGAGAACGCTGCTCTCTCTCCGTTCCTACCCAATCCTAACTGACGAGCTGTCTGAATGACCGATATGAACTATGCGACACCTGCGTCCAGCGATGAGCTCAACTATCCAATGCAATTCGAATGTTCTTCGTCGGATCTGAGATTGAGTTTAGTGACGCAGCGATAGTCGCCTGCGAAACGGTGCTCTCGAAGCTGAAGTCATCAGATAGCACAATAATGTGCGCCGTGCTGGCTTCGCCATCAAACACCACTGCAACTTTCTTGGTACCGCTGATCGGTCGTTGGAACCAGTTCGAGTCGCCCTTGGCCTTGATACCGTGCCAAGTGGACTTGCACTTCTGGTTGCCGGAATCGAGGACCTCGAAGACGTCGAACTCTCCGCAGCCGGAGTCCCAGCACGAGCATTTGCCATATTGGATGGTTCGGGGGATTTGGGCGTTGAGGATCCACGCGGCCGGCATGTCGCCGTTGAAGCCAGTATTTCCCGAGAGAGGCATCCTAAACTCGAGGAGAAAGAGTTTGGAAGCACCGTCAAAGCCATGGTATGCGACTGTGCCGTCTCTGATGGTTCCGCAACTTCCATCTGAACAAGGCTTGTCGGTCATGATAACGAACTCGCTGTTGTCTGGGATCAAAGTGTCGGCAAGAGTGACGGGCGAGGCGGAGCCAGCACTGTTGTCGGCGGAAGCATACGACAACGACATACCCCAGGTGGTGTCGAACACTCCACTCCCCTGACCGCCGTGGTTGTTGAGGAAGACAAGCCCTTCGGCGGTGCCTTGCTCGGCGTGATAGTAGGCCTGTCGTCCCCAGTTTCCCAAACCCGCGTTCATGCTGGCGGCTGGCACAGGAGCAGAATATGCCGCGCTTGCGGATCCCGGCCCTAATCTTTGGCCACCAACCCCACCAGCTGCAGGAGCTGGAGTTGCAGCTGCACCTCCATCGTACTGGTTGACCCACGAAACGACTTGTCCATTGATTGCGGCGGTGACCCAGTCACCGACCGCACGCTTGTGTTCCGCGTGGTCGTCTTTCTCGTCGTCGGCGGCGGGAGGACCGGAGTGATGGAGGTGCTTGTGGGCGTAGCGCTTCTGGTGTGGGTTTGGATGAATCGACCGCTTGCTGTTATCCGAGCCGGCAGTGTAGAAGGCGAACTGCTTCAGCTGGATCGGACCACGGAAATGCCAGGACACCTGTTCCACGTTATCAGTATGTCAACTCCTTATACCTGGACAGGGCAAGCTTACCTCGTCATCCATGGGCGCCATGCCTCCAGAATAACTTTGCGGTCCGAAATCACATTCGCCACTCGAACCCATATTGGTGACTTTCTGGTACTGCCCTGGAGTGCCGAAGTTGGAGTATGAGATTGCTTGGACTTCAGAGCAGTACCAGTTGCCCTTTTCCTCGTAGCAGTCGTTGGCTTGCGCTAGCACAGCAGCCGAGCTGACGAGGGCGAGGAGAGAACTTGTTGTGAGCGCGTATTTCATCTTGGCTGCCTAAAGCGGAGCTAAATATTGTTGTGAAAGCTAATGAATCTGTCAGTCCGCGGGCTTAATATCGTTGTCGCTTAGGGTGAGTTTTGGCTCGATATATGATACGGTGAGGATATCTCGAAGCTCTCTAGAAATTGTCGATGGTTCAGTACAATAGCAGGAAAAGCGCGAGGAAAGGGTTGGAGTGCGAGAAAACTCGTCCGTTCGTTCACGGGCAGTGATGAGTGAAGCGCAAACAACGTGACTGCGCGCACGCGATACCCCTACCGTTTGCAGGCACTCGGTCAGGCTGGAAACAGAAATGGCGAGGCCGGCCGTTGGTGGCAGTGAGCACGGATCACTTGGCTCGGTGACTCTGACAGTCGTTTGGAATGGAAGTCCGGGGACGAGGCAAGGAGAAGCGTGGCTGTATTTGAGGTCCTCCCGCCCCTCGAGAGGACTTCCTGGAACAAAGAGGTTCGATTCTCGGCTTCGTCATTGTGCAAACGGCTCCTGGGATTCGAGGATGAGCTGCACTCGAACAAAGCATTTGAGTCTCATGGGCTTGATGGCCACGGCGTCCTGCGGTGCTGGAGAGCATCTAGAGCATTCCTCAGCCTCGCAGGCGGGTCTGGGCACATACCGCCCAGCCTCGTCACATTACGCAAATTTGATTGTTGAATGCGGTATCACTTACGAGCGTAGTCAGTAGGCGGGCTCAGCGATGCCGCGCAGGTGAGCACGAGCTCGTATCCATCTAACCAAAATAGCCGCCAACGCCAACGCTCCAGCGTCATACTAGACGGGTGTGGCCCAAGTACATCATCCACGCCATCATGACTCGTTACCCATGAACAAATGCCAGCCTCTAGGGCTTGTCCCGATTCTTAAGCTTGGTCCAGCCACTCTTGCCCTTGCTGACACGGGCACCCTCGTCCTCTGCACCGGGCGTCATAATGCTTCTAGCATCATCGTACTCCTTTCCATCCATCACTCTCGCTTTTATGACGACGGCGTCATCCATCTTTTCGCCGCCATCGTCCCATTCCTGCTCGTCCAACAACTCCCACTCCGCGTTGTTCATCTCTGTAAGAAGGTGCTTCCTCAGTGGATCGGAAATCATCGCATACCGGTTGAGACGCCAATTGCGCGAGGGGTTGTCGCCGGCGGCAGCTGCGGAGCCAAGGAAGGTGTGGGCCGAGTCGTGGGAGTATGAGCCCAGACGGGCAGGGAAGGTGCTCTCCTTCTCTTCTCTGGCTGGCGAGGACATGCTACTAGATCGACGGCGACGAAGTTGAACGTCTCGCTGGGAAAGGACCCGCGTGATTGCGGCAGATTGTGGCTGAGCAAGGATCATCTGATAGAGAATACGACCAATATCGCAAACAGTTTCCCACGTTTCGGTGCCGGCGACGAATCCTTGAGTGCGGGAGAGCCATGCAGCATCCCACGCGAGTAGAGACATGCCTTCAATGAAATAACTGAATGCTAGTGGCTCTTTCTTCGCAAATTGGGCAACTGATTCATTGTAATCGTCAGAGCCGATGTACAGCGGGCGTGGTTTGGGAGCCGTGCCGAGGTCCAGGCGAGAAGCAGTAGGGCTGCTGGGCACTGAAAGGCTGGAACCACTACCAGGGAACGTGATGCGTTGGTTGAGATAGGAGGTGAGAGGGGTGTTGATTGTTGCAAGTGGATAGTCGCGATGCGGCAGGGTAATCTCAGCCGGAAGTCTGATCCCCAGGTAGAAAGCACAGAGGAAGATCAGTCGAGTAGCATTTCCAAGGGCTGCTGTCAGTTCCGTGCATCGCATATCTGGCCGGATATTAGCAGGTGTGAAGAGCTACGCGTGGTCAAACCCACTATTGATCTCCTTCAAGTCGGGCAACAATAGACCAGCAATATAGTGGCGATCCTTGATTGTACCGTCCTTGGTCTTCTTCTTGGAGTGGCTCAACCTCAGTAAACTGGCAGCCTCGCGGCAGAGGATGGCTCTCGTGTCGACAGTCTTGTTATGGAGAGCATCATACTGGGCCTTTAGCTTCTCGCTGCTCTCTCTCAGTTCCTGCTCCTTCTGCTTGTTGTGTCTGGCTAGCGCATCTTTTGCGACCGCCAGATTGGCTTTTCTCTGTTCCAAGTTGGCTCGCAACTCTTGCGCATGAGCTCTCCGCACTTCAACTTCCTTCTGTCTGAGCGCTAGCTCACGTTGCATATCCTCTTGCAACTCCTTCTCTCGTTGCTCCTCGATCTTTTCCTGTTGTCGCTGCCATCCATTTCGCAGCCTCGCCGTCTCTTCATCGAGAGGTTGTTCAGTCTCCGGACCAATGATTGCCTCGACCTTCTTCTGTAGTGACTCTTTCTCGATTAAGACTCTAGCAAGGTCAAAGCGACACGTGTAGAGCATGTTTGTCACGCAGCTTGCGCAGTTGCCAGGGGTGTCGTCGGTGAAATGCTCGTGACACACCGGGCAGGAATCCATCTTGCTGGATTCAGGGGTGTCAATACAAATGTACGTAGAGTCGGTGGTGTTCAAGGGGTCCTTGATTTCATGTTCAGTGGTTCCGTTGTCTTTAACCTCCGCATCCAGCGATTTCGGCGGTGGCGCGTCTTCACTAGGCTGCGTTCTGCAATCATGGTGTTAGAAATGAAACCTGGATGCTGGCTCTGTGCATCGAGCACAATCATAGACACAAGTCTGACATTGCCGTCAAGGCGACGTCTAGTTGTCAAGATCAGGCGACAGGACGGGAAGGGGCATAACTCACCTCCCGCTGAGCGACAAGCGACTCAGGCTGTGCTTGAGCCGCTGCATGACGTAGCCAGATGACTTGCTCGCGTAGGTCACGGGATCTGGCGACGCGCGCTAGTATGTAAGAGGGCAAAGCGGGATGCGGCGCGTCACAGCCGGAGTTTAGCCACTTCAGACACCGACCGATCGGACGTTTAATCACCAAATGTCTTTTATGTGCCCTTGATCATTCAGATTTCGTATCAACTTCAAGCCGGAAACATGCAGGGCAAATGGAGCCGGTGAATATTGAACAATCTGCTAATCTTATTTCTACCGCCCCAACCACAAACGAGGAGAAGCAAACACCTTCAGACGCGGGCCCTGCAACCGAATCCTCACCCTTACCGCCCAGGACGAGCAGGCCCAGGCAAGGGAGCGCTGGAAGAAAGCGAACAAACGAAGAAGCCTGGCAGCCTGGCGAGACTCCAGCGACGAGCCCTAAAACTGCAAGATTCAAAAGATCTCTCACTCTCCTTGTCATGCCAGAATCAGAAGTGCAGCGTGCTCAGGAGCACCCAACCCCGACAACTGGAGAGGGGGCTCAGACTCAACGATCTGTTATCGCTGATAGAGAGGGATCGGCTTCATTCCCTCCTCGCAACAGCTTTACCAAGCAGATTCACGACTACCAACAACAACTGGAACTTGAGTATCAGCAGTTTGAACAGTCTCTAAATGAGCGAGACACAGCGGCCGACCTGGACGCCATGAACTGGGAAGACCTGGAGACACGTTACAATGACGAGATGACACCTTGTATTATTCGTGAGAAGGAAGTTATGGACGAGATCAACGCTCGCTTTGCGGTAATGCGGCTTGACTGACGGTGCAAAACTCAGACTGACTGTCTACAGCAATTCATGCTGTACTTGCAGGTATCGAACGACCATGAGGCTGAAAGAGCCGTCAAGAGGTAATTTAGCGAAGTGTGTTGATGGACTGCTAAGGTGCTGACCGCACTACAGACTTCGAACGCGGATTGCGCTCGCTCAAAACTCAGAAGGACTACTGGCCCAAAAGCAAGCCCACCGTGAGTGCATTCCGCCATAGGAACGGCCTTGAATTGACGCTGCTCCCAGATATGAAGGTCCTGGAGGCATTCCACAGTGCAATGGCTCTCCTCGGCAATGTTTGATGCAATTGGTCAGAGACAGATGAGAAGTGGTTAGACGCTGCTTTGCGGTGGCAGATCAACCCGATCGGGCGGGCCGAGCTACGTCATGCGGGATAGGCCCTTCGCGCAGGACGGCGTGTAGCCTCTTTGAGCAAGCTCGCTGCGTGTTCGGCATCATAACTTACAATGATGATACTGCTGGTATTACACGACGACTATTATGTCTCATGATCCACGTCCAAACTCTGACCAGGATCTCCTTGCACGACTGAACGCGCTCAAGAAGTCGACCGTGTCCTTTGAGCAAACCAAGTACATTCACCATCATCCAATATGGTACCCGCAAGCTAATTGTAGTCACAGCTTTCAGACACCCGGAGGCGCAGAGAAGCCCTTTACCGCCGACCCAAATCCTGCTCACGCTCTTGGCACCGACCTGCTGTCGCGGTGGAAGTCCCTCGGCGGTAGCCCCTCCACAACCCAGCCAGAACAGTCCGAGGCAGCCACCGAGAAGCCCGAAGATGAGAAGACGGTGGAAGAACTACTCGCAGACCTAGGACCATCGGATACATGGGATATCGAAAAAAGCGAGGAGGATCAGGTTGCAGACCTGTTGAAGAGTGCAAAATCCATTCTCGCAGAAGCCACAAATCAAGACGACGAGCAGCTGGTGGCAGAAGAAGTTGACGGAACAGGCGACGAGTCCACGTCCAAAGCGCTGCCGGCGGTCGATGTCTCCGTGTTCAAACCTGAGCCAGAGGATGATGACGGCGAGATATCAGGCAACGTTCGGTTGGACAAGTCCAAAAATACTCTAGACCAGGAGGCAGATGAATTACTTGCAAGAATTCTAGATGAAGTAAAGCACGAACCTCCGGAAGCGCGAGAAGGAAACGCGTCTGTGTCCGATGACGACGACGGTCCTTCAGGAGACATTCCAGTCTCGACGTCAAAGCCCACCTCGAACGCCCCTGCGCTCGACCTACCCAGCAGACCCTCTAAACTCCCGGATTTTGAGCCACCGCCAGAACTATCAGCCCAAGACGACGACCTGGCGTCTCGATTTGCGGGTCTAGCGCTTCCTTCTGTCCCAACCGGCGTGAAGTCTACCAAGCAACCAGCTACGGCGAAGTCGAGTCTCGGCTTCACGGACGAGGAAATCGACACGTGGTGCATTATCTGCAACGACGACGCCACCCTTCAATGCATTGGCTGTGATGGCGACCTCTACTGCACAGATTGCTGGATCGAAGGGCACCGGGGCGAAAGCGCCGGCGCTGAGGAGCGGAGACACAAGGCAGTCCAGTTCGTCAAGGGCGGAAGGAAGAAGAAAGAGCCCAAGAGGAGAGTCATGATGGGCGCGTAGGGCCCCCCGCGGCTGGAAGACCGTGCTGGGGTGCCCTTGGGAGAAACGGTATGGGAAACGCTACGATTACTTTTAGTCATCTCGAGCCATACCCCAGAGCAATTGTTCTCTTACACGGGCTCCCGCCCGTTAGCCTTACCATTACCCGATTCCAGCTTCTGCCCCGCACTCGCAACGGTTTGCTCATCTCCGCCCATCTGGTCGCCGGGCGGCACCAGAAAATAAACCAAGCCGTGGAAAATGCTCGCCACAAAGGGCGCAACCCAGTGTACCCAATGCCAGCCCGGAAACCGACTCCCCACAAAAATACCAAAACACCTTGCCGCGTTCAAGCCGGCCCCACCGTATCCGGGCAGAGAATAGGCGGTCAACAGAGCCATCGACCCTGCGGCTAAGCCGACGAAGATAGGACCTAGCGCAGGTCCAAAGATCTCGCGCTGTCGGGGGTCCAGGCCGACTCCGAATGCCAATACAAGGAGCAGCAGGTCGCCAACGACTTCGACGGTGAACGCACTACTCACGGGTGTGCCCTGCTCTGTAAACAGATAGCAGCCGCCGCACTTGAACTCTCGCGTGTTGGCACTGGCTCTCAACAACAGGCCCGCCAATGTACCGCCACTGATCTGTGCGCCGAGATACAGAACCAATCGCGGAAACGTGGTCAACCTCGCAAAGAAGGTTCCCAAGGTGATGAGCGGGTTGAAATGCGCGCCGGAGACAGCGCCGAAGGAGAATATCAGGAGTGCGAGCAAGATTGCGTTGATGACGTTGGCGACTAAGGGCCCGATAAAAGACACGCGGTTGAAGGGGCCGAGCGTTTCGGAGGGCAGAGGCGGTGGAGTGTTGGGCGACAGACTGTCCCAGGCGGAAGCGTAGACGAAAAGGAGAGTTCCTATATCAAAGAAGTCGAGGATTGTCAGCTGCCTTGGTACTCGATTTCAGTGTGCTGGCAAAAGGACAAAATGGAGCTCACCGATAAACTCAATCAGGCTCGCCTTCCAGAGCCCAATCTCGCGAAAGCCATTCAGATCAAACGCCTCTTGGAGGGTCAGGTTCGGTGCCGCGTCCGGCACTTTCTTCAACAGCTCCTCGTTCTGCGGATCACTTCTGTCGACGGTGAATTCTTGGTTGCCACCCAATCGACCTGCGAACGGCGAGGACAGGGTGCCCAACCGCCGACGGCACGCCAGATTGGGCCGTGCGGCCGTGGCGGTGGACATGCTTCGAGATGGGATCGTGCTGAAGGGGGCTGAAGTGGCTGAAGTCGAGGGTTGGGTTCGCCAGGGACGGAGGTCGGGAGCGGGTGGCGGAGATTGGGAAGGTTGGAAGGGATGCTTGGGATCGATCTCGTCAGGTGCTTGTGGGAATGGTTCAGTCATGGAGAGAAGTTGGTCGAAGTTTGAGGTTCAGGGCTTCGACTTTTGAGCGTTCAAGACGCGTGACAGTAACAGGTCGCAGAAACACTGTCTGCGGCCGGATTGGTCAAATGGGTCTATTGCCGGTTTGGTCGGGCTGACTCGATCGGATACCTGCCCACCTGGGCGCTCAGTACTGGGTATCAAAGGCGGCGCCGTGTAGCCGGGTAGGAGATTAATTTCTCGATCGCAGTCTGGTCTGGACTCTAAGCTGATTCGATTCCAACCAACGACACCACAGAACAGAAGAACCTCGCTTTTCGTGCGTGTCGGGTCACGAGCAACGCGTAAACTGGTTGCTTTGTATCTCCACGCCCGACTCGAGCTTTAAGATGAAGATCGGCACGTCAAAGTAGCTGGTAGCTGAGAAGGAGATCAAAGACGATGCTGAAGACGCTGAAACGACGGGCACGCACATACGCACGATGTAAGAAAGAATCAAAAAAGAGCCAAAATAGAGAGTTGTCGAAGATCAATAATCAGTGCTTGTGGTCGACCTTCCTTCGCTAAGACCGGCGGGCATGAATAAGCATCCGCTCGATATCCGCGTTGGTGTTTCCCCCTTCGAGAAAGGTTTAGTGGAGCCTTGTTCCCAAACACAGGGGCTTACGGCACTATCACGTAAAGGCACGGCGCCAGGGGGTGGATGTCGTAGAGCACCAGGGGTGTGCCTTCACAGCGAACCGTCAACACCTTCTGGCCGAGTTGTCCATGTAGAGATGAAGAGGCTCAGCGACATAGTCTTCGTAGGCTGCTCGATTGAACCAAGTGTTCAATTATAGCAAGGTAGGTGCTGTAGGCACATCAGTATCGGTCCGATGCGAGAGAGACACCCCTGCCACCCTCCAGTGACTCTCCCCATACATCCCCAACATCTCCAGACGGCTTCTCCGCATCGTCTTACTGGGGGATACGGGCACGACGGGGAAGGAAGATGTGTACAGTAAAGTCACAGGTGGTCCTCGTACGTATCACTGTGTGTCTCCTTGGTTTCATCCTTTCTCGGTTTCATTTGGAATAGACGCATTCATCCGCTTCGATCATGTCCCAGTCAGAGAATACTCCGGCCAACGCCAACGCCAACGCCAACGAGAAACTCATCCTCCAACAATATCTCCGCGATCTCATCTCCGGAAGCCACATCCTGCACTACCACGGCGTGCTCGACGCCTTTGGACACCTCTCCTTCCGCCACCCCTTCAAGCCGCATGTATTCGTCATGTCTCGCAACGCCGCCCCCGGCACGATATCCTCCCCGAGCGACCTGATCGAGTATTTCGTCGAGGATGCGAGACCCGTGGACCCCAACGCGGCGCCGGGATTCCTCGAACGCTGCATCCACAGCGAATGCTACAAGCGGTACCCGCAAGTCAACAGCGTCATCCACAGCCACTCCGAGGCCGTCGTGCCGTACACGTTCAGCGGCGTGCCGCTGCGCGCGTGCTACCACATGGCGGGCTTTCTCGGCACGGGCGTCCCCGTGTGGGACATTGTCGACGCGCAGACCGAAGACGACGTAAGTGATTTGCTGGTGCGGAATACGCACCTCGGAAGTTCGCTAGCTACGGCGTTTGGAGCGGTTGACAGCAACGGCGGCGACGGAATTGACTCCCCCCAACATGTCGTCGCGTTGATGCGCGGCCACGGCTTCACCGTCCTGGCGGGCAATATGCAGGACTGTGTCATGCGCGCGGTATATACGCAGAAGAACGCGGCGATCCAGAGCACGGCGTTGACGACGCGGGCAGCGGATCCGGCTGCTGTGGCTTCTCCGATCAAGTATCTGAGCGAGAGGGAGGTGAGGGATACGACGTGGTCGATCCGGCAGTCTGCGCATCGGCCTTGGGGGCTTTGGCTGCGCGAGGTCGAGGCCCACGGTCTTTATTCCAATTCTGCGTGAAGGGGAGGTGGAGGTGAAAGCGACGTCTGAAAGTTTGTGTGGGAGTTTACAGTAAGTATGTTGTGACTGGTGTGGAGACGCAAACTGTTGGCTCTAAGTTGTAGAGCAAGCCTTGTTCGCAGATCAAGCATAACGGGTACGGTGGCCTACGTCCAGTCTGCGCATAACGCAGCCGTATGGTACCTAGGTAGAGGCACTGAGTTCCACACCTCAAAGTATCCGTCAAGCTACTCGCACGTCAAGTAACCACACATGTAATTACGGAGCGTAGTTGTTGCACCTTCCGTGTTCGCAGATCGTCCCATCGGCGAGAAAAGTGCACAAGGGAGAGAACGAAACATGGGGATTGCGCTCCAGCATACGCGACAACAAGTGAGACTTCGCCTCTTGAAAGGGGATACCTTGGAGGGTCAGCGTGATAACCAGGAGAGAAACAGAATCATCCAAGGGAGGGAGTCCCGCACAGATCTCCGTTCAACAGCTGAAAGGGCGAGACAAGACTAGAGCTTGCTCGTTCGAATCCAGTGGACTCAAATGGCTGACGAGGTTTTGACCGCAAAGGGCGTGAATCGGCGATATATTATTGCCTTTCATTTGTCAACGAGTCGACAGGTCAACTTTCCGCTCGGTGCCGTGTCTCTTGTGACGGAGATGAATTGTTCTGTTCTGTCACTTCTGGGGATCTGCTTGGGCACTTCCGCTCGCTTCACAGGCAGCCTGAACTTAAGTCGACTATATCAGACCCCATGGTGCAGCAACAGTAGCCTTATCCCGGAGAGTTAAGAAGCATTCTTCCAAGTAAATGCAGTCAACTCCGTGAGTGTCATCCAGCTCTACAGTACCTGTACTACAGTGCAACCGTGGACGACACCGTCTTGTCGAACCGGACTGGCTCTATTGATATATTCTGTTCTCCACTCGTCGTCAGTCAATGCTTCAGTTGCTGTTGCATTGGTTTCGCGTCCAGCGCTGACGACGTTGCACGTCGGGGTGGATTTAGTGCTGCTATAGACCTAAGACCCTTCGATCTGATTTCCGAGTTTGTTGACAGTATTCAAGGACGACTTAGGCTCTTTTTCCTACCCGCCCAGTCCATGAAGGACCAAGATTTGAGATCGCTCCGCCTTCATCTTCGAAGCAGGACGTGACCCGCTTAAGCCCGTTCTTCGCGGCCAGAAAAAGTTCTTCACGCGCAATCTTGGCACTAAATAGGACGACTTGAGTTTCACCGACTTGGGTGCGATAAGTCCCTGTAAGAATCTCTCCATGTTAACAAAGTGAGACAAATTCAGTTGGGGAACAGGGACATTGACCTTTTTGCGACATGAACCGTCTGGGCGATCCCCACGTGAGACGCGGGTAGGAGGAATCGAACGAGAATGCTTAGCTGTATCGATACTACCGTAGAGGTATATATACGTGGGAGCAAGCTAGGCCCATGCGAGTACGAGGTGCAGAACCTATGCGTTTTTGATGTAAGGATTGTCAGGCCTTTCCTGCCAGCCCTGCCCCTTTCTCTCGACTTCTGTGCACTTCGAGACGCTCCCCATATGTCCTCACGCTTTGTCCCTGCGATAGATATTATCAAGCCCAACCGCGTCACAGGCAGTTTCCCCGATTCCGATCTGGCCGATAGTGTCCCCCACGGTATAACAGGCATTTGTGTCTTGGTCGCCGCAGTGAACAAATTCTGTGATCTGCGAGTCCGAGCACCCGCACAGGCCCAGGTAGATGAACCGCTCGTCATCGAGGTAGACCGAGTCACCGTTGGTGGAGATTTGCAAGATTTTGATGCCGCCGACCCACTCAATGCCCCAGTCGGCATAGCTGATGTCCGCGGGGTCGAGGCTAGGGTTGGCCCCCTCGAGGATGACACCACCGTCAGAGCAATCCAGGTTTCCGAACACTTGTATAACCCACCCCTGATCTCGGGCGAGCAAGGAATGGTTGCCTGGAATTCCAAGCACTGTCTTCGTGCAGAGTGTGGCCAGGACGGCCGTGACGCTGTTGAGAGTGCGCATTGTTGTGGGCTTCCACTGAGCGCATGTCAGTCCTTCGATCCAGCAGACGTCGCGAGAAGAGTGCCGGGCTTACCTTTCAAGTCGAACAGATCAGGTGACGACAGGAACCTTGTGATGCGAACAGTAATATCGCGTTTCAGGTTGCTTCTGGATGTTGTGGTTGCGAACTGGCTGATCGAGGAAAAGACTCTTCAAACCTGGGGACCGAGACCTCTTTATATTCCTTCGCAACGACCACACCATCCCCGAGCAACGTTGATCTCATTTGCATTCCAAGTTCGTGTTCAACAATGGGCAATGTCGACGATTGATTCATCGTCGGAAACTTGTGATATCACGGCGTAGGTAGCACGTGTGTTCAATCATTGGACCTGCGACGTCGCCCTCGTTGCGGACATGTCTTGAACCTGATCCTTTTCCTCGGCTTTTTCTTCACAGATCGGCCATGGATGGTGTGGTATGGTACCTCTCCGTCACACTGTGGAGCCGCACTCTTGACGTTCTTACAAGCTTCTCAGTCCCACCCGGGAAGTGCTTGTACGTGACTAAGAAGTGCAATAGCTCCTGGACCATCGATTTGGGAATTTACTGCTGAAGATCAACTGCATGTCAGAAAATTCGATGGTTTCTTCTTTCCACAGGAGAAGGGTGTGCCTGATAGATCAACTTTGCTTGGTCGGTGGCCCCTTGTCGTGGGCATCCTTTTGTGAAAATCCTGAAGAAGATCAATGGACTGTCAGCAATCTTTGCAGCTCACTAGGCAAGACCCTAGGGCAGTGAGAATTTAGTGGCGTAACATGAAAGAGGAGGAGTTCATCTCGTCGATCCAGGTTCATCTACCTGGGAGCCCAAATGACGATGCCGCAGTGATGATTGAATGCCCAAGGCATTGGTGCCGCAAGTTGAACTATATCGGCGACATCTGATGACGTTAGGGGTATACAGTTGGCTCCAGATCTGGGGCCGGCGCTTACCCAATTCATTGGACTTAGCAACCTGTAAGTGTGGCAGTATTGCTGCATCGGGCAGCAGGTCGACCAAACGGGGCGTAGTGCCAAGTAGGTCAGCTAGATGGGAGCTTTGTAAGTATTGCAGTATTTTTGTATCGGCCGGTGGGTCAACCAGACTGGTATCTAGCTAGATACATCGTATTTGACTGGGTGCGGATACTCAGGGGCGAAAGCGGACGTTGACCTGCTCGTAGACAAATCTGCCGATGTTCCCATGATGCTCGGCTGTTGCCTATTGTGTGAAGGGGATGCTGATCTTTGATCGGCGTTGAGTAGGATCTTGAAAGTGGTCCTTTTGACCTGTAGATCCAATCCTCCGCGCTTGAGAGTGCGGTATACTGAAGTGAGGGCGGTACTGCGTCTTCCAGGAATACATTCAGTACAAGGCCGCCCTCGCCGGGATGTGCTCACGCTGAGCAAGTCCTCCTCAATCTCCCAAATCTTCCAACTAATCCACCTGGCAAGACAGTAAACAGACGACTTTGACGTGTTTCCAAAAATGGGGCTGAAAGACCGTGTTGAAGGCTACCGCCGCCTGAATTCCACGGAGGAGTCCTTTGAGAGTCCAGAAGTCCGATCGAGAGGCGGAGACAATTCGGGCCTTTGGAAAACGCTGACACTTATTCTCATGCTGTCAACAACTATTTTGACAGTCCTCGGCGTGTATTCATGGACGTCCAAGAGGAGTTCCTATGAAGCTGGGTTTGACACAGACGTGCGTATGTTGGAAACTCGCTCTTCGCGGACTTGTTCAAACTTGTTAATGATATCAAAAGATGCTGCAACTGTTGCCATTAGGACAGAAAAGGTCAGATTCACTGGAGGATTGAGATACGACGAGAATGGAACTCTCTTCCACGTCGATTTCGACGAATCAACCACATATGTTGGAGAGCCCAACGCACGCCTCGACATGCGCTGGCAGAGACTTCTGAAAGGTAAACAGCCTGCGCATGTTTTTCTGCAGGCATTTCAATCGACTTTTTAACCCCTGTTTCTCTCCAGGACACTGGATCACGATGGACAACGATCCTCAAATCCCACCCGTGGAACATCATGGCGCCGCAAGACGAATCAGTGGACTCGACGTATACCATCAACTACATTGTCTGGTAAGTATGTAATCTCGACCGAGCACCGTTCAACGAGAAGAGGGAGGACTGAACTCGGTAGAACATGGTCCGAAAGGCCCTATATCCCGAATATTATCGTGATCCAGATACACCGGAACACCATCGCATACACATCGGTAAGTATTGAGGAAACTTCTACATACCTTGCCCATTCCTCCTGTTTGTGTACTTTATCTTCCTGCCATATCCCCTCACCACGTACACTGAACGTTTACAAGTCTTCTGACCATGTCCATAATTCCCAGACCACTGCATCGATTATCTGCGTCAGGCCATCCAGTGCCATGCAGACATGACCCCAATCACGATATACAAGACCGGCCCTCTGCCCGGTCGATCACCGAGGCTCGTTCCGGACTTTCAGTCGGTCCACACGTGCAGGAATTTCGACCTGTTGGATCAGTGGTCCCTACACCGGTTGTACCGTGGGCCGTTCAACGACGATGACGTAGATGAGCACTGAAGGACATTCTGTCAGAACAGATCAGATCGGTCAAGGACAGCTTTGCAAAGCGTTGAGGAGGGTATCAAGCCAGTGTCGTTCGCTACGTAATGTAGATCCACCGGACGAAAGCTGAAGGGAGGTAGGGGTAAAAGCGGCGCGACATATTGAGCTCTTGAGATGGATCGGGCTAGGGTTGCCGCACCCCATGTGGCGCAGCTGTGGCTCCTTTTGTGGCTGCTGTTTCCGTGGCTGGCGTCTCTCTCGACCCCGAATCGTGCAAGCTGCGATCACTGCAGCTGGCTCAATTGTCGCTACGCACCTGTCCAGTCGGGCTGTCACATGACAGCGCTAGTCCTGATCAGGACTGGTGGCACTTACCACTCTTTGAGTCCTTATGCCTCTCCGTCCCTCTTCCTTCTCCTTTAGTTCTCTAGACATGTACACAACAATGAAGGCACTGCAGGCCCTCTAAGCTGTCATTGCGACGCCTTCTCTCCCTGTTCGCTGCTGACATTACACGTGCAGTTGTCACAACGCTTTTTGTGCCAAGCGGTCGTCAAGCATTTGGCCCCCTCCTTGACCCCTGCGCCTCCGCACCACGAGTACCACGGTAGGGCTGACAGCGGACTTGGTACTGTCTGCCGTCTTCATAGGTCCATGCTCAACGTCCTGCCAAGGGGCCAGGGATGATAGATGCCAGGAGACACACTATGCAGTACACCATCGATACGATTCGGCCAGGCCAAGGCAAGCATATCTCAGACTCTTAACGGTACTTCTCGGTCGGTGATATGCTCATTGACGCTCGTCTCAGGAGGCGAGAGCTGAGCTCTTGAAACAGTCTCAATCTGGCGAACACGGACTTGACCATGGCTGGCACGACAAAAATAATGGCAATTGGCCATGGAAACAAACTCTCTCCCGGCTAACGGACTCCTTCAGTATGTGTCCATGTTCAATGAACAGCGCGACAGCCGATCGCTGTAGGGCCACTTCCACACCCCGAGTCGGTCGTCTATTCAGCCAGCCGTCGACCATCATGATTCATCTTGCTGTGTGAGATCGACATCTGCTTTTGTAACTCGTCGTGAGGGAACACATCTCAAACAGCAGAACACGAGTTCATGTGCCCGCGCTCAGCTTGTGTTGGTCGAAGTATTCTCTCCCTCGATTTGTTCGTGGAATTGACAACTCAGGGGAAGGGGCGAGAGAAGGCGAAGAGGATGGTGGACATGCAGTGGACTCAAGCGTTACAAACCCGTCTTCGGGAGGAAGAAAGAAATGGGACATCGAGCAGAACGGGTATAAATAAGGCTATGGGCCTCCTTATCATGCTGTCTATCTTCATTCATCAGTTCTCAACCCTCTCAATGCAGTTCCAGCAACATCAGCATCTCTCATTCGCAGTCCAATCAGCCTGTATACTATCCCCTTTCCCCGTCACGGCTTCGACTCCCTAAAACCCTTCCTCTGGCCCGTTCCGATAGGGAGATCCATCCTATTCCATCTCAATTACCACCTTCCCTTCTTCCCAGGATGAAATTCCAACCCCTCGCGACAGTCGCCATGCTGGCCATCCCGGCTGTCTTGTAAGTTTCCCCCAGCTCTTGCTTGCTTCCAAGGAGAAGTGCCTTAATAGGAATTCTGCTCTACAGTGCAAGTCCCGTCCCTTCCACCATGCTATCCGCGCGCTCAGACATCGAGGTCACCGTCGACGACATGACCACCGCCATCTCCACCTTCCAGACTCTCATTCAGGAAGCTCTCATCCCTACTGCTAATAGCAGCACCACCCCAGCCGAGTCCGACACCACGGCCATCACCAAACGCGCATCCTCCTCCTCCTCGAGCTCGACCGCTGAACTCGAAGAAATCAACGCCATCTTCGCCGACATCCAACGCCTCGCCGACGGGTCCGTCCCACTCCCTCCGCCAGTCTCATCCGAGTTGGCATCCAGGTCCCTGGCCCGCAGAAACTCCGTCACCGACACCATCCGCACCCTAGTCGACTGTCTCGGCCGCTTGCTCAGCGGAACGGAACGCCGCAAGCGCCGCGCCGTCTCCGAGGGAAGCGACGACGACGACCTCGCCGCCGCCCTGGCGACCATCCACGGCTGGGCCGACGGCACGATCCCGCTGCCCAACGACGTCGGCTCCGCCACGGGGACTTTCACGGCCGACGACGGGCTCGAGTTCGCGACCCTGCTCAAGGATGTCATCGTCGTGTGGCGCGCACAGTTTGAGGCTGGCCTGACGGGGCCGGCTGAGGGGACTAGTACCGCGGCGGCTCTCGCGGACAGGGCGCCTCATGGTCAAAACTTCGGTCTCGACAGCCAGTTCTATGACATTGTGTTGGATAAGAGGGGCAGATTGTCGCTTAAGATCGCGCTGAAGGCCTTGGCCGCGGCAATTGATGCTTTTGCGGATACGCTTTGAGTTTTGATGATGGTGGGGTGGTAGTGTGTTAGTTGCCTCGAAGTGGTAGTGGTAGCGGTAGTGGTAGTGGTAGTGTTCTCGGGGTCGGTGGGGAGCGAAGGTGGCACTGTTGATAGCGAGCGTTGAAGTGGCGGCATGTGCCAAGGGGGTGGTGAAGAGGTCAGTTCAGGACAACACCGGGACGGTTGAAAGGGAGCGTCTTGTCATGGATGGGACTTGCGCCGCGCTTGACGATAGCTATGGTTTCTGAACATGGTTTCGCTTGATCTCGTCTCGTCTCGTCCCGTCTTGTCGTCCTACGTTGTGTCGTCTCGTTAGGTAGCCTGCGACGAGATAGATCCCCTGGCGATCAAGCATGAGCTAATATTAAGTGAGGGGCATCCAGGCCGGTGGTGAGCAAGTACACCCAAGTTAAGAACACTATCGGACAAGGCTCATTTTCCATTTCCTTCTCATACTCGCTCGCAGCTAAACATCCACCGGTGGGTGATCTCTGCGGTACTGCCCAGAGAGCATAGTTCGACGCGCGCTGCTCGGCAACCGACCGACCGACATACCGCACATTTTGAGACTCGGGCTTCAAAGATCCTCATGGATACGAGGCCGACCTTGTTTCCTCCTGACTTGCTCGCCACAGAAGTACAGCCACACCAGAGGCAGTAATGTCGCGCCGTTGATCGCCGCCGTGACCCCGAAAGACACATTGTATCCATGTCTCGTACCGAACGGGACGGCGTAGAACCCGATAGTGAATGCGAATACTGCATCGTAATTAGTAGAAGTAAGCAAAGCGACAGCAAGGCTTTGACCGGAAACGAAGAAAGCAGAACGGGAATAGACGGTAGGGAGTAGGACGGGCACGGTAACAAGACGACCACTCACTTGACTTGTACAGGTTGATCACCACGCCGACCTCGGGAGCTTGTGGTTTATAGCAATCAGTCGCGTAGGTGTAGATCATTGTTGCGCCCACTTGGAGCCCGAAACTGGCCACTCCCATCGTTATGGCCAGGGAGGGCCATGGCATATGCTCGTCCACACAGACACCGTAGGCGATCAAACCCGCAACCAAAGCGACGCAGCCGGGCAGGAGAGCGAGGCGCACTTCAGGCTTGCGATAGCCGTCATGTCGCTTGGCGTAGGCATTGATGATCATATCGCTGACCCACCCGGCAGTGGCTTCTCCGACCATACAGCCCACGGTCTGTGGAATTCCCATGAGCAACCCTGTCTGTGCGACGTCGAAGTCGTAGAGTTGTCGCGCCAATTTCGACCCCGTCACGGCGAACTGGGCGCTTCCGTACGTGTTCGCCGTCATCCAGTAGATGGCGGGGAGAGAGACCGCCCAATACCGAATCATGATGTACGGCTGGAGGAAGTCCCGTGGCCTGATGGGGCGGTCGAGGATTTTGCCGCGCGGGACGAGTCCCGTAAGATACGACGAATTTGTCGAGGTGATGCCTTCGGTGTGCGAATACAGCGTCTCCGGGAATGTCAGGCATAGGCAGACAAAGAACCCGGCTTGGATGATCCCAGGTACGTACAAGCACCAACGCCAGGAGAGGTTCAGGGCGATATATCCTCCGATGATGGGGGCCAAGTGTGGGCCGTTGTTGACACACAAAGTGTAGATGCCGAGAAAAGTCCCTCTTTCACCCTGAGGGAAGAGGTCGCATATAGTCGCTGCTCCAAGTCCAAGTGGGATGCTCGCGCCGACTCCGTAGAAAATCCGACCAGTGATCAGGCCGCCATAAGTCGTAGCCGCACCCGATCCGAACTGGCATGCCGCAGCGACCGCCGTGAAGAACAGGTACAGGATCCGCCGGCCGTATACGTTGGAGAAAGGAACGACGAACATGGGCATGATCCCCATGAACAGGATGACCACGGTGGTGCAGTAGGAGGCTTGCTCGACGGAGATGTGAAGATCTTCAGCGATGACAACGAAGGCTGGATTGATCAGGGCAGAGCCTAGTTGATTGACGAAACCGAGACCTGACACCATGAAGGCGAGATACACTTTGAGCCAATATGGCCAATTCAGGGGGTCGTTTTTGTCTTCCGAGTTTCGAGCGTCCAAGGGACCTCCATATTTGCTGGAGTCAAGGGTATCTTGTCCGTGCTCGACGGCTTTTTCGACATTCTCGGCATTCCGATTGCTGGCCGGCTTTTCGCTCATACTTGAATACATTTCTGTTAGAAAACGGTCTTGTGGGGGAGTGACCAAAGTCGGAGGCGAAGACGGTCAACGGCACAGATGTCCAGGAACTCAACTAGGTGGGAGATCTGCAGTAAGAATATATCACACAGCAGTTCAGGTGATCACGCCTTTAGCGGTGAGGCAATGAAAATGCCAGGGTAGGGCAATACAATGGGCCATCGTCCTCACAACAATCCGTGTAACCGGAGGTGATCGACATTGGCGGAGTCAGACGAAACTGTCGCGAAAAGCCTCTGACCGAATCAAATCACTGCACACAACCTTGTCCAGTAGTGCTCTGCATCAAGTTGTAATCCTTGCACGGCTCTAATCCCCACGGGGTGCTGATCAGACTATATGTGTGGAGGCCGGAGCCGTTGGAGTCCCTGTGGAGATTTCGGTATGTGGGATCGGCTTGGTGGTAGAGACCTCTGGTGTCCTTGTCGAGGCCGCATCTGTTGACATCGCCTTGCATTACCAACTGCTTCGAAAGAAGTATAATCTGTCTCACGATGAGTGCGCAGTTCCGTATTTTTCAACACCGTCGGCAAGACTTGGTTGAAATGCCAAAATACGGCAGAATGTCCACCACGATAGAAGTCGGCTTTGCAGAAGTAGAAACGCCATTCATTTCGACATTGAAGCTAGATGTGACACGTGAGATACCCAGTGCATGGCGTACAAGGGATTCAATCCTCTTCGTGGTTTAGCCGGACCTGATCATCATCTGGGTTTAACAGCACGCCAATGTCAGAGCTTTCGTCCAACACCCTTCTGCCCTCCTTGGCGGTCTTCAAGCTCATATCGTCCATGACAAGCCGGAGAGTCAATTCAGGTACCAAGACAGCACTCACATACGCGCCCACACCGGCCGCTTTGAGCGCCGGGTCAGACTGTAGAGCCATATTCAGCGTTTCAGTGAGTGACGCGGTGACTGCATTAGTCATAATACGTGCTCCTTTCGGCCCGTAGTAACCTGCTTTTGCCACATTGATCAGACCTTCGTTGAGGTAGTTGCGAATCTTCCTACGGTTGCCCTTCGCAGCTTTGATTTCAGCGTCCAGTTCGCCCAGATAGAAACAAGGCGCTTGTCGGCTGATGACCATCTTCAGACTAGGTATTTTCTCACGTATCCGGAAGTCCTCCAACTCCTCCCAGTATATCTTCTTTGGATATCCCCTTTTTTCCCACTCCTCCTTTGCATCAGCAACCTGATGCCGGGAACAGAAGTTCTGTTGGAGTTGAAACGGTAACGTCCGCAGGTTATCCGGCACAAATAGAGTAACAGAATCATGCACCGGCTTCTCGCATACTGGGCACAAAATTCCCGTAGTCCTTGGCTGCTGTTCCGCTTTGAAGTCATGTTCATGTGCGAGGATAGCCAACTCGTCGACCGAAGATAGTGACGAGGTCGAACCCGACCTTTTGCGGCTTTCCTTCGCCGGTGATTCGAAAACGTCAAAGGAATTGGTATTCTCCGTCCCGTTGGACGAAGGGAAGTCAGGCAGGTCAAATTTCTGGAATTGGGACTTGGTCGACTTCGCCGTCGGTTCTGGTGAATCAAGAGCGGCCAACTTCTGATCTGTCTTTGTTCTAATTCTCATGGGTGAAAGTCCAGCCGCATGATCAACGAGTTGGAACTCTGTTTTTGTGATAGATTTCACATGCATTTCCACAGTCTCTGGTGCGCTGAATTGGTCCTTCCTATCGCTCGGGTCCAGCTCGTCTTCGATCGGATCTATCTTGACAAACTTCTTCCCATAGACCTTGTTATGCCTTCTCTTCTGCGAGCTCGAGGAGGGGAAGCCGAAGAGGTCATCGGGCGGTTGGACTTCCGGAGCTTTGAGTTGTTCAAGCGACGGTGCATTTGTAATCTTTTGGCGTTTCGAGCGTGACGCCGCAGCAGTGGTTGCCGAACGCTTAGCTGGAGAGTTTGCAGTCTTCCCTGTCCGTCCCTTCAAGACTTCGGGGGAGCTAGATGCGGGCTCCTCGGACAGTGCCGTGTCTTCCTCTGAGCTGTCTTCAGGTGGTGCATAGACAAAGTGGTTGTCGTTGTTCCTGTCAATCCCCGACTCCGCCAACGCGGCTTTTCGCTTTATAGGCATCTCTGAGGCGGACGTCGCTATTCCCGGGCCACTGTCTCTTCCTCGAATCGACCGCAAAAGGGTCGGTCCTCGGTAATTGTGTCGAGTGAGGTAGGTTCTCGAATAACTGGCATCTGGTCTGGTCATAGCATTTCGACTACCGCCGGGCCAACACGTGGCAGTCTGACAAGGTAGCGGTCACAGAACGGATCAAGCAATCTGCGTGGTGAACAGTGGTGGGAATCAGATACTAAGTATCCATAGAAACGCGGTCGCAGCACACGCGACTGTCAGCGAGAAGTGAAGGCGAAATGACCAACCAATCAACGACGCTTTTCGGAGTTGTTTTCCGGCCCGACTTTAAGTAGTACTGGCTCCTTGTTCTGCTCATCTTCCCAAGTCTCCTTCTTCCTACTCGTATGAAACCCCATGGAGCCGATCCACACGGTCCAAAGCCCAGTGGCTCGGCAAGACAATAGCCGCCACATGTTCCTGCGCGACTGGGGACCAGTTGCAGGGATGTCATGGAGTGCTCAGTAAGCCACGACCTGTATCCCTTTGCGGCTAATGTATGTGACAAACGCTGGCTTGTCCACTACAATTCGCTGACCTCAGCCAGGATCAAATGGCAGAAATGGGAGCCCAAGAGGACCTGGCTTGGCCGTGGCAATCAGGGCAATACTGAAGACAATGAAGAGTAGACGCCCTTCCCATCGCATGCAAACTTGTCCAGGCGAAAGAGTCAGGCATGGACTTCGAGGATAGCGGCCTGTCTCATTATCAAAACGAGAAGCTGTCAGCGGCGGCCTCGCCTACGGATGTGTCTTCGGGAGCGCAAACTCCAGTAGCAGTCCAAAGTCCGCCAGCTGGGGAGCATTCGCGCCGTCACCCTCATGTCAATCATGCCAGAGAGAGACTCCGCCACCTCATTCACCCTGACGGCAGGAAGATTCATATCGCCCATACGCCGGAAGAGCATGTCAAGCTGCAGAAAGAACTCAGTCAACAGCTGGGAGGCGACCAGTTCGACGTCGTGATCTCTGGTAGCCCAGAGCATTTGGCAATCGTACGTGAATTGCATGCCCACCATGCTGCTCGACGGGACACGCTTCGGGATACTCACGGAGACATCTTCCACGATTTCGAACAGGTCAGAAACGATCTCGACAACTTGTCGCAGGAACTGAGTCAGTTAACCCATCATGGTGTGGCCATGGACGCAAACTTCAGCAAGTTTGGCTACACGGCGCGGATACGAACCAAAGATGACCACAGCGGAACCTCTACTCCGATGGGTTCGTTGCCAGGCTCAACCCAAGATCTGCTTGACACACAACAGAGCCGTCTTACTGACGGACTCAAATTCTTTAAGCGCCCTGTGATTCGGCAATATTTCCACAAGGGCCTGTTGTGGCGGTCCAGTCGGAGCGGCGAGGTTGGCACGTTCGAGTTGTTCGCTGACCTGCTCTATGTCGGCATTATCGGCATCATTGGGGACAAGGCTGCTGAGGACCCGACCGGAAAGTCGTTCTTATTATATGCCATCAACTTCACCATGGCATTCAAGATCTGGAACGATCTTACACTTGTCGCGAATTGGTGAGGCAAAACAGAGAGACATTCTTGTACCTGTCGAATGCTGACCTGTCCAGGTTTGAGCGCGATGATATTGTCCAAAAGCTGTCGGTCATGCTCTACTTGATCCTGCTCTTCGCCTACACCACGAATATTTCCTACGCCTTCGAGGACAGACACCCCGGCGCAGACCATGACACGTACTATCCCATGATGTCCTTCTATCTCGCCGAGCGGTTCTACGGTGCCTTCTACTTCATCTGGCTTTCCTACGTGGTGCCTCTTATCCGCGGAACTCTCCTCTACACGTCGTCCATTATCCTCCTCGCCATCGTCTTTTGGCTCGCCAGCATCCACGCCAACTACCCCGGGCAGCTCGCATTTATCTGGGTCGCCATTCTCATCGATCTCTGGGGCCAAGGCTTGGGCATGTTTCTCTCCCGCGCCTCATTCAAAATGGCACATCACGACAAACCAGGTCGGCTCGAACGCTTCGTGCGGAAGAACTTTGAATTCTACCCGGCCATCAACATCGAACACCGCACGGAACGGACCAACGCCTTCGTGTCCCTTGTCTTTGGCTACTCTGTGCTCACAATCCTCTATCAATCGCGCGCCTCCGTCGGCCTCAACGCCTTTCTCGGCAAGGGCATCCTGGGGCTAATTCAAGCCTTCGCCTTCCAATGGCTGTACTTCGAGATAGACCACCACGGTGTGCACGTGCACGCCATCCGCCGGCACTGGCTGTCTAGCACCGTCTGGATCACCTGCCACCTGCCGTTCGTGCTCTCGTACGTGCTCGCCGCCGCCACGCTCTCCAAACTCGTCATTGCACACGACTGCGCCAACGCCAACGTCGAAGAACTAGGTGAATCATACCAGGTCAAATCCGTCGGCGAGCTCGACCAGGGTCTTCGCTGGTACTACTGCGCAGGCATAGCCTCTGCGCTCATGACCATGACCCTCCTTTCGTACTGCCACGTGCACAAACGGCTGCAGAACCCGCGGCTAAGCAAAGGCCCGCGCCTCGTCATCCGGACGACCATCGCGCTGGCGATCCTCCTCCTTCCCCTCGCAAAAGACAAGCTCTCGTCCCTCAGTCTGATCGGCATATCTACAGCGCTGGTCTCTCTCACCTTGGCCATGGACATCTTCGGCATGTCCAGCCAGGGCGACCGCTTCTGGACAGGTGGCTGGTGCGAGGACAGCAAAAGGTCCACGCACTACGAGGCGCGCATCCGATGCAGCAGGAGAAAGAAACGGGACATCATCAAGGCGTTGCACCGTGGCGAGACCGTACGACTTGATGAGCTGCTCCGGCGGCAGCGGACAAATTCAAGCGCCATGAGTAGTACCACGGAGTTAGGCTTCAGCGAGGACCATGTCACCAAGGACGAGGAGTGGCAGCACGCTGCTCTGTGAGGGGGCCTCAGGATGAATTGCGCTAGCATGCAAGTTGGAAGTGCAGAAGTAGTATGGAATGGCAATGCTAGCGATGGAGGGGTACACAAATAGGGAGGAATCATCAAAACTAGGGAGAGGATATATGTGCGTACTGGGCATGTCGACTGTCTAGGTCGGGCTGTTGTAAAGCTTTAGTACAGCAATGCAATAACAATCATACAATCCTTGTCATATATCATACATCATACATCATACATGATATATGGTGAACCGTATATTATGGAGATTAACTATTGGGTGCAAAATAGGAGACCGACATCGTTGCTCTACGTCTGCCTGCAATACATCTGACTGCTATGATGAGAACAACATAATATGCAGGGGATGGTGGGAACACGACATGGCATGAATATACCATAACTACTCCGTACAGAGTTGTGATACGCTGCGCACTGCTGCGTCAGGTCTAATTACTGTAGCCCGCACGCTACAGTATGACAGACCTAAGTAAATGTGCAAACTCGGCCAGCTACTCACCACGATACTGATACTGGATGGAGTACGCGACCAGCGGTATTGACTATGTACATAGTACGGCTGAGGTAGGTAGGTAGGTAGGTAGGTAGGTAGGTAGGTAGGTAGGTAGACAGAGGGTACCTTAGAGAGTATCTCAGAGTTAGTACTCCGTCTAGTACAACCAGGCCGCAGAAGTACAGCAGATCTCCGTATTCGCTTATTCTGCCCTGTCATCATATTCCGCCTTGTCCTCGTTATTGAGTAGATGGGTTTGCTTCGTATCACTTTGCATTGCATTGCATCAGATTACATTGCACCATATTACAGTGCATCAGACTTACATTGCATTAAATTACATTGCTACAGTACCCATGTTTCTCGCTATACCTAATAGCTAAACCACACCCACATGTGAAACTTCCCTCACTTCGTTCCCTCGACCATCGCGCCCTGCCTGTCCGCGTTGGTAAAGTCGAAATGCAAAGGCATCACGACCGGACCGTTCTCCTCGGGATACGGCAACGTCGCAGCAGCGGCACTTATCCTCCGGCCCGGTCTTCCAGCTGCACAGCTACCGCTACCACTACCGCTACGACTGGGCTCGTGTACCGAGCCAGCAGGCCGGAGGCGGACACGTGCAGGTGGTTCATTATAAGGTGGCTCTTCAGGATATGAAGAAGTGGAAGGTGGTGTCTGTAGAGATGGTGGTGGCGGCGGCGTGGATAACGGCATTGTGGTGTCAGTGTCCGAGTGTTGACTTTGAGCTAGCGAGAGGTAGGCAGGACTTCTGACCGTCGATGGAGGCAGCGCGACGCCGAGGTCCCTGTGCGTCAGAGCGAACGGTGCAGATGTGGATGTGGATGCGGATGCGGGTGCGGGTGTGGAATCGAGTTCTTCTACATTCGGCGGAGTATGTCCTTGCGAATGTGTTCTCGATGTACGCCTCTGATGTGTTGGGTGATGAGTCGAACGTCGGATAGGCGATGCGGGAAGTTCGACTGCATCGACTGCTGTAGATCCCATTGTTGCTGGATGTTTGTCGAGGCTCGGAGGCGGCGGCGTGATACGACAATGGTCCGCGGCTGGTAATTCTGCAAGGCTGGATATGTCGGCGTGTTGATGTTGGCGAATTGGTGGTTGAGCTGGAATAGCATTGGCGGCCATTTCATGGCATTCTGGGAGATTGAACTGGGCTGGGCTGGGTACATTTGGTGTCGACACGTAGCTCTCTTGGCTGGGATATGGCCAATTGGGCGAATTGGGCACACGAGCTGCTTGTTTAGGCACAAGGTCTGGTTTCTGAGCCTGCATCCTCGGCGGTAATGGAGGGGGCGACGGTCTCGTGCTTTGCGCTTCTGTTTGTCCATGGTAAGAACCAGGGCCTGGATGTTGAATATTCGAGAATGGCTGGATCGGATATTGAGGAGCCTGGTTGTACTCATGCGCGCTGTGACTCATGGCCGGCGGATCCATTTGAGATTGGCTTTGCCACCCGGTCTCTGATGAGCCTTGCCACGATGAAGAATGTCCATGATGTGACGGCCTTTGCGGAAGTGGTGGCGGCTGAGGGGCAGCAAATTGAGGCTGCTGGTGATACAGCTGCGGAGTTGACGGAGACAAACAAGCTTGTGGCGAGAGAGGCAACCCGACCGCTGACACGTTATTCGGTGAGCTGGTAGTGGTTGGTGGAAAACTGTGTTCCGGCTGTGGTGACAAAGGCGATACTGGTGTTGGAGGAACATTCCACGAACCGTAAGGCTGCGGTTGCGGTTGTGACTGTTGAGGTCCCACGTAGGGGTAGCCATATGATGAGTTGGCGGGATATGCCGGATGAGCTGAAAGCGGAGGGTTCTGATGACCGTATGTCTGGGTGAACTGACCAGAAAGACCTTGGCTTGGTTGAAAGCCTTGCGAATGCGCTGGCATTGCCGGGACCGAACTGCCATCCGGGTTCGCGGCAATGTTGTAGACATCTCTCATAAACTTCATCGATTTTCGCGCGAGGGATGGCATCTTGTGCGATATTGGTTATCAAGACAGTCAGCCCAGGTAATGTTGATTGCACGCTGATTGACAGGAGCCGTCGCTTGCGGACATGCCCAGCACGACAAGTCGATGTTTATTGCCCGAGGTCGTCGCCTTGGGGGAGAAAGGGGTTCGCGACACAAGCTCGTATTTTGGGAGCTAATTTTGGCGTCGCCTGCGTGCAACGGCGCGTTGATAGGCCTAACAGGCTTGCCAAGTCAGCCAGACCAGCCCGAAACCAGCCCAATTGTGAACAAGACATTTTAGCTTGAGCTAGTGGTCTTTTGGTCCGGGGCGAGAACCGAGGAACTTCTCAGAGACACTCGAGGCCAGGAAACTCCTGTTCATTATCGACGTGAGGCTGTGAAAAGGGTTCACGTCGAGGAAGGGTATCTATCAGTACCGGCGTTTTGTGGGTACTCCGGCAGCATCTCTGAAGGCGTATTTCATGACTGATGATCAGGGAACCGACTTCTGTCTTTCGAAGACTTCTCTCCGGTGGGCAGATAGCTTGGGGTACGCAGCGCCCGGTTTGTCGCGGAGATGCAATATTATCGCACGTATCTCAGCCGCATGCCCGTTGGCGCTTGGAAGTGGACAGATTATCGGTCGATCTTCATCGAGCAAGGCCAGCTCCATTCCTCGACCATCTGTATCTGGCAAGCACAAAGGTCAGTTGTTTCTGCGTGTCGAGTGGGTTGCTTCTTCGCCCTCTTGCCAGGGCTGTCGCTGATCGAAGCACGTTTCGAAATTGCCGCTATTGTGACGTTAGCATCATTACGACATGTCGCATACGGCGAGCTCGGAAGAGCAAAAGTATCGCTCAGACTGACCTGATAGTCGGTTGGAAGTGTGACGAAACATGCTTCCGTTGCTCTTATCACGGCCTCGCAAGCAGCCAAGATGGCCGCACCAGAGTCGGCTTGGAGACGATATGCTACCAGCAAGAGGAGAAGGCTGCCGTGAAGGAGTTGTATGCCGAAGAAATATGGCATAAAACTGATATCGGGGTCGCACTCCAAGATCCCTTTGACACATTCCGAGGCTGCCATGGTGTGTGACATGGAATCCTTGAAGCCCAATGACGAGGTCCAGAAATCTGCATCCTCGAAGAGATAGATAGGATCCCCTATGAATAGCTGTCAGCGTTGATCTACAGTACCAAACAACAGTGCATATGAACTTGGGGATTTGCATGCCCGACTTGAGCAACAGTACCAAGCCAGATCAGGGAGTAGGAAGACAGGTCACTCACATTTTGACCCGACAAGGATCCGTAGCACATTTACAATATGCGTCGCATAACCAGCTACCGTCATGGCGATATGAGTGGTTTCGGAATCATCTGCGTCCGTGGGGAGAGGTTGCCAGCCGTGGTCTTTGTCCGCAGCATTGTCCATGAACGGGCCGCCGGTCACATGGTCCAAGGTCACCTGGAACTGATCGAGTTCGTCGAGGATCTCACGTTCCTGTGAGCTCCACAAGGTGGCGCCCGAAAGCACAGGATGCAGGCGTGACCTATTAAGGTCCAGCAGAGTACCGCAATGGACCATAAGGGGCAAAAAGAATTCGAACAACCCCACTCCTGAACAAGTCTTTGGCGGCCCTCGCAATCGTCCTTTCCCGGATGGCAGCAGCATACAGCGAGGTCCGTCGGGGCTGGTGCCATGACTGTGAGGCTGGGCGCCAGATTGCCAGGTGACATCGTCCAGAGGTAGTAAGAGATCACGGCACTCGGCTTCTAGTAGAGCGAGGCTCCTGTTATAACAAAGAGCTAAATGACGGTCCATCAAGAACAGAAGCCACCAGGCGCGACGCCGTTCCTCGCGGTGGACTTCATTCAAGAAGTCGCCCTCGGAGTGCTGGCTCAAGGAACACTTGCAGTTGAGGCTGGCGAGTCCATGCGGTGCGTCGTGAGGCATCATCGGTGACTTGACCTCCTCATTCAACTTCAGGTCCCTGGCGAGATTGAAGGCGACGTTCCACCTAGCGGGTGTCAGATGATTGTGCCGGCCTCAAGGAAATGGGACTATCAAAATGCCGCTGAATGTCTTACCATCGAATGGATGCCGCCTTCTTTTCACTGCCAGAGATAACCGACGAAACATGAATCAGAGCCATGATATAATCCACACCCCAAGAGATCGGCAGTGCTGCGCCTTGCATTTCCAAAGCTCGACGCAAGTCGTCGTTGCTCCACCCTGAATCCGACCCAAAAGGTGGGGGGAGCCCCAGATCCTCCTGTCTTAACAGCGGTTCATACCGGGAAGGATTGAGCAGTCGATATGTGAGCAAGCTCAAATACTTGCATACTCGATCCTTCTCCTCGGGCCCGCTGAAGAGTGATAGACCTTTGTCACTAAAGGCCTAGCGAATTTCATCAATAGAGATCGTGTTAGTAGAGTGCTCTCTGATCATGCGGGCATGATCTCGATGTAACATAGGGAACTTACGGCCACGAATAGCATGCTGCCCAGGAGTGCCGGATGGGTTTGTCGAGGCTGATGAGGATCGAGAACGTCAATCTTGCGGAGGATGAAATTGTGAATGTGATGACACGTGGGGTGCATCCGGCTAAGGAAGGCGCTCGAGAAATATGTGTCCAGAAGGTCACAGGCGAGGCCGCTTCCGAACTCCTTGTCCAGGAAAGGCGAGAGATACTGAAGGACGGGGTACTTGCACTGCGCGAATGCCTGGCTACTGGGCGTGAGTGCCTCCCGAGAATCGGCGATGGATGGCAGTTTGTAGCTGTAAGGATCGAGGATGTGAAACGTCGGGGACACATAGGTCGACGGAATGACGGAAAAGTCTTTGCCATCATTGAACGATCCTACTGGGGCCTCGGGACTTGATGCCAGAGCAAGATGCAGCATTGCAGTCGAGTCCTTGGGTGAGGAGACCACGAGGGGAGTGTCTTCGTTGGGGTCGAGGCGTGCGCTTTCGGCATCGTCTTGGGGAGCAGTTTCCACCCTCTGGTCACCCTTCCTAGACAGTTGCGAAGGCGATGACGGCGGTGAAGTGGTCATGCCGAGACCTTCAGAGACAGATTCGGCCATAGAAGAGATGGCGGCGGAAAGTGAACCATGGGCGAATTTCTGGTCGTAAGAACATTCCTCGTTCAACTGCTCGCACCGGGAACAGGGTGTATTGCCGGTACAGCGAGTTTTGGACTGTCGGCAGCGATTGCAAGCGCGGAACTTCTCGTTGATGATGCGGTGAAAGGGTCGCTGGTCTGCGTGGTTCAGATGCGTCTTGAGATGGCGACTCAGGCTGTCGTTGCGCGAGAACGCACGACCACATTCTGGACACGGCGCAGAGGCCGGAGTCCGGCGTCGCATGGCCTTCTTTGAGCCCATCTTTCATACTGGGCTCGTCTGAGGAGGCGCCGAGTCATTGTTAGCAGCGGCATTGATATGCTGCATGGGCTGCGAGCGGAAAGAATGACTTACCGTATCCCTTGCAGCTGTCAAATGGTAGTTGCAAAGCGCAGAAGAATCAAGGCGCGTCACTGGATGGAGGAAATGCAGGGCGCAGCTGGCAGGTGCCTCTAGCCGAACAGGTCGCCTAGGCGTGTTGCGGATTAGGGCTTAGGGCTCAGGGATTAGGTCTGGGGGATTCTAGCCTTCTAGGTGCACCTCCGCGCCTGGGCGTCCTGAAGGGACCTAGCTCAGGCACCTCGCCCGCATGCCTAGCGAACCCCGCAAATCTCCTCGTATCCTCGTCCACTACGGAGTAAATACCCCGCGCTACAAAAATTGACGGGCTTCGTGGTCGGTTAGCCATGTGCTTGTCGATTCCTATGCCTACTGGGTAGAATCATATCCACAACTGCCAGAGATCTGTTGGTGGCGTTATCACACTTTGACTTCCTCCGCCTGGACCTCGTCCTCGGCCACCTCAATAGACCGCCATGGTTGATGGAGCCAGTCTCCAGATCCCGCTGGATGTCTTCACGGCGTAGTGCTTGTCCCTGACATTTTCAACCAGGCGATCAATCCAGCACTTGTTGCAGATGCCTCTCAGATGCACAAATGTCGGCGGCCGGTGCTGTCAATGTAGAAGAACATGATGGTGGTCAAGACGATGAACAAGGCGTAATGCAGGCCGGAGGCGATCAGGTTGATGTTTCTGGTGATCCCAGGCCCCCATAAAGTATAGACAACTGCCGAGCTGTGTCCGACCTGCTGGGTTTTAATGAGACCACCACGCTTTTCCTCTCGGCTCATTTCTACGAGATAGATAGGTAGCTGAGAGCTGGTGATGCCGACGGTTACTTCGTTGAGGATTCGGCCTGCACTCAGCGAGCCAGAATGCCGTTGGTTCCAGCCTGTATCAGGCGACGTTCGTCAGCGATCCGTCTAACGAAGGATGTCGAGATGGGGAACAGGTGCCAGCACGTACATGCACAGCAGTGCCAACATGCCACCCACTGTCGCGATGAACGCGATGAAGTAGGGATCATCCACGTATCGCCATTAGCATGCACCGGCGCCAATAGAGTAATGACGGAGCCAATGTCCAAGGGGCAGAGCCATCCCCCGACCAGAGAGACTCACAGACCTTGGGAAACATGGGAAGCGCCATGTTGAGATTGTGTTCGTCGAGTTGTTCACCAAGGAACAGGTCGACGATCTCGGAACGTCAACGACAAGATAAGCGGCCTAACAAATCAATCTTATACCTTTCATTATACCCCTTTCACCCTCGGGGTCGAAACACTTTGGGACAGTCTTACGCAGGGCGATCGTCAATAATGAGATAGTCAACGATGGGTAGCGGTATCCACGAATGCGAGCAGGACTGTCGCTCCCTCCCAGCCCTTCATGATCAGGAGAGAATGCATGTTGCGCCGTTTTCTCGAACAATACGAAGTACCTGACGGGCCGATCGATGCATGCAGCGGAGATTACATGACGGAACCCGGCAAGTGGCGCTTGGAAAGCCACGAGATATATGCTGAGTACCACCGTACTTCGTTTCGAGAAACAAGCTGAGTGCTTCGGTTCGAGTCTTTCTGCAGCACCAAATGCAGAGACCCAGAGAAGTGGTACCAGGTATCGATTTGTGCAGACAGAGGAAGATGCATTGGCGGCCTCAGCGTCTAGCCCGAAAGGGCATATTTGCGGTGGTTGACGCAGGATTCTGCGGTCGTGGGAGTGTCTTTGATACTCTGCGCGCGTGTTCAGACCGCCGGATTATCACCTTCAACATCAGAGCGAATCTGCTCACGGGGCGTTAACGACGCTGCAGACCCTGTATGGCTGCCATTCGTGTGCGGTGGTCATTTATGCGACATTGGCACGCATGTCCACCATTGCGCGACCTTGAACAGCCTCATCACTGTTATAGTTGACCTTACTCCGTACAGACCCCGAGATAGCCGTCGGACTGACAGCTTGGTCAAATCCGGTGACTCTAACCAGTACACCCATCCCCAGAAGGCAATACAGAACAAGCTCTGGAAGACCACACTTCGCAATGTAGGACCGGGCCTCTGCATCTGCATTCGTGGTGCGGACGTGGAAGATTCCATGCCTACCTAGCACAAAGCCCCGACGGGCATCTCACAGGCTCGAGGTACAAGCTTGGCCAGCATGGGTTCCAGGTTGCCCCGGGTGGTTTGCGCGTGGCATGCACCTGTACTCGTACTCAAGGGCAGCATGTAGGTGGTGCGAAGCCGGTTGTTCTCGGTTGAATGTCGGGCCGTGTGTCAGCATCCATGCTCCCTTTCGATTGCTGCTTCAAAGTCTCGTCCGCTGTTCGCACTTTGTATGACCATCACACCTTCCGGAATACTTCACTCTCTTAGTTTGAAATATTGTCAACACGCATGCCCCAGCCTGGCCATCTCATTACCCGAGCAGCTGGTGCAGACAGTATGCAGGTTGAGGAACGGTCCTCCAACAACGATTCCAAGAAGCACCTTACAGGCGACGATTCTTGCGGCTTTTGACCGCCGGACTCAGAACAATTGATGGTTACTTTGCACGGGACCAGGAATAGAGGGCGTCCAGCTTTGTGTGTCGAGCGCGCCTTCTCTCGGTTTCTTGCCACCCACCACCCCGGTAGACTCTTGATGCGCACTTCTTTATTCCCACACGCACGATTGCGAGGTCTCTGTCCCCAGATGTCTCGATCGCAACCGTTGCGGCTTACCTCGGATTCGATAGAGGCTGGACTTGATACTGCGGGCGCGAGACGACAGGCACTAAGAGCGTCATCTACGCATAGCGGCGTTGTCTCTGGTCGCTGGTGGTAATCAGTCAGCAATTCTAGATAAAAGGGATGACGAGCTGAATGACAGCAACAACTGGGGGAACAGGTAAGCCCATTGTCATCATTGAAGACCGCAGGCAAGGTTCATTGGCTGGGACACTCTGCCTGCGCGTCCTCCACGCATTTCTGCAAACATCATTAGGGCATCCTTTCCGCACCATGCGCCAGCGGGTTTGCTATAAGTTGGTCACGCTCGCATCTCTTGGATCGGGGTCTCGTAAAGTCAGCCGACAAGTCACCCGATTCGTTGACCAAGCTCCCTGATTGCTGATCCGGCTAATCTGACATCAGAAAGCTTTGATATTCAGAAGATCCAGCCATGTCTCAGAACGTGGACTTGAACAAGATATTGATGGAGCCGAAGCCGTACAGAGGCGCGGTTCAGACGCATTCCGTATCGATTCATGGCGACTCTGCTGAAACCGAGGTGAAGCCAAACCATTGAGTTCGTGTGCTAGACTGTGGATTGGCCTGCCCAGCCCAAAAGGCGGGGTATCCGGAAAGGGAAATGGTATACGAGGCGTGCTGGCTTGCATAGGATTTCAGCTTTCAGAAGTGTGAAGCAACCCAAGGCTTCACTGGGCGCCTTAGAAGTTGAAGCATAACATATATCTGACCCCAGTGCTCCGCCTTTGGGAGTGTTCAGATCACCCGACAAGACGTCTCTTTCGTCCGAGTAGATATCGCCGAAGCCTTTCTCATCATGGGATCCATGGGCCCAAACGTCGATTTCGACGCTCCTGCCGACACGGTCTTGAGCCCGTCGGTGCTGGCTCATGTCGTGCTGCGCACCCAGAAAGTCAAGGAGATGGTCGACTTCTACACCACGTACGTCACCCAGGTGCGTGGCGAGAATGCCGCGCGATGTCATTCAATGCTGATAGGAGCTTCAGCTTTCTAGGTGGCCATGTCGTGTACGGAAATGACTTTCTGTGTTTCATTACCTACGACGACGAACACCATCGAGTCGCGCTGATTGGGGTTCCTGACACCACGCCCAAGGTCCCCAACAGTGCAGGCTTGCACCACATTGCATTCACCTTCCCGGGACTGGCGGATCTCCTGCTAGCATATCGTCAGCGGAAAGCAAAGGGCATCTTGCCGGTCTGGTGTGTGAACCATGGGCCGACCAACTCGATCTACTACAAAGACCCCGAAGGGAACATGTTGGAGACGCAGGTGGACAACTTCGACAACCCCGAGGCTGCAACTGCTTTCATGGCAAGCGCAGAGTTTGCTGCGAATCCCATCGGGACGGACTTTGATCCCGAGGATTATATTACCCGGCTCAAGGGGGGCGAACCAGAGGACGATTTGAAACGCAGAGTCGAGATTGGACAGAGGGGACCACCGAATATCTGACGGATTTGTGGCCGCCAACGGTGCCAGTTCCGACGGCTTTGCAGAGTTCTTGCTTGTACAGTAGTGAATTTGCGGTTTGGGGATCTGACTGGGACTAAGGGCCATGTCTCCTTCGTTCCTCAAATCTTTCATGCGTTAGTGAGGTTGTCTTTGCTCTCATGGCTGTGGAGCGTAAGCATGGGTATAACGTCGGTAAGTATGCAAGGCGTGCAGTGAGCCGGAGGCCGGTATGTGCATATTCTAGGATTGATTTGTCGTAATCCCTCTCTGGTAACCGTCAATGTAATCTTACCGTTTATGGTCTCGTTCTGGCAGTTCAATGATGAGTTTCCCAGCCAATTTGATCACCAGTTAGGCGTGCCAGGTAGACAACGGTGTCGCCTATCACATCCCGGTGGCCTGAATGAGATAATGGCAAGTAACCATCACATGAGGCAACCAGCTCGTTGCGCATGTGTCATCCATCCTGGTGAGCCGTTCAAGTGTTGATGTGAGACGTTGGTGTATGGTGAGGCTGGGTGGAATCACGCATCGTCCGTAAAGATAACACCAAGGTCGAGTGGGCTGCTTCGCTCAAACAAAAGGTATGAGATCTCCAGCAAGATGAGAGCACGCTCTATCTTGGCCTGCTGCACGTGGTCACGGTCACGGTCACAAACCTTGGGTGTATAAATAAGAGGTCCTGAAGGGTTAACAAAGTGACAATCGATGATGCCTCGTGTCATGGGTATCAGAAAGTGTCGAGCAGACACTGGTGGCACTGTCAAGCAGGATGATGAAGACTCCTTGGACATCAGCGACACACGCATGTCTTGTACACGAATTGTGCGTCCATCTTCGCCGATGTTTGTGATGTCAGGAGTCAGATACCTAGGCAGCAGTCAGTCAGTACTTGGTGAATAGCCAGTGAATAGTCAGTCAGGCTCAAGTCAAGCTCAAGTCAAGCTCATCACCCGTCTGCTTCAGGTGCGGGGCCGTGCTAACCCCGCCGACTCCCGCCACGCCATCACGCCGGTCCGAGGAACGTGTAATATGTATTTTACGTACGGGGAAGATTTGCCAGACGTTGTCGGCCAAAGGGACGGTAGTGCAGTGAGCGAGCCTATGACATGTCATGACAGCGACGGTTCATATGCAGAGATCGCATCGTTCCAAGCCGATGGCACCGCGGCGGTTCTCTAGCTTCGAGACAGGCACATCGTAACGACTCGAGATCGACATCAAGGATCTATACATCATTGTATCACGGCACACGGGTGTTAGGTAGAGACTGGCAAGCACCCCTGCAAGACATATCGATCAGCAGGATTCATACACAGTTGCCGAGTATTCTGTACACATTCACATTCACGTTCACGTGCCGGGAACGTCTAGGGTATCTGTCGACAGTGTAACGTATCGTGGTGTCTCCCAATTATTTGCACATCCCAACACTTGAAACAACTAATCTAGCCAGCCGGCAAGCAGCCAGCAGTCAGCCGCACCACCATTTGTCCCAGTGAATTCAACATGCCAGCTGCCAAGGAAGATCATGTCCCCACGAGTGATGCAGGGTCAGACTTTCGCGTCGCAATCGTGGGCGGAGGCATAGGCGGACTCTCGGTCGCATTGAGCATCGGGACGTACTGTCCTGGTCTGACAGCAAGAAACGTCACCGTCTACGAGCAAGCGCCTGCATACACTGAGATTGGAGCTGGCATCAGTATCGGCATCTCTGCTGGCAGGGTGCTGAAGAAGCTGGGCGTGTGGGAAGCCGTGGATGCCATCTCCGGGTACCGCACCAATGTGCACCGGAGTAACCGACGATGGGACACGGATGAATTGATCGTGGATGCCCCGGCCTTTAACACGGGAGGGTCGCAGGAGGAGGTGCGGCAGCTGTGGCTTCATCGCGCCGAGTTCCTTGACGTGCTGTACAGTGAGGTGAAAAGGAGAAACTGTGCAACGCTGGAGACGAATAAAAGGGTGGTTCGCCTGGAGGTATGTCGTTGCGATGACACTTTGCGGACGTGAACCCGCATCTCACGCTTGGCAGGACCATGGCTCTACGGTCACGCTCCATTTCGCTGATGGCACCACCGCCTCGGCTGATCTTGTCATTGGCTGCGACGGCATTCACAGCGCCGTGCGGTCTCAGTTCGTCGTCGACCAGCCCGTCTATTCGGGCCGCATTGCTTTCCGGGGAATCATTCCCATGTCTGCCATGGCGGACGATTGGCCTTACTCATCCTGGACGCTCTCCTGGCTGGCCCCGGGCAAGCACTTCCTTGCATTCGGCATGTCGCAGAACAGACTGATGAACGTGGTCGCGTTCGTGGCCAAGCCGGAAAGCGAGCTCCAAGGACTGAAGGAGAGTTGGAGGAGCGAGGCGCCCCGGAAGGCCATCGAGAAGGAATACGCAGGATGGTGTCCGACCGTGCAGCGCATTATCCAAGCAATGCCCGAGACCATCAGCCAGTGGAAGATCAATGATCGAGAAGTCCTGTCCCAGTGGGTTTACATGGATGGGAAGGTGGTTCTGAGCGGAGACGCCGCACATGCGATGCTGCCGATGCAGGGTTTGTGTCCTTCATACAAGATACTTGCCAATGCGCATGGCTAATGATTTGTCTCAGGCTCTGGAGCCGGCTTGTCAATCGAAGACGCCAATGTCCTTGGTTTTGCCGTGCGTGACTATCTCAGCAATCCGGGTGCTGGCTTGGACAAATACATGTTGAAGTACCAAACCGCACGGGTACATCGAGCCCAGAAGGCCCAGGTCACGTCGCGGCAAGCTGCTGCCGTGTACGATATGCATGGGCCGGACTTTGAGGGAAAGACATTCGAGGAGTGTCTGCCGGTGGTCCGCGACAAGGTCGAGTCACGGATGGCATGGCTGTGGAAATCAGACCTTGAGGCGGACTGGGCGGCGGCGGGAGAAGTGTGATCGTAATGAATCGAGCTATTGTGTCTCGTTCATAGGTTTTTGTTGTAGATTGTATAAATGCTCCTCAGTCAAGTCTCTGTACTCCGTACTTCTCGGCCGCGCGCTGTGCACGTGCATTGTCGCGACGCGACGCGTTCCTTAGTCATCACTGGCCCCGGCATTACATTGCGCCTGAGGCACTGGTGACGAGAGCTACTCGGTACCCCTGCTACACCAGTGCCTACCCCGACTCCGTACCCCGTACTCGTTCACTCTGACATGCTCGTGGGTGATGAGCACTTAGTGGCCGCGGTGGTACAGGTGGACTCGGCCGAGCTCAGCGCAAGCGGCCGACATGTCCCGCCCTTTCCCCGGCTCACACTCCCCGGAACGCTCCAATGCATATCACTTTGGCATTTGCCGCGTGCCGTGAGCCGACTTCGCTCAAGCAGCGACTGAATGAGCGTCCCAAGCAATGCACAAGCAATCGCGAACCACGCCCGCAACTACGCAAGGCATCCGTGCCCCCCTGCCCCGTGCCCCGTGCCTATGCCGTGACTCCGTGACCTACGGTACTCGTGGGTACTGCATCCAGCTGGCAGTGGAGGAGAACAGCGCCCGGCCGCTTTTGGCAATACTGAAATCCTTATTTATGTATCGAGGCGGGGAACTTCCGACGACGCAATGCTTAAGATGCACGACGGAAGCTTGGTACTTTACTTTCTCACCTTAGCACGACGGAGCAGGTAGAGGAGAGATAATATACTCCGTACACAGCCTACACAGTACCGATCTCGTCTAGGCACGGCGTCCAACCCGTGCACTCGTGAAACCGGAATCGAATCGAGGAACATAATCAGCCTACCCGGAGACGCTCAGCAGAGGTCATCCTCACCGCTGCTCTGAGCATCTCTTTCTTCCTCGGCACGGATATCGATCTTGACGCTCAATTTTCACCATGCTCCTCGTCGACTCCGCAACCATACCGCCCTGGGCGTACTTTGCCCTGGCGACAGCCCTCGTCACCGCATGGATCCTCAGCTTCCGCTACCAGAAGGGCCTGAACAAATATCCCGGTCCATTTGTCGCGTCGGTGACCAATTTCTGGCGTCTCTGGCAATGGCTCCGACACACCGACATGTGCTACTTCCCTAAAGTGGCCCAATATGGACGTATCATCCGCATTGGCCCCAATACATTGCTGTTCAACGATCCGGAGGCCATCAAGGATATATACATGACTCACTTTAACAAGGTAGGTACCGAAGGAGACGCAAAAGAGGTTTTCCGTCGGAGCCGTGATCACCCTGCCTATCTGTCTCTGAATTTACTCTACTCCGTTTCTCCCTCCATGTCTACACGCCAAAATAGGAACAGAGCCCCGCTAACGCAGAAAACAGTCCGACTTTTACAAAGTAGGCCAGGGCGTTTCCCGAGGCGTCGCCGTACCGAACATCTTCTCGACCACTGACCGATTGTACCACGCCAAACTGCGGCGGTCCGTGGCCAACGCGTTCGCACTCAGCACGCTGGTCAACTACGAGCCCTACGTCACCGACACGGTGGCGACGTTCCTCGCGCAGTTGAACGCCCGCTTTGCAGGACGGCCTGGCGAGGACGGCATCTGCGACATGTCCGAATGGACCAAGTATTTCGCCCTGGACGTCGTGAGCGCGTTGACCATGGGCAAAGGCTACGGGTTGTTAGAGGCCGGGTATGATCACATTGGGATCGTGGAGGCTAGGACGACGTTCCTGCGATATTTTACCATTGTAAGTTGGGACCTCTGACTCGCTCCGCCCGTCTACGAAAGCACGCGTAATGCATAAACGCAGAACAGCAAACGTAACTAACTTCAACACTTCCGCCAAGGTCAATAATGTAACCTGGCTGGATCGGGTGCTCAAAAAGAACCCCGTGCTGATGTGGCTGGGACGCCACGGTCTCTGGAACAGCGTCACAGCCACGGTGCCCATCGCGCTCCGCCAAATGGACGAGAAGAAGCGCACCTTCAAGGGCGTCGACGAGGACAGCAAGACGCGCGTCGACCTGCTGACCAAATTCCTGCAAGCCAAAGTCGACAACCCGGACATTGTCGACGACCGCGCCGTGCTGGGCTTGACGCTCAGCATGGTCAACGCGGGCAGCGGCACCGTGGCCACGACGCTCGCCGCCACGTTCTACTTTTTGCTGAAATACCCGGCCGTGATGAAGGCGCTGGTCGAGGAGATTGACGCGCATTTCGAGCCGGTTGCGGCGCCGCCCAAAGCCAAGGCCGAGGCCGATCATTCTGCGGCCGACTTCCACGACTACGTCGTCCCCTTTGCCGAGTCCCAAAAGCTGCCCCTCCTCGACGCCGTGCTCAAGGAGATCTTCCGCATCTGGCCCGGCCTGGGCATGCAGTTGATCGAGCGCCTGACGCCGCCCGAGGGCGCGCACATCCTGGGCGAATACATCCCCGGCAACATCATCGTCAGCTGCAACGCCTGGATCATGCACCGCCACAAGCCCACGTACGGCGACGACGTCGAGGTCTTCCGCCCGCAGCGCTGGCTGGACGCGTCGCCCGAGCAGTTGGCCGCCATGAACAAGGCCTTGCTGGTCTGGGGTGCCGGGCCGAATACGTGTATCGGGAAGAACATTGCGTTTCTGGAGCTGTTCAAGGTCATCCCCTCGGTGTTGAGGGTTTTTACGGTGAGTGAGAAGGACACGAAGCGTGATTGCACTGTTTTGCGTTGGTTTCCGATGGGACGTGTGTGTGAACGTCAAGGTGGGCGTGAAGGCGAGCCCGAACCAGAAGTCACATCAGGGAATCGATATGCGGCCCATGTTCGCGTCTTCTGTTGGTTTTGCTGTCCTATCCCGTTGTCATGCTGTCTAAGTCGTTCCTGGCTTGTTGTCGATGAATCCCTCTTGCTGACTTCTCGTCCTGCAGCTCGAACTCGCCGATCCGACAAAGGAATGGAAGGTGTTCAACCTGGGTGATCCGGAGCCATCGGAGTTTTTCGTGAGATTCAAGCCGCGCTACCGGAAGGCTTGATGAGCGATGAGGTAGAAGGTCTGAAGGCTGATGAGCGATGCGGCGGAAGGTCTGAAGGCCGGTGCGCTAGGGCGCTAGCAGGAAGGGCTGTTCAGTATACAGCTGTATACTGGGTCTTACGCTATACGGTATATATGATATGATCTGGCTGTCTACGATAGATGGTAGATTATCTGGATTAGCCTGGCTTGAGCTGATTTACAAGGCTTAACCAGACTATGAGCGGATAAATGAATGATAGAGTGGTGAATCGAATGATGCCATGGTGTCGGTTTCTCAATGCGCCTGCCATCTGGATATAGATGTATATGCATATGAATGAGTCGTTGACAGGTCAGCCGGTTTCATTCAGGATGTAGCCACGCTGGTCTTTCCGCGCAAACAAGAGGTGATGAACCGCTTGGATTCTCACCAGCCAATCATATCTAAACACTAACTGCTTCTTCTTCTCACTGTGTTACTCCTCGATTATAAGCAAACGAGTGGCTGCTCAGGAACTCTAGATCTCCATCAAGCATGAACTCGCCCAGCTCCATCCCCAGCGGCGACTGCTTGTTACTCTGGATCATTCCGTTGAACATGCCCGCCGCTGAAGTGTGAAGGAGCGCATAATCACCCGTTTGAGCCATTTGGGGATACGGATTCTGACCTTGGCCTTGGCCCTGGGCCTGGCTCTGCCGAAACGGGCCTTGCCAGTCGTTTGGCTGGGGGACGAGACCCTGGCCAATAGCTAGAATAAGTGTTAGTAGGAACACGGCCAACACAACAGCAGGGACATGCACTGTCTTACCTAAAGCGTGCACCACCTGCACAAACTGTTCTAGGTAGTCTCGACATCGCGCAATCATGCGATTGTCGTTGTCGAGATGACGGAGAGCCTCGATTGCCATGCCGAGATGGAGAGTCATGTCTTCGGTCGAGTCAGGCAGGGACATGCTCGGATCGTTGCTGGACGCCTTTTGGTCCACTTGGACGAGAACGCAAGCTCCCAATACCAGGGCTGCGTTGAACGCTGTGAAACCACGGGTGGTTAGATCGAGTCACCGATGCGAACGGAAGCACCTACTGTAGTAGAGTGAGAACCACCAGGCGCCCAATAAACCCCATTTTGCGCGGCCGGAGGCGGATTGCAAGGCGTTGAGGACAAGACATATGATTTCCTTGGCTGATCTGATTGCAATCTGGATATGTATAGTGCCGATTTGTTGGAGCAGGGAGAAATCCTGGTTGTCGACCGGATTGTTCAGACCTTCCAGGAATTTCACCAGCACTGGCCGGTGGAGCAGGATGCGGACATTCGTATACCTCAACGTGAGGATGAATCTGAGCCGAAGTTGCCGCCATGCATTATCGGTCGAGGTCTCTGCTGACGGCAAGCGCTCGGGCATTATATCCTGAGTAGCAATGAGTCTCATATGCGCCGGCAGCGCTCGTTGCCACTCCGAGAGCTGGTTCTCAATCTTGTAGACGAGAGCCACGGTGTCGACGGCATTGGCTTGGAACGAGCACGCCAGGTTCTGTCCGTACAGTGTATCGATGGTGGTGCACAGTACTTTGTACAGAGTGCTGCGATCGGAAAGGTTAGTTTTGTTATTGACAAGAGGCTCTTTGACTTACGCAGTGCCATTGAAGAAAGCGACGCTCAATGACTCTTTCCTGTCCCATGACTCTTTCCTGTCACCAGCTGTGATCCCGCCATTGAGGACGGAAAATGCAACGGGCAGTTCAAGCTGGACATAGCTGTCAGGGATAGATGCCGGTCTTCCAAAGGTCATGCTCAAAGTGCGATCGAGCATGATGCAGCCAAACCATGTTCGTTTCCGGACCTCCTGCTCGATCGCAGGGAATTCCTTCCCCAAGTCACTTGAATGGAGTCCAATTTGGAAGGCGGCTCGGACAGCCAGACCGTGCATCTTCCATGTTTGCACAGACTTCTGCGTCCCTTGGAGGTATTGGCCCATCAGGAGAAGAAGTATTACTGCGTACAATTAGTTTCAGATAGCCAACGGATAGAGTGGTCCTCACCAAGCTCGACACTGGCGCCTGCCCCATTCTGTGGCTTCTCATTGAACAGTCCGTAAGCCCTCTTATAGTACATCTCTGATTCAGCATCGGCTCTGAAAATGGTCGAGTCGACACTTCCGGGAGTTGTGCTGGTATCTCTCGCATGGACCGCGGCATGCGCAAAGACCATGTTCAGCAATGCCAGCCACGTCCGCCTCACACCTCTGAATTCATCCTTGCTCATCTGCTCGAAGGTTGCCATGAACGAAGGTTCGTGGATGTAGGGAAATAGTACGCCGGTGTTACTAAAGTACCACGCGAGGAGTTGTCGGGCGACGGAATCTGTGGGCAGCGCATAGATGTTGACCTTTTCATGCATATGATCGTGATGGGTAGGAGCCGGCGATGCTGGCCTCGACGCATTGACGAACCCTCCGGTATATGGGACCGAGTTGCGTTCTGCAGGCGACGGTTTCCACGGTTGGCTGTCGTTCGTCAGCCTCGCCACGGCTCGCGACACATTTCGGAGGAAGGCGATGTTGGACGAAGGGCCGAAGAAGGCGCAGTCCTCTTCATCGGCGAAGGTGACTGCGCCCATTCCATCGATGGGGTCTTCAGTGGTCTCGGCATCGTCAACGCTGTCGTCCCGCACGCACGCAGTGTCTGGCTGAGCTGTCTGGCCGGACGTGCCATTGGTCAGGGCGGCTGAACCCGGCGCAGCACCAGCGTCGGCATGCTGAGCGACAACGGCAGGGTCGCGGCTCTCAAGCGCCGAGAGGCGGCCTTCGACCAATTTCAGTCGGTCCTCGATTGACGACAAGTATCTGGCGGATCGATCAGCAAGCGGGAAACACGCGAAAACCCATGGCTCACGAGCCAACTTACTCCTTGCCGACGATGATATTCGAGTACGACGAGGATTGCTGGTAGACACACTCGAAGCCGAGCTCGATGCACAGCGAGCACTTGGGACGGGCGCCGTCGCACTGATGGTCCCCTTCCAGTTAGCGCCACGTGCTCCGACCACCAGACGCCGGTGCAGGGGAAGTGGTGATGGTGGCTTACACGTGATTTCCGCCCTCGACAGACGGTGCAAGCCAGCGCAACGCGTCGTCGTTTGCTGGGCGGATCTGTGCTCTCAGACAACTGGTCCGCCCCGGACGTGCCATTCTTGGACGGGGTCCATTCCGGCTCCAGGGCGCTGTGGCGACGCAGTTGGCTCCTGCTGCTGTGCAGGGCGGAGTGCAGCTCGTCTGACCGATCAGTTGGATAGGTGTTCTGGCGGATCATGGTTGCGCATCGACCGTCACATCAGCTCACATCACTCGGCGGGAAGCTTGACCGCGCAAGCGACGGGGGGAGTTGTAGGAAGGGAGGCGCTGGCGGTTGTGTGAGACTCTGTGGTCGGTTGCGCGTCCCGGGAGCTCAGCCTAAGGATAACGATGGCTCCTCACCTCCTCAAGCGCTGTCAATCGGCTTTCTTCCCCAAGTGTCGAGTCTCCAACGGGGCAACGACGGTCGGCTGCCTGTTCGTCCCACGAGCAGCGTGCGGCTCTGTGGCGGCGGGTGCGACTGTTCGGCCGACTGCAATGCTCTTCTGATGGCAGTCCCAAGGATATCTACGGGATATGATAAAGTCGATGGCAGCCGCTCGTCGAGAACGATCAGAGACTTTAGACGTCGCGCTTAGCTTAGGGGCATGCGGGGTACACGCTCTAGATTGCTCCAGCCCAAGCAGTTAGCAGGGCGATTGTTCGACTGGGAAGCTTGCCGACACTTACCCGTGAATCGGGGAGCAGAGCAGAGACAGTCACGAGGACGGTTTGGAGAAGTGAAGTAGCTGCGCCGTCTGAGAGTCACAATGATTTGGGCATTGGAACCAGCAACGAAGGAAGATCTCAATGGTTTGGCCAGAGCAGCAACAAAGTAAGAGTCTCAGTGAGGAATAATGACATGACGCTGTGGTGAGTGCACGGTGAAACAAAACTGACTTTGACCTCACTCTACCTTGACAGGAACGTGTCGCGAACTTCACAGTAGAAATCATATCAGACCAACACTTGAGAAGTCTCTTCTTTACTACAGTCGTTCAATTCCTTCTCCTTACATCTTTTGGTCCATGCACCTCAAAGGTGCCTTCGACACATAAGCAGGATATCTCAAGGCCATTCTGCGTGTAGATGTAACCTTGAAAGACGGGCGCATCTTCAAGTTCTCAGGTATTGAGTAGGTAATTATCAAGGTTCAAGTACGGGACAAGGTGTTGACTATTAAGTGAAACGCACAGTATTTACAACTACTGTCCATACCGATACTGCATTCTTCCCATCTCCTCGATGTTGTCACAATCCCATTTCTTCTCCGTACCCGTCCTGTGACCTTGCCTGCTAAAGCACACGCCAACAGACGCTTTCTCACACCCACACGTACTATCTCCTACCTATGCAACAGCTGCACTGACACTCCGCAAGATCATCAAGCACACACGTAACTACGCTCCGCCGCCGCATCACCGCCCCGATACCGCGACCTCGACGGGAAAGGACAAAGATTCCGCGTCCTCGTCACGACGACCCCATCATCTCCCACGCTCTGAATACTCGCGTCCAGTACATCTGGCGCGACTCCCTTCTCAACCCACGCCACCACCGCGGCAAGAGGATCGACGGGCACAGCACCAGGTGGTGTGCCCGTCAATGCACCTGCTCCGCAATGATCGACGCCAGGGGCGAGAAACGTGCGATAGAAGCCAGCCACCGCGGACGCATTGCCGTGCCCGACGACCCGTTCAACCATGCGGTGGTACTCCACTGTCCCGGCTGGGAAGATGAGCTGATCGGCCTCGCCGTGCCAGACGATGGCTTTCCCTCCTGCGGCCCGGAAACGAGACAAATCCGGGTTATAGCCCCCGATGAGGGCGCCGTATTCGTGCTGCGACGCTTTGAACAGCTGCGCGAACGAGGCGTAGCCTACGGTTGTCGTGTCGAAGTTGGGATCCTTTTTCACAAAGTATTTAATCCATGCGTCGTTGACGAAGAAAGGGTATCCGACGGTCCTGCCCTCGCTGTCTGTTGTCGTGTTGGCGAGGCTGTCCAGCGCGGCTCCAGCATTGAGAGCGTATTTGTGAGTGAGTGCCGGTCCTTTCGGGCCGGCGACGATCTTGGCCAGCACGGAGGCAATCCTGGGTGTAACTGTTTCTTCTTGTTGTCCGTCCTCGCAGTGAAAGGTCGACCCGACCATTGCGTGAGCATCGAACTTACACGCCTGGGGGCTTGAAATGATGCCGTCGGTTAGACCGTCCAGGGAGTCGCACGCCGCTATGCTCGCGTTGGTGAAGGCCTGCAGCAAGCATCTGCTGGGATAGATCCCCTCCTCCTGCATGACCACCTGCGGCCACTGTTCTGCAATGACATATCTTGCCCAGTCGATGGCGGGCGCCCCGGCGACAATCCCGTCAAAGTCCTCCGGGTGCGTCTGTGCGGCCATCAGACCTTGTCTTCCGCCCGTGGAGCAGCCATTCCAGTACGAATGATGTGGTTCCCTGCCGTAGTATTGTGTCGCGATGGCTTTGCCGGCCACCGCCATGTCGTGGACAGACCTCGACGCGAAATTCAGCAGTAAAGCCTTGTCCACGTTGCCCTGGCCATCCAGGGCCCATGCGGCCGGAGTATAAGGATCGCCTGACAGCCCTGCATCGGTCGAGGCGGCAGCGTAGCCCAGGGTCACCACGGGAGCGAGGCTGAGCTCAAAGAATCCTGCCGCGTAGCCGCTGCCGCCGGTACCGAGAAAGCGTCCGTTCCAACCGGTGGATGGCAACCACACTTTGACCTTGACGGTATCGTTGGCGCCCGAATGCGAGAGGACAATATCGACACTGCAGATGTCGAGTCCGGTTACGTTGGTGTTCAGAAGCGGAGGACTGGCGAGCACCGACGCGTTCGGCAGATGTTGCGATTGTATCGATATCACGGTCGCGCCGGGGATGGTAGGCTTCGTTAGGCGATCGCATGGGGTGCTTTCGGCGACACTTTTTGCACCTGCTAGGAGATGAAAGCACGCGAACACTGCGGCAAAAGGCTGCAGGGTTCTTCTCAGGCTCGACATTCTGGCGACCTGATTTCCAGACGTGGTTTCCAGCCCTGGAATAGAGAGTGCTTGTTCGGTAATTCTTGCGGCGAGAACATTTCCAACCAGGACGTCTCCTTCTTATATCACCGGTTGCATGCCCGAGCCACCGCTGCTGCCGGTGGACCATTGCCGTCGTTGCGTCTGGGCGGGCGTATTCGTGGGGGCTTGGTACCACTCTCCCGCGCCATGGATGCCGTAGACTGCGATTGAGATTGATGTACACGCCTAGTCATAGCTAGTGACGGTGTAGGTTCGGAAGCTGGGTGTGCCCGGATCTTGGCGTCTCGACTAGTTGCGAGGTTTGTTGGTATAGATCTCGCTCGTGTGAGATTTTGACAACTGGCGGGTTGATGTCGGCATGCTGACATAACGTGGCTGTGACAAGCTCAACGCCCGAGCTTACACGAAATGCCCTAGTCAACACCTGCAGATGCAGATGCGCTCTACGGGACATATGGACGGATACTCGGTTCGCCAGCAATGATGACTTTTTTTGTGGTCGGCATGACGGATCTCTTTGCAAACCGCACGTCCTTCACGGATGACTTGACCACCTCATCACGGTCTGCAGCTGCCGCACGCCTTCGTACAAGCGTGGCGGCTCTTCGCTAACAATGGGGCTCTGCAGTTGGAGTCTCTACCTGTGACATCTACACTGTATTCCACATCAATAAGACGCCCCCAGCGTGTGACAATGTGGATCACTTAGAGGACATGTTAGACCAGGTCAAAGTGAGGGGGGGACCTCGAAGGCAGTGCATATTATTACTCGCCACAGCGTTTCGATCACGCTCGAGCGGACCTTCGTGGCAGGTTGGATCTCCATTGTGGCGGAGAGACCGGCGGGCATACTGTAACACACACATGATTATGCCTTCAGGCTCGTCAGGGAAGATAGTCATCATTGGGCTTGCTGATATCGGCCAAACCACAGCGCGCGGACCAGCAGGAGCGGTCTTCTGTACGGTATACTCTGTACGTCCGACTCGAAAAAGAGAGCACAGGTGAAGCAGTATCCCGCGTGGGAAGTGGGAGTCATCTATCCTCTCCGCAGTATACTCCGTAAAGGAAATGGAAAGGAGAGATCGTTCCGAAATATTGATGACTGCTCGGCGAAGTGGTAGCATTGGAAATTGGAGACACAGTAAATTGCAGCAGCTCCCCTCCAGGGCGCCTCTATCGGATGACAGGCTGGTGTTTTAGGCGCTCTTACTTTAAAACTTAGGCAGTCCCTACCTTATCCTGCAGGGCTTCGGTCCCTCCCCCCCAGGGCTTAGAGTACCTAGGAAACCAAGTCGCCGCCCGAGCCGCCAACGGCCCGCCAGAACAGGGACAATACGACGTCGGCTCCCCCGTTTCCCTACGCAGCTACCCGACGGACCAGATGGCTGAACGAAGTGTTACCACGAACAGACATTCATGAATCTACGTCTAACCACTGTATCGTTTTGCCATGGTCTAACCATGCAGATGTTGTTTCAGACAAGCCTCCACCTCTTCCACTGTGGTATCGGCGTCCAGCAGCATCAGAATATGCTGATCAGGACGGACCAGCAGACCTCCTCCAACCTGCAAGCCGGCACCCTTCAACCACTGTTGCCCAGCCTCTCCCACGACGTCAAAATCTTTTCCCGGAACGCATGTCTTGATCCCCGGAACCTGCAGTTCGCCTACGAGCGTGAGTTTGTCCAAGTCGCACAGATCCAGCGTACTATATTGGCGTAACTCGACGTCTTCCGGCGAAAACTCTTCCACATACGAGACATCCACCGGCTTCAGAGGGCTGCATGGCAGGCGTATCCAAGCATGCGGCAACCTGGCACCGACCTGGAACTTCGGCGTATACCTCGAAGCGTGTGGTGGGATTGTGTCACTGCCGTAAACATACCCTATGTGGAGTTCAAGCTATCCTCCGGTCAGCGTAACCTCAGAAACAGGCCTGGTATATGTTCGCACATTGTCAAAATGTTCTCTCTGCCCTTCAATGCCTAACGCGATGGCCTTCATTTTCTCCGGGTCCTTGATGTTCGCGTACAGATTTCTTCTCGCCGCCACCACGTCCTCGCCAATCCCGAGTGTTTTCAAGAGGGCAAAGATCTGCTTTCCATTCTTCACGCTTTGCATTGAGTTGACAATTGCGACAGGTCGTCTTTCTGTCTCGTACGTATCGAGGAGACTGTCTCCAGCCAGACCTTTGAGGACGAATGCAATTTTGTAGGCTAGATTGTGGACATCGGCCAAGCCGGCTACCCTGTTGTTAGTACAAAAAGCCTGTAATAGGACAAGGCCCACGCGGCTTCGATTAGGAAAGTACAAGTACTGGAGGACACTCACAGTTGAGCCCAAGACCACCCGTTGGTGGGAATGAATGAGCAGCATCTCCAGCTCTGGCTTGTTGTTAGGCGGCGGAACATCCCTTGCACATGCAACTCACAAGAAGACGTTTCCTTTCCTGTACGACCTTGCCACCTTTCGGCTGAGAAGCCACGGTCGGTACGAAAGTATGTCGAAAGGTACGTCTATCCCAAGCGCACTAACAACGACCTTGCGGCAAAGCTCTTGATTCCAGCTCTCAACCGGGTTCAAGTTAGCCTGGAACAATGTGTCAGACAATAGCCACGCGGTACTCGGCAGTAACTGACATCGAAGTTGCTGATCAAGACCGCATTCCCCGAGAGTTCGTATGCGATGATGAATCTGCGTTGTTGTGAGCATCACAACCTATATCTAGATGAAGAGAGAGCCGCAAACGCAGCACACGGGGTTTTCTCACCCTGAGGCCAAGGGGTCCATTATCCAATGTAGCATACCGACTCGTTCTCCGACAATAGCCCGAAGGTCGGCGTTGAAGTGGATGGTCATCATGGTCTCATCTCCGGGTCGTCAGTATCGACAGGTGGCTCATTGGGGCGCCCTTACACGAATCTTCACCATCACTCTCAATTCCCAAGGACGTGCGTACCTTGCTTCTTGGACCGTCGCAAGCGATAAGGTATTTCGACCGTACCTGGAATCGCAGCCCCGTAGCTCGCTCTTCCACCGTTGTCGTCACTCCGTCCAGGTCCTGCGACGTGAGGAGCAGATTCCCGGTCTAGAGGGGTCATTGGACACGGACCTGTTCTAATGATACAAAGGAGACACCCTTGCGGAGATCCACCCTAGGATCTTTGACGAGTACATCCGTGACAAAGTCCTCGAAGACTGGCTGCTGGATGTTGAGGATCATCTTCTCTCATCAGTCATATGTCGCTATTGTACATGGTCGGTGACAGACCTCTGGTGTATGTTCTAGGACGTCCACGTCCATACGCTCGTACGGTAGCACCCCAACTTGTTGACCACTGAGATTTGTAAGGAAGTTGACCCAAAACGCGTCACGTCTCCTCGTCCCTAGCTGCCGTATTTTCTTCACGTCCAGGTGGAATTGTCGCAACAGCTCCAGAGATCGAGGTGAAAGTGCATGCGCTTTGGGTGCTCCAAGTCTCTCAGGAAATCTCTCTACTACCAAGCATCTCACTTGTATTGTCAGCTGCCACAATTCTTCAATAGAGCCTGGTGTACGTGCCTCCAAGTTGGGATAAGAGATGGGCTTGAGACAGGCCTGTTGGACCGCCACCGATGATCAGAACTGGGACGTTTAGAGATTCTTGCAATGTCTCCGTTGGCACAGAAAGAGGTCGACTCAAGCCGGCATCGTTTGGGGGACTGAGCACGGAGATTCCCATATCAGAAACGGGGCAGTTTACGAGAGGCTAGCCGGTGGTGAAATTCTGGTCATGTTCATTGAGAACGTCACACCAGTGGTAGGTCGAGTTCCCTTTAAACATCAAGCGAATCGGCGGGGAATTTGTGTGGAGGAGAACTTCCAGCGGAGAAGTAAACAAAGTTTTGGTGGAGACCTGTGCCAGAGTCAGAGGAGAAAGCGGCGGAGAAAACGGAGGTGTGCGCGGGGCCATTTCACCAAATACTGACCGTGCTGAGGCTTAAAAATGAAAGTCCATCAGAGCTTTGCAGTCTTGTGTAGACCCCTCAAGATAGCTGTTTGCTTCAGTCGACTGCATCTAAGTATAGCGCAGCGATAGTTCTTCCAGACCACGGTGCATCTCGTACGAAACACCCCATAGCTCTTCGAGAGTCTTCAGAATCCTCGAGAAAAGGTTGATGTCGTATAGAAGATTGATGCACCTCCCATGCTTTTGCAACCTCCCATTGAGATATTGTCGAACCTCATGTACAAGCTCGGGTTCCTCGCTGTTCGGGGGGGTGTCGAGGTCGTTAGGGATGACGCTCTCCCAACCCTCAGTTTCTGGGAGACTGATGGTTGAAACACCACCCAGGAGGAACGCGGAGTACATCATGGCGGCGCTAAAGACTGCCATAGGTATATCGATCCTCTGTGTTTGCACAAATGGAAGATTCTGTAATATACCGTAGATGCTGAAGGCGTGGAGAAGTCCAAGGCGTGCTCTGCTGGTAGAAACCCAGGACGATAGATCCAAAGGTGGCACTCTCCGGGCACTTATAACGTGCTGGTTGATATTGTACTTCTGAAACAACGCTCGACACAAAGGATTCAGGTCCACCACCATATGCAGGCAGATGGTATGCCACCGTAACAGAGCGACGTCTTTTTCAACAGAGGAGAGAGACTTGCTTTGAACCACGAACGTGTGCAACTTTCGCAAAGCACGGGAAATATCATGTTCGGAGGGCATTCCGATCACTTCTGGAGGAGATGCTATTCGCTCCGCTGATAAGGCTTTGAGACCCTCGAGTAATACCGAGGCTGTGAACGAGGAAAGTGAGGTTGCCGGATGGCGAACATGCACATTCTCGGAGAAGAGAGAACAGAACATTTCAAAAAAAGGTCGTGGGTCGTTTTTCTGATTCAACATTTCCGTTCTCCAAGTTACGGCGTCCTGAGCGCCGAATATGGCATCATTCGCGGGTGCTGGTAGGCAATGTGATGTGTGTCGTTGGGAGGGAGCGCTTGTGTAGTCTGAAAGCTGGGCGTCAAGAACATAATGGCCTGAGTTGCGTTAGGGTAATCAATATGCAAATGGCAACAGTCAAGATCGTTTCAACAAGAACACTCTTTTCGAGGACGTGCTCACCAAGCAAGGCCCGGAGCTGGGTCTCTTTCGCGGCCCACACTTTCCATTCCTCCTCAACGACATCCTCAGTTGCAGAGCGGTCCAATGCAGGAGCCTCACTGTCTTTGTCGGCTTGAAGATCGAACATGCCGGTTTCACGTGCCCAGAAAAACCCGAGACTGTGAAACACCTGTGCTGTCTTGCGGAGTTTAATATTCTGCACCTTCAGCATTGGGTCACCAGAAATGAGTTGCTTCTTACTCGAGAAAGTGTTGCATATACCTGACCCAGTAGAGCCGTGAGAACTAGTTGGATACCAGGACAAATATCGTAGGGGCCACGGTGCCGGATGAGGCTCGACCACTCGATAAGTAGTCAGAATCGCAGGGAACGTTGCACATTTCGGCAACGAAAGCTCACCGATGTAGCCACAGCAGTGTGCGCCAAGCGCCACAGAGCCTCGCCCTTTCAGGGATTAGCTGTAGGACTTACAAAAGCTACATCTCACACCTTTGCTACGCAGTCCTTCTTGCCCATAAATAAGGATCCGAGGGCAATTGCGTTCAGCAGTAGAGGAGAAGTCCAGTCTCTGAAGACAAACGTCGGGCGGTGGACGACAGGAAAATTCGGGACGAATTGAGTGAAGAACATGTGGAGGCAGCCGTCAAGGAAAACACTGGTCAAACCCAGACTCTGAGCCGTCGATGTGACATCGCCAGACTTGTAAGGTGAGTGGTGTTCCGGGTTGTGGGAACCGACCTACCGTGGAGTTGATGATGTGGCTTAACGATTGTACCGCATGATTCCCACCATGCAGATGGTCTTGATTCGAGTCGAAGGTCAACCATGAAGCGACTGGGTGTGACTCGAGGTCGGTTGTACCGCAGACGATGGACTGGGAAGGAAGGACTTCCAGGGCGGGGAGCGTGGTAAACTCGGCAGAGAGAATTGAGTTGAGGAGGTCTTCGGAATCTGGCCAATTCAAGGAGCCGAAAGGCTCATGGTCCAGCTGCATTCCATCTGCCACCTCTTGATATGTTGAGTTTGGAGCATCACAATTTCGCCTTGGCGACGACGCATCGTCCGGGGACGTTCTCGCCCCGGATTGCGATTGCGGTCGGCCATTTTCGGTTCGAAGATCTTGTCCAGGAGACTGAGTGTTCACGGATGCTCCAGTGTGTCGTCTACTGTGACGCGAAAGACTATCAAGTCTCGTGAACTGCGTGCCGCACGCGTCGCAGACATATGGCCGAGACCCTGTATCTGAAGACCATCAGCAGCAAATACAGGGCCGGCGACGCCAAACTCACGGGATCGTTCATGCCTCTGTGGGAGATTGTCTTAGTCTCGCCGTCCACCCTACGGATCCAGACTTACGATAAGATGCTCTCTCTTGCCATAGGTCTTGCCACACCGAGGGCACACATGTATCCGGCCCGTCCTGGTTGAAGACATATTCGAAAACAGCTGGAGGGGCAAGATGTGGGGACGGGCTGGAGTGTTCGGATGAGAGAAAACCAAGAGCGAGCAGTGACAAAGTGCAGACGGGGAAATTGAGAGAAACGCGGAGACGCGTCTGTCGGATAAACCTTGATCCGATATTCCGCAGTTCCCCCCGCTATTACCCCGTACTCAGTAAAACACCAGTCAATCATTTCAGCAGAGCAGTCAGGGCATAGAATGATGTTGCTGGTCGGAACTGCTGTACTAACGCGCTTTGAAGCGTTGCTGAGAAGTGTTGAATATCCCACGCGTGCGCCAGGCTCTTCCATAGCACGACATCTTTCAAGTAACTAGGTCGCATCAAGTCACCCTACAGTCGCATCTTCTCCACCACACCACAGCGACAATGCTTCGCTGGGCAGCCACGTTCTCTGCAACCTCGAATTGGTCCTCACAGCACCTCTTGCGATTGTCTGTCGTTCCTGACGGGCCCTATCGACGCAGTTTCAGATCGCGGCCATCATTCCCAACCTTGCCGACCGTGTCTTCATCTTGCTCTCCAGAGGAGCGAATATCTCGATGCACAGACACTCAAAACTCAGGCGACGAAGTCGGATTTATGCTGCAATTAATCGGGAAAATCTGACCGTTGATCTCATGGCGATGTACCTGGAAGTGATCGTAACTTCGCTGTCGCGGCATGCTCGATTCTTTGCAAGCCAAGCAAGGTGGTAGGCTCTGATCAGGTGAACTACGAGCCACCAGGCATGCATTATGGTGGTACCCTCTTAACAGATCATGTTTTCGACCCAGGGCACCGCATTGTTCGAGGTGGCCACGAACTTTGCCAACAGTGCGTCAGCAGAGCAGAGCCTTTATGTGGGAAATCCGACAGTCGGAGTTCGAGTAAGATGATAGTGGAATCTCTTCCTCGGCAGAATCCCCTTTCCAAGTGAGGGTTCGGTTACATTGTCTCGGCGTAACCTTGACTATTTCAGGCATGGGAGACGAAGGAGATCCGCCCTTCCTCCGCCAATAAAGGCCTACAATCTCTTATTCATCTGCATAACGACGGATAAATGTTGCACAAGGCAGCATACGACGTGGGTCTCTGTTGCTGCAACTAGCGTTCGCGTGGACAAGCATTTTGTCTCCTATCTTAAGCCACTTTGACTGCTGCTTCATCTCTTGTCGCACACACCACGATGAGACAACAAATCCAACTCGAGCTGTCGCCGGTTCCGTAACACCTTTGAAATATGGCTGACAACAAAGAAGGCATTGAGGAGGCGCCCCCAGCCACAGATTTTATCGTGGATTGGGATGGCGATAATGACCCGGAGAATCCTCTGAACTGGCCGTCACGGCGTAAAGCGGCCAATATTGCCCTTCTTTCTTGCCTGACCTTCGTCATGTAAGTTGTTTTCTTGTGAGAAACGTATGTAGGTGAAATTGACACGTGTCCCAGGCCCCTTGCAAGCAGCATGTTTGCCCCTGGTATCCCCAGCGTCATGGAAGACTTCAACAGCTCCAGTGTCATCCTGGCCGCATTCGTGGTCTCAGTCTATCTTATAGGCTATGCGTTTGGACCTTTGGTCTGTGCACCGATGTCGGAGATCTATGGACGATGGCCTGTGTATCAGGTCACAAACGTGCTATTCATCATCTTCACCGTCGCATGCGCCGTGGCGCCTTCATTGGACAGCCTCATCGGCTTCCGCTTCTTGGCCGGTGCCGCGGGCTCGGCTCCTTTGGTGCTGGGAGGAGGAAGCGTGGCGGATATGTACTCGCGCGAAGAACGTGGGTCGAAGATGGCTGTCTTCTCGATTGGTCCATTGATCGGCCCTGTTGCAGGTGAGGACTGCAATTATGGGATCCTGCATCGAGATCCAGCTAACCGCAAGAAACAGGTCCTGTGGCAGGTGCCTTCCTCTCTCAAGGTGAGTTCCCTAGACGGACTCCAGGGAAGCATTGACGTGGCGTCGAGACCCGAGGAGGCTAACCAAGCCCTACAGACGTTGGCTGGCGGTGGGTTTTCTGGGTGATCACTATTGCGGTGCGTATGTCGCATCCTGCTTACCACAATGGCGAACTAACATACTCAAGGCCGGGATCGTCACAATCCTCTGCCTCCTCTTTATGAAAGAATCCTATGCCCCAGTTCTCCTCGAGCGCAAGGCTGCAAAACTCCGCAAGTCGACGGGCAATCTACAATACCGTTCAAAGATGTCGTCCGGAGATGATCCTCGCACAGCATTGGTGAAAGCACTGATCCGCCCGACCAAGATGTTTCTCCTGTCCCCGATCGTCTTCATCTTTGTGGTATGCTATCAGCGCCTTGAAACATTCCGCACTTGGGCCAAGATGCTGAATAAACTCACAGATCTACGTCTCCATTATCTACGGCTACCTGTACCTCCTCTTCACCACCATCACAGAAATCTACGAAGGGACGTATGGCTTCAACACAGGTCTGGCCGGCCTCTCGTATCTCGGCATCGGCGTGGGCATGTTCCTCGGTCTCGGCATTTTTGGCGCAACGAGCGACAAACGCATCCAAGCGAAGAAAGCCAAAGGTGATGTATCGCCGGAAATCCGACTCGAAGGGCTGATTCCCGCGGCAATATGCATTCCAGTTGGCTTGTTCTGGTACGGTTGGTCGGCCGAGAAGCAGATCCACTGGATTATGCCTATCATTGGCACGGGATGGGTTGGATTGGGCTTGATTGGCATTTTCGTGAGTCCTGGAGCTTCTCTCTATTCTTTGCATTCCGCTAACGATGAGGACGGTAGTTGGCCGTGCAGACGTATCTCGTTGATTGTTATCCCTTGTTCGCTGCAAGTGTTACTGCCGCAAACACAGTCGTGCGGTCACTTACTGGTGCTTTCCTCCCGCTCGCAGGACGGCCGTTGTACTCAAGTCTCGGTCTTGGATGGGGTAACTCGGTACTAGGCTTCATTGCCCTGGCGATGGTGCCACTACCGTTTGTGTTTATGAAATTCGGTGCTCGGCTACGAACGCATCCACGGTTCCAAGTCAACTTTTGAAGAGACGATGATCTTGGATGGGAGATACGGGCAATGCTGTTTCACGTCGGGGGCCCACTAAACTGGCCACGAGTGAAGCCTGACAACAAGCATGGAACAGATTCATCGCCAACTGCCGTCGACACTATCAGTTCACATGGTAGAGGAGTAAAGGAACCTCACCGTGGATACTGTCCGCACAGATGCAGCGTCACGAGATTCTCCCTCAAGCATCTCGGCTTCACATTTCATGATGTTTGGCATGTTTCAAAGCCTCCGAACAGCCACTTCTTGACATCGCATGAGCCAGCCAGCGGAAAATCCAGCCCACGGAGAAGTCTTCATCGTCCACCAGCCCTACCATCAAGCATTGACGGCCAGATCTGGGAGCAAGGTCGAGTCCTTCAGAACAGAAACAATAGTGATTGGTCCAGGCCATCAATCTCCAAAGCTAACAAGGAAATAGAAAGCGACCTCACATACTACTGGCGCCCATGAACCACAACAAGAAGCGAGACAAGCACACGGCCGTATGGTGTATGAGAAGTTAGGCAGCGTCCTGACTTCTTGGGAGAGTGTATGCCTGCTCGCTCGACGATTACTCCTTAAGACCACGTACCAGCTGCCTTCGCGTTCGTCTGCTAGGATTATCGACATTCCATTTGAAAGGATTGTTGATACTCAGCAGCCCTGTCTAGACAGTTTCAACCCCCACCAGACAACCCCTACGCGACATCTTCCGTCCCTGGAACCGGAGTGTCACTGGCGTCTCCTTGCGGTGAGGGCCTGCAACGTGGGAATCCCACCCTCATGATGCCGAAGCTCATCGTCGTCCTCGTCCTCCACTGGCCCCAAGTCCACGCCACACATCCAAGCCCAGTACTTCGAGAGCGCGTACCACATGTAGCTGTCTGCATTGTTGAGTGTCGGGTAGGGTCCAAAATCGGCGGGGTCGCTCAGCGCTCGTCCCTTCAGTCGCTTCGCATTGTATGCGCCGTATCCGGTGACATGGTTGGGACCGTTGAAGTCGGGGATCTGTCGGAAATCAGAACCCGGCGGCACGGCGATGAAATCTTGCCATTGCGGGAGGTCCTGCAGCAGCCACGACCAGTGTATCTACCTTGATATCAGCATCACGAGACGAGAGACGTCAGATTGAGGGGATAAATACCAGCTCATGCAAGATGAACGCTCCCGGGAAGATCATGAACTCGCTGTCTAATCCACAATGTCAGCACGCGGGGAAGACAAGAGATCTGGAGTCACGAGAAAGGTGAGAAGAATTGAAGAGAAGAGGAGGGAATGGAAGAGAAGCAAGGGACGGGGGGACCTGGATTTGAAGTCCATTCAGCACAGCCAATCCCAACTCCACCGACTGCCCGTGACATGCATACAGGCAGAAGCATACATGCATGCATGTCCCAAGGAGGATGAACATCCACGTAATCAACATCCGCAGTATGGTATGCAGCGCTGATGGTATGCAGATGCAGCGCTGATGGCGTGTAGCGCTGATGGCGTGTAGCGCTGACGGGTAACTACGTACCGCGATCAAGTAACTCCTCACAACCATACCTTGCGCTCGGCGTACTGTCCAGCTCCCTCGCCCACTCGGGAGGATCCAAGATCTCCTCGGCGAGAGGATAATCCAGCACGGAGCAGCACAGACCACGACGGTCGCGCCGTCCTTTTCTTCATCGAACACCAACGCCCCCGAGACGCCCGGCCTGGTACAATCATCCTTCCACATGTCCGGCGTTTGTGGCGGCGTCTGCAGCGCGAGCGTCATGCGCGCGAACCGCGGCGACAAGTCGAGGATGTCTTGGTTGGAGAGCAGCAGACTCTGGATCTCTTCCCCGTTGTCGTACTGCGCGTCCAAGGGAATGTTCGCGATGCGCGGGGAGATGCGTCTTACAAAGGATGCTGGTGATGAAGCATTCGCATCCGCATCTGCTCCCGCAGCCCCATCCTCGAAATTACCGCTGATAGACCGGACCGCAGGGTCCTTGCAACGTCAGGGCCGCTGCCCTGGAGAGGACGATGGCTTCTTTCCACGAGGCGTGGAATCGCTGGACGTATGGCGTGGGGGATGTCGGGGATATCCAAAAGATCGGCAATACGGCCTGTGTCGGAGAGGGACAGCCCAGGAGGAGGAGGAGAACAAAATGCAGAGGGTAGACCATCGCGGTCGCTGCCACCCCTGAGTTCGAACGAAAGACTTCTTGACCATGAGTCTGAAACGGCATGATGCCTTGCTACTGTCTCAGCTGGAAGGGTGCGAAATCTGGGTACTCCGGCAACAAGCACAAGCTCAAGCACAGGCACAGACAAGGAACAGTCCAGGAGAAAGACGGTTTCGAATGCAGACATCAGCATCAACTTCGGACGATATGCGCGAAAAGAGCAGTGAATGATGCCATGATAGTGATAGGTTAGCTGGCTAAATTCTATTCATGTCAGTCACTTGCGCTTATCACCTTTCTTCACTTCTCTTCACCTCTGGGACTGATAGCCAAGCACTAGGCAGTGTGTGGCCGACAGAGCACGACACAAGAAGACACAGCATGAGGCCTACTTTGACATCGAGTCTTAGAGCAGTGATCAGAGATATTGATGTTATGTCGTTTGATGCCCATGATCCAGCAGCCGCGGCAGCAAACACCATTACCGCCTCCACCAGCGGTATGGAAGCACCATCCATGGACGAAGGGAAATTCACATGCAAATACACATGGACGCACCGCGGCAGAAACCTTTGTCTGTTGCAATCCGAGCACATACGTGTAGGCTGAGAGGTCATCGGGGGACATCTGGCCTGGTGGTGGTTCGTTCAAGAGCTACTCTGTCTCCATGAATCAGCTTGTTCAGGGTCTACACTATCTCCATGGGTTACAAACAGGTCCGAGACTAATTCCGAGCCTCCTTGATCGACGCCGAAATGCGGCGCAATCTTACATTTCCTGTTCTTTGTCTTGATGGCGAGGATGCCGCGTCCACCTGACTCAAATGAAGCCTTGTTGCTTTTCTCCAGACCGCGCAAACTGTTTGGAACTACTTTTTGTGCCACGACCACCTTCGTTGTCGGCTTCGTAGTCAACGCTGCCTGGAGTCGGCTGGTCGAAGCCAAGTTCAGCAGTTACGCCGATGTTCTCGCCATTGTACCCAACAGCTTGGACTGTACGACGCTGACTATCAGCGCGGCTCTGCGCCCCCCTGAACGGCTTCTGACACCTCCATGACCAGAAGGTACTTAGGGCACTATCGACCGTCAGCGTTGGACCACTGGATCGGGAAGTTGAGGCGTTTCGTCAAGACTTACTACCACAGGTAACTATCAGCATTGTTAACTGTAGGGTGAGGTCCATTCTCGTTCGGATGGCTGACGGCTCGCTCCTTGAGAAGGCGAGCGTTGTTTGGCCCATATCCGTACGAGGGAGTTGCGCCTGGAGAATCGAAATCGCTGATCCTGCTTGCGGGCGGCACGAACTGGCCCCATTCCGGCACGGCGTCTTTGTACAGCTCTCCCCAGTGAATGAGCTCGTGGAGCAGCCACCCTCCGGCCTACTTCGTCGTTAGCACAGAGAGAAGAGACGGCTCCGAAGGACGGAGAGGTGCCGCTTACAGGCAACATATAATCCGTGTCTCGGTCGAGCATACCATCGCAAGTGTACCCCTCACGCAGCCTCCCCTGCTCGTCATATGCCCACGGCCGAGGATTCAAGATCTCATCCAGTGTAGGGTAGAACAGCGTGCCACGGCACAGGACTATGGTGGCTTCGCCTGTCGCTTTGAAGTCCGCGTACGCTCCAAAGCCATGATCGTACGCGCAGTAACCACTCTTGGGTAGCCAGGGAGGCTCTCCGAACGCGATCGTCAACTTGGAGAACATTGGCGAAAGTCCAACCAGGGTGCTGCTTAGCAGGAGCTGCAGAGCAGTGGCTTGTGTCAGCGTTGCATCGAAGGGGATGTTGGCAAGTGTATAGAAGATGTGCTTGACGAATAAAGCCCCTTCCGCCTCAAAATATCGCTCAAACGTCGGATCGAGCCTGCAGTCGGCTTGGAAGGACATGGCGGCGAACCTAGCGAGCTGGATACACTCAGTCCAAATCTCAGAAAGACGAGGTCTGAACTCTAAGGGCAAGGCCGGATCTATCCAGAAGGTAGGAACTGCTGCCAGCAAGGGCGAGCTGAACCAGAGAGAGGTAAGGGTGAGAAGGAGAGGTCCGAGAGTTTGCAGTTTCATCTTGAGCAGATCGTGGTGTGGAAGCCTCGGTGTGCAATCTCAAGGCCAGACCAGCAGGAAGGAAGCACAATGTTCAGCCCGGGCGTGGACCGCGGCTCGAGGAACGAGGAGTGTCGGTGTCGCTGTTGTTTTGTTCATCTACATGTTCCGTGGTGTCGCATTGCGTGGTCGATGTGTCGTGATGAAGGCGAGCTGTCGAATGGTACAATACACGGGCATGGGGCATTGGTGGTGGACCGATCTAGGGCGCTGGAAAACATGGCAGTCGCAGTGACGCGCAGTTCTTCACATCCTAGAGCGCAGGTACGAGCGATAGCCTCGTTGAGAGCTTTCATAGGCAGTCACATGCTAAATACCAGCCTCGTGATGCAAAGTGAAGGGCCCTAAGGACGAGGTTTCAATGCCCTTCGGTGTCGCCTGATTTCGGAACAAACACAGGCCAACAGAGACGTACGCCAGACATCTTCCTACTCAGCTTTGCCATTACTTGTTCTTAGTATTATTCCCTCCATGGCCTTTGTTAAAGATTGAGTAGCTTGTAATCTTGGTTTGGATTTGGCAAGGCTGGAGGACGAGGCTGAGAAATCAGGAGCGAGCCTCAAGACGAAGTATTATGGCGGAGCTTACGACAGGAGCGGGTGACACAGTATGTTTCGTACCCCAATCCTGCTTACGCTACTTGAAGCGACTCGGTACAATTCATATCCATGTAGTCCGTTCTATAGTTCTAATATAGACCAGGAGAACTTACTCGTACTTGCTTGGCTGTTCGGAAACAGAGAACAGCATCCCTGGTTCAATACTCTCCAACAAAGGACATTCTCAATATTGCTGTTCCTCCCGTCTTTGTCCAATCTCTATCTCTACGCCTGAGACGAGCCAGGTTTATTTATATTCTCCTATCTTTACCTCCAGCATCATAGCTTCGCGTCCCGCCCTCTCCTCGACGACCCTGCCTCCCGCTCAATGTCTCTGAACCGCTCATACTCCTGGAGACTCGCGGGATTCCGTACCGTCGAACTTACCTTCACATTCGCCCCACTAATCACTTTCTTCACCGCAATCTCGACCTTCTTCCCATTGACCGTATAAGGAATATCCTTGACTTGGAACACAAACTTCGGTACATGCCTAGGGCTCAGTCCCTCGCGGATCGCCGACTTGATCCTGTCCACCAATGCAGGCGTGAAGTCATTCTCGTGCCCAGGCGCCATGATGACGAACAGAAACACGGTTTCATCCTTGTCATGCGACCGTCTACGGCCCACGCACAGCGTGTCGGAGATCAACGTGTTAAATTGCGGCCCCTCGACGATATTGTAGATCTCGGAACTTCCGAAACGGATGCCGCTCGGGTTGAGGACGCCGTCGCTGCGACCTAGGATCTGTAGTCCCCCTGTCTTGGGGTTGCGGGTGATGAAGTCGTGTTGGGCCCAGACGTCCAGATATTCGAGCGCGTCCGCCTTGTCGTTCGCCTTGCCTGGAAGCCACGACCACTTCTTGGACACGGTCTTGCTCTCGGCGTTGCCGTCGCGCGAGATTGGGAATTTCTCAAAGTACGCTTCCATGTATTTCTTGTTGCCTGTGTCGCCCCAAAATCGACAAGGCATGCTGGGGAAAGGCTTCCTGCACACTAGTTCACCTGGCATGCCTGTGTGTGCTATGCTCTCGCCGGTCTCGCTGTCAAGGATGTCGCAGTCGTGGCCAAGTGCCCAGAGCTGCATTTCATTGGCGTAGACGGGGCCAGCCGGGTTGGTTGCGATCCATGACGACGCAATGTCCGTGCCGCCGGCGACGCTCGAGAGGTGAATCTTGCGGGTGGGCGAGATGCCACGGACGGGGTGGTAGAACCAGGTGAATTGTTCCGTCGTGAGGGTCGCGCCGGTGCATGTGACGAGTGTCAACGACGAGAGGTCAAGCTTTTGGTAGGTTGGCGACGACGGGTCCAATATCCCGGACTGCTCAAGCTCCAGGAGGTAGCGCGGCGATGTGCCCCAGTAGGTTGCCCTGAATCTCTCGATGATGCGGAGCATGGTGCTAGGGTCGGGGTATAGTGCGCCGCCGTCATAGCAGATGACTTTGGCGCCGACGCTAAGGTGTCCGTTCATCACGTTCCACAGGATCCAGGATGTCGAAGAGTACTGGAAGACTGTGGATTGAGGGGTAAGTCCATTGTGCAGCAGCGATATCTTCTTGTAGTTCAGGATACTGATGTGCGGAGAGACGATGCATTTGGGCTCGCCCGTCGTGCCAGAGCTGTACACTATCACCAGGGGTTGGTCTGTCGGCATCCGCGTGTACGTGAGTTTGTCGGCAGGGCGGGAGGCTTCAAGGAATGTGGCCAGGGAAATAGCGTCATTGACGGGGCGAACGTATTGGAGGTTGGTTTTCAGATGGGGCTTGTGGCATGTCGGCACAAAGACGACCTTCGGCTTGGGCTTGTCTCTGGGCAGAGACCTGAGTATTTGGAGCACCTTGCCCATCATTGATGGTCTGGTCCCGCGCAACGCCAGGTCCGTGTCCGTGAACAGCCACTTCGGCTCAACCTGAGAGAATCGACTGACGCAACCGGGAACGCCTAGGTCGGGGGACACGGAAGTGAAGACCGCCCCGATCGAGGCTGATGCCAGGAACAGCACGATGATCCATATTGAATTCGCCATCAATGCAGCAATCACATCGCCTTGCTGAATACCCTGTCGAACCATTGCCGAGCGAGTGAGTCGTACGAGCTCGGTCAGTTCGGCCCAGGTAATGTTCTCGGGGTTGGAAAGTCCGTTCTCTCGCAGACCGACTAAAGCAATTGCATGGGGATCCCGTTGCGTGTTTGGTACAAGGACATTTTCTGCGTAGTTCAGCCGTAAGCCGGGGAAGAAGGTCGGGACATCCCTCAGCCTGAGATTGGGGTTATACGCCAGCTTCGTATGTTTCGGTAACGGGGGGATGATACCGCAGTAGTCGTACAGGTCGATCCAGAATTCATGTGGGTTTCGCACCGTCCAGGTATGGAGATCATGGGAGTCTTTGAGCGACTGGGAGAATTTGTGGTTGATCCGGTGACGGTACTGGGATATCAATGTTGACTCTGGGTCGGATGGTGTCCATAATAGCTCTGGTTGCGACATGCTGGCGGACTTGCTGAGAGACGCCGGCGAGGGAGTGGTTGACGTTGTCGACATCGTCGTCACTGACGCGAATTGCGGCAAGTTTTGGAACTCTTTTCGATATTCTCTGGAGCAATACTCGAGTGGAAGTCCGACCGGATTGAATGGCATTGTATGCAGAGAGGAATTCTCCTCGCAAGGCCTTCTCGCTGTCTAACGTCCAAGTCTATCTATCGTCTAATGCCGAGGAAATGAGATCCATTGGAGTTGAAGGGTTCAGAGAGACGGCAACGGATCAGAATAGAGCCGATATGCGGAGCGATGCTCGGATAACGACCCATGTTGGAGACTCTGCCTCGGCAAAGGGGCCATTGTCAGTTACTCTGATAGGACGCCAGCAGCGGCTCCGATTGCTTGACACGCTTGATTGCGTCGATTGGCGTGAATTCAGAGCGATGTGCCAAGATGTGGGAGCCCCGTTGAGTAGCAGGTCGCGCCGCTCTATGCTCGCCCGAAGAGGGAAATGGCGCGAGACGGCCAAGGCCATCCTGATTAGTCATACTCACGCTCACCAGAGGTGCCAGTGGCGAGGTTCCCGGGGCAGCTATGGGTAAGTAACCCGCACGAGTCACAATATCTGTTCGAGGAGGAGATCTCCCCCTGGCGTAGCTGGCAAGAAGCATTGATGGCATTCTACATGGTTCGTGCCTGGCTGGTTATAATGGATAGTGTCGCCCATAACCACGGTGAAGCGGTGAATGACCTGAGCAGCTATCGAAAATCCCATCGCATCAACTAACGTGCATCCCATTATTTCTTCCATCTCCATCTCCTCAGCTCGAGTTCAGGCAGCCTCAAAGCCAGACTGCTCATCACCACACTGACACTACTCGCCGCCATAGCCACACTTGCCCAAACAGGACTTAGCCTCCATCCAGCCTTGCTGTCACTCGCTCCAATAGGGAAAAATACGCCAGCCGCAACAGGTACCAGACATAGGTTGTAAACTGCCGCCCAAGCAAAGTTCAGCTTGACGCGGAGGAAGACGCGGTTGGCCAGACGGACGAGCGACAGAATAGTGTTGAGGTCTGAGTTGAGCAGGATGAATGAGGCTGTGGTGATTGCCACGTCCGAGCCCGATGACAGGGCAATGGAGACATCTGCGGCCGAGAGCGCGGGGGTGTCATTCGTACCGTCCCCTACGAAAGCGATGATTTTGCGACCATCCGGAGCCGCGCCGCCGGTGGATGAAACCCCTTCCAATTCGCGTATGTAAGCTGCTTTATCTTGCGGGAGAACGCCGGCGCGGACGTTACTGGCGGGAATGCCCAGTTGTGAAGCAATTGCAAGAGCCGTGGTTTGATTGTCGCCAGTACACATGTGAACATCGAGGCCAGCATCGCGTAGTAAGTGAAGGACGCTGGGCGCTTCAGGACGGATTGGATCAGCGATAGCAAAGAGAGCCACGGTCCGGTAAATCGACGGTGCCTTGCCTTTCGCAAGATCTTCTGATGACTGTCGCACGGCGAATATCGCAGTTGAATGCCCCAGAGACTGATGTTTTCGCAGGATAGGGTTAAGATAGAAGTCGTCCTGTACTGTGACCTTCGTGGCCTCATTCACTGGGGCTGGCTTGGCTTCTCCACCATTTGAAGAGTCGATGAACTGGAGCAGCCTTTCGTTGCCAAGTGCAACTTCGTATTTTGTGCTGGCATAATCATGGCGAACGACGAATCTCCCAGTCAATCCTTGACCAGGGATCTCTTTTATTTCTTCTGACTCCACCGTCACATTTGGGGATTTCTCGGCGCAATAGGACGCAATCGCTTTTGCGATAGGGTGAGTGCTCGACTCTTCCAAATTGCGAGCCATGGCGAGGATGACGTTTTCGTCAATGGTCGAGGTATAGCTCTGGCCGTTTTGGATCAGTTCGAAGTCAGTGACCCGCATCTGACCTTCAGTGAGCGTGCCGGTCTTGTCAAAAACAATAGCATTCAACTTGGATGCCTCCTGGAATGCTTCTCCGCCACCTTGAACCAGAATGCCATATTTTGCAGCTAGGCCTCCGCCAACAAACAGTGCAGTCGGGGCGGCAAGACCAATCCCGCAAGGACAAGCCACAACGAAGACAGCAATTGCAAACTCGAGAGACCAGAAAGGCCAGCCACCACGATTCACATCAAGCCATGCTCGTGGTAAGGCACCTGACAGGCCCAAGGCCAGCCAAATAACCCAGGTAACAATGGCAATGAGCGTTATCACTGGCACGAAGTAGCCTGTGAGTATATCTGCAATGCGTTCGATGGGAGCTCTCTTCGCTTGACCTTCACGGACAACATTAACAATCCGATCTAGCATCGAAGTGCCCCCGAGTTCATTCACCCTGATTCGAACAGGTTCGGAGACATTGACGGATCCTGTGTACACTTGGTCGCCAAAGGTCTTCCTCACAGGCTTAGATTCGCCAGTAAGGGAGCTTTCGTCGAAGAGGAATATGCCCTGCTGCTCGATGGTGCCATCAGTCGGTGGTGAAACCCCGTGGGCGATCTGAACCAGGTCGCCCGCTTCCAATTGATCCACCGGGATCGTCCGGATAGTTTTGTCTTCCACAAGAACCGCTTCCGAAGGCCGCAGTTTACTGAGCATTGCTACTGCATCGCCAGTTTTGGTCTTGCTGTACGCTTCGAGAAATCGACCGATGAGAATGAAGAAGGTAAGGAATGTTACCGTGTCGAAGTAAGTGTCGGAAGAGCGACTTTGACGCATATTATGTGAGCTATCTGTCGCATCCATGATCAAGACGGCCAAGGACGAGAAGTATGCGACAGCAGCACCGGCACTAATCAACAAGTTCATACTGCCAAACCGGTAAAATCGACGTATGATCGGAATCTTGCTGTTCCGTCTCCACATGGCCTTGATCTCTTTGAACGCCCTGGCGTGAAACAAATCCGTGCCGAAGAACATGACGGGCGTTGTCATGAAAAATAACGCCCACTCCATTCGCATGGCTTGACCAGCAAGGATAGGCTGTTCCCACCATTGCCTGGTCGGATTTGACTTGGGCACAAGACTCATGTAGATGACCCCGATGATGAGGGTAGGGACAGCGATTATCCCGGTGAAAAGCAGTCGCCAAAGAATGTGTCTCATCTCTTTCCGTTGCAGCCGGCGAGACCGCTCTTCTAGCGTTGGTGGATGATACACGGTTGCGGACAAGGCTTCATGTGATGCGTCGATGGCAGCGACGAAGCTCCGCACATTGATTTGACTGGAAGGGCGATAGGTGATGGTGATGATTGGGTCATCCAGCGAGGGAAGCTGAATTATGGTATAGACTCTGTCGGGGCTCGTGGGTAGTGAAGACTTGATGGCGCGTCTGATATTGTCAGGACAGTGGTCGCAGTACATGCCGTCAACCTTCAGTTGGACCGTTCTTTCCTGCTCCGGGCTTGCGACCTGCGTGGCAGTACCTTCGAGCTTAACAACTGTCGCATCATAGCCGAGGTCGTCAATTTTCTGGAGTAAGATATCCAGATTTTTCTTGCCAGAGAAGGATATGACGCCTCGATTGCCAACTAAATCGATGTTGATGCCCTTGACAAACTGAAGCTCCCGCAAACCTCGCGTGATAGTACCGACACAACTTCCACAAGTCATGCCTTCGATACTGAGAGTGACTTTGTAATTGTCATCCTCAGCTTCCGGTTTGGGCTTCGCTTCTCCCAGAGGCTCGATCCCGTCAATTGCTGCCTCATAGCCTACGTCTTCGATCTCTGCAACGACTTTGTCTGAATTACTCTTCGGACCAGAATAGACTACTCGTGCAGTATTCGTCATAAGACTGACTTGGGCAGTTTCCACAAAGCTGAGATTGTGCAAAGCTTTAGTGATCGTGCTTGTGCACGATGCGCAGGTCATGCCACCAATGGAGACGGTGGCTGCATACCGTGGGCTGACGCTTTCGTCGGTTGAACCATTGATGTCAATTATTGCAGGTTTCTCGTCAACCAATGTATCGTTCGAGGCAGCAGTGGCCTCGTTGCTCGGGGGTTTCCTGCTCGGGCTTGATCGACGCTTCCGAGCCAGAGAAGACCAGCCTACTTTCGCTCCTGATTTTCGACCCTTCTCACGCTGGCATGCGTTACAGTTCTCGATGTGTTTGCGCTGGGCACGGGTCGTAAGCCATGTGGATCGAGAAGCTCGGGAGGATAAGGGTCTTCTTGGAACGTCGAACTCGTGGCTCTGGACACCATTTGGGTCGACGGTTGTGACATGCTCGACCTCGAAAGCCGCCTTGATTAGCTCGCTGATAATGATATCTCGGGTTGAGTCATGCGCGTGTCTGACGCGAATAAGGTGATCGACCAACGAAACATGGACGGATTGGATGCCGCTGACACCACGCAGTATATCCTGGACATAGGAGACGCATGACGGGCAGTGGATGTTTGACACTAATAGTGTGGTTGTGTAGGCCATGACGGAAGTGGTATGGGAGCTTGATCACTAGGGCAGGAGTGTATGAGCCCGTGTGTGACACGGTGGTGACAGAAGGGTGAGAATGTGATAGGAAAAGCAAGTTGAGTCACGAAGGTGTAGCACAATAGCAAACCTGCTGTACACCCCCCAGCTTTTGTCCTCAAAACATGCTGAGGATTTTGTGCGTAAAGCGATCGAGCACAATGGCCTCGAAGTGGTTGCAGACGTTGATCGAAGACGCGCCATTTGTGCGTAATCACGACGGAAGAAGTTCGCTTAATGGCAACTTCTGGTGACTTGCCAATCAGGATTAGGTAAGTGGATGTCACGTGCTGAGCTTCTCGCCTCACGTGTTTCATCTCCGACTTGTAAGATTCTCGGAGGTCGAGCCGACGACACGCAAATCAAGCAGCTTTCCATTTCACGCGGGCCTCGCACAATCGGGTCCAAAACGAGCTTCGATTCAGTCACTTGCTTGTGCCGGGAGAAATTATGTTGTTACTTTAATACGTTCGACGACTGTACGCTTTTGTCATCCCAATCAGAACACGAAACCACACGCTGAAGATCCCGAACAAGCTGGAATGGCGGCCCCACCAACTGATCCGAACGGCTCGAGCGAGACCAATGGCTATTGGGGCCATGTCGATGAGCTCCGTCAGCACACTCACGATACTTTCATTATGCATCCTGCTGTACCTCCTCTAAGCTTCCAGGCTACGTGCCACCGCACCAATGATCGCGCAGATTTAACCACCTCCAATCAAGCCAACAATCTTTCTCCCCAGGCACCATTCATGCCGTCCGCCGACCCTGGTCCAGGGCCTCGTCGTGAATTGTTTCCGGATATCTTGCCTCAAGGTCACACGCCGCCTCCGTCTATCAAAGATAGTATCCCTAACTTGAGAGGTGGGATGCCCGATTTCCCCAAAGGTGCCAAACCCGGGCCTGAAGATGCACAAACCGATAACGACCACGATTTCGAATATTCGACACCTTCGTCTAACGTGGATCAAGCCCCACGTTCTGTGAGCACTGCGGAGCACGCCGACTCTGCTACGATTATGGTCACGGGTCAGGTTCACACACCTGGCGCAACGGGGAGTGCGACAATCGCAGCCACGAAAAGGAATGGGTCTCGCAGAAACAAACAATATACTCTTCCTGATGGTTCAGTCGTGTCAGGGAAAGGGCTCGGTCGGGGGAGGCCTGGGATCAAGCGTGGACCAAGAAAGTCGCAGGTTGGGGATCAGCCATCGCCACAGGTAATGTCCGTCGACGGCGCTGATGCGTCCTCCCCCGGTCGAGGACCTGAGAGCAAGGAGCGTAAAAGTCCTGGTTCTGATTTCTCTCTCCGGTGGGCCTCGTCACCAGAACCGGCTGCATTGGATTCCGAAGAGAGCTCGGAGGAATATAATCCTACCCTACATACACGATCTGGAAGGCAGACACAGAAACCAACTCCCCTCACCAAGACTATTGCTGCGAGCGCGAGCGCAAGCGCAAGCCCGTCTGGCAAAGCTTCGCGCAATACGCCAAACGTGAATGGCAGCTCAACCTCGACTCCCTCCATCAAGACTCACCCGAAAATCAAACGAAGGATCTACCGTGGTCGCGAGCAGTTTGCACTGTGCGAACATTGCCTGCGCGGACATGGCCCACCAGGGAATGTTATTGTGTTCTGCGATGCATGCAACAAATGCTGGCACCAGCGTTGTCACGAACCTCAAATCTCGAAACAGACGGTTGCAGACACGAAAGCAGAATGGTACTGTTCCGAATGCGATCGGATCCTGCATGGCAAAAAGAAGGAGAAGAAGTCAACTGCAAAGATTAGCGCTCAGCCTGTGGTCGTTGCACCACCAGCCGTTCAGCAAGCGCCCACATATGCCGGACCGCTTGTAGGAGGACGCTTTCTAGCCCCCGAGCAGAAGCTTGCATATCTCAAAACGCTGTCCAAAGAGGACCTGGTTCTACGTCTGCTGCACGCTTCCGACCTCGCACCTGATCTGCCCATCTTTCAAACACTCGTGCCACCCGCGCCTCCTCCGGTGGTCATGCCTCAGGCTCAATTTACTTCCACGTATGTCACGCCGGTGTCCAAAGTGCCATCGTTTAGGAACAAGGATGGTGGGGAGGGTGACGAGGTGGATGAAGGTTACGACGGATACTATGATGAGCATGCAGCGCTGTATCCGAAGCCCGGGCATGGATTGCAGCTTCCGCCGGAAAGCGAGGATTTACATATGCTGCTGGAGGGCAAGGAGAGTAAAACATTCAGCCATTGGCAGAGGTCGACACCGGGCCCATTATTCAGTGGTTCGGGCAATATTTTTTCGGCAGCGCATTGAGCTCATTACGTGGGAGCTTGCCAACCTACAGACTTGTGTTTTCTAAATACTCAAGCTACTCGCCCACCTCATCGAGTTGAACACGGTCCTCCGAGGTAGTTCAGCGATGATCCTCGGATTCATGGTCGTAGATCCAGCAACGTAAAAGAGAATACAGGACCGCCGTGGCCCGATCAGGATAAAGTTGGCGGCCAACTCAGTACCGACCCCTACCTGGAACATGCCCTTGTGGTCTAAACCTATTTTTAGGTGGCACCAGAAAGAAGACGGATATCTTTTCCGCCCTTCGCTACAGTTTCCTCAAGCGTGGAGATTGTCCAGACGTCGAGCTTGCTATCATCACGTCGAATGTCGTCAGGTTTCTCCTTCTAAACCAGCAGAAGTGTCTCTCTGCTCTTGGAGCGACAGATCCACGCCTAGTTCGGGCTGTGGGTGGCCCTGCCATGGAAGCCGTACGCCTTACTCTTCTCGTTCGAGAGGGTGGTGAGATGCGACGCTTTCACCTAATCTTAAGCCAGATGAACATTACGACACATGACAACAGGCGTGCGGGACACTATGTCTTAGCTCTAAGGAAATGAACACTGATGTGGGTGGTTCTGGTATTGATGGTTGCTCTTTGCTGAATGGCTACACAAACGACCATTTTGTCTGCGATGGCTAGGTGACAAGTGACATTCGATGCCATACTATTTCAAATGCTTACAGTCTGCGATGGAACGAACGACGTGGCATGTCGACTGTTCGTGCACCATGACCTATGTATCATCTGGAGAATATGATGCAGCAAAGGGCCAGCGCTGCGCTTTCCCAGTGAGGACATAAAAAGTCAGCGCCTCATCCGGACCTTCATCTTCACTGATCTAGACCCTCACCTTCACTTGACCCGGAGCCTCATCTTTAGTGACCCGGATCTTTATCATGGCTTGTCGCAACCCACCTGGAGAGTTGTCACTGCCTCATCGAGCTCTAACTCTTCACTTTCTAGTCACGTTCAAGAGATAGTAATTTACTCCGCCAAGACTCTGATTAGTCGCGCACAATCGCGCGGCGATATCAAGGTGAGACACAGGTTGTCCGGCATCGCTTACCTTTACACTACAGAGATCCGGCCGATCTTGAAACCATCAATGGTATGGCCATGATCAGAGCTTACATCCCTCCGGGCCCTGACGGCCTGTTGCCGGAGCGCGTTTCCGCGAGCATTCTCTCTCCTGACCCACGTCCTCCACTCAGCTTCACCGACGACGGCCCTGGTAGGCTTTCGCAGCTTGGACCACGACACAACAACGACCACGATGACTTCAGGAAAATCAAGATTCTGCCAACCCCTGATGAAATCCTCGCGGTCGATCGGCCTGTCTATATGCCTAAGAAAGACCTGATCCAAAAGCACTTTCTCGACAACGGACCCGGCAGACACCTAGACACCCTCTTCAGACAATTGAGGTGCGACAGCACAGAAATGATCCGAGATATCTGCTACTCCGCGGCACAAATCGCCTTCCTGAAGACCGGCATAGATTCGGAGGCCCATGTGCGACAGGAGACAAACGCAGGCCATCGGTATTTCTTGTATCGCAACATCAAGGTGCAAGAACTACTCTCTCATGAGCACAAATCTATGGTGGTCCGCGTCAGCTATGATTGTCCCCCTTTCATGCGAGGTCGGAAGCTGTACGACGCTGGTCACTTTCAGAGAGGCATGCTCGTTGCCCTGCTTCAGTTGAACAATACCACAATGGAGTTCTCAGTCTACTATATGGAAGTCAGCCTAGCTCAGACCACCTTCTCCATGGATGCCTTCGACGGTCGCGGCACCCAAGCTGCCGTCCAACTCTCCTTTCTCCCACCGAGTAGCCATGACGACATCCTGCAACTCTGCCGTCACGCACTTAGACTGAAGACGGACAATGAGCTCTACCTCGTCGAATTCCCGAAAGTTCTCTTTGCAGGCTTTTACAACTGCCTCAAGTGTTTGCAGGACATGAAAGATTCAGACTTCGCCTTTTCGCAGTATGTCGCCCCGCGAGTCCATGTTGAAGACGCGCTGCTCGCGCGGGAGCTGAATTCCGCTGTCGGATTACCACCATATTTCCCGTGCCTTCCACCGTCCTATGCACGCGCTCCAGATTTCAAGTACAATCTCGCGAAGATTGTAGGACCTCATTCCCCGATCACTTCTGTGTCTCTAGAAGACCTGTGCCAGCCATCCACGCTCGATATCCTCAAACGCGAAACGACCTTGGATGAAGGTCAAGCTGTGGCATTCAGAGACAGTCTTATACGTGATTTTGCTTGCACGCAGGGTCCGCCGGGTTGTGGGAAATCCTATCTGGGTCTGAAAGTGGCGCAGGCAGTCCTTGAGTCCCGAACGGCGCAGAAGCCTGTCTTGCTGGTCTGTCTTACAAACCATGCTTTAGACAACTTCCTTGCTGACCTCCGAGACGCTGGGGTATTTGGTCTCCTTCGGGTTGGATCAGGCAGCAAGGAGGAATGGACTGACAGCATAAACATCCGCGGCCTCAGACGGAAGACTCGATTCAAGAGAGAGGAATCCAATGTGTTGCATACTCATGCGCTGCAAAAGAAAGAGTCTCTTGCTGGCTTGGATGAATTGTGCAAAGGTACTACATCTCCTTCCTTAGCCGAACAAACACGACTAACGTCTATAGCTGTTTCTTGTCAAACTCATACTGGCGTGACCCCTTGGCATTATGTTCGAGACGTACTGTGTAGCGACCACCAGGATATTCACGCACAATTCACAACAACCGCCAAGGTTTCTCTGGCTCAATCTTTTACGTTCGAATACTGGTCCGCTGGAGGAGATCTGGAAACGATCCGGGATCTTCACCTTGAGTTGGCAACTAGGCTCGCTCAAGTGTCCGCAAGTCATGATAAACGCCCCGAAGAGGACGTCGACAAGCTGCTGTTTGACCTGTCATGGGATGCCGAGCTACGGAGCTTTAGTGCTGGTCTCTCTAGCATTTGGAACATGCCATTGGCAGAACGCCAGTCACTGATTAAGAGCTGGGAGAAGCAAGTTAATAAAGAGGCTCTCGCGCAGAAGATGATGTCGCTCTATCTCGAGTCTCAACATCACGAACGGGAAATCGAGAGGGTTCAAAACGAGCGCGATGGCCGCATCATGGCAGCACACAACATCATTGCAATGACAACGACCGTGAGTTTTCTTTTGCTTAATCCCGGGTTCTTTCCACGGGGACGTTTCCCAAGCAGGAGCAGTGTCAAGGCGTCCGTACTCGTCCGCCCCTTTGTCGTCTAATTTGTAGCTCCGAGCAGAATCTGACTGGTTTATAGGCGTGTGCTGCCCGTTGGGAGGTGCTTCGATCGCTCGATCTCCAGATACTCATTTGCGAAGAAGCTGCAGAAGTCATGGAGGCCCACACCTTGTGCTCCCTGTTGCCTTCCCTCGAACACGCAATCTTCATTGGCGATCCACAGCAGCTGCGACCCGAGGCAAACGAGCAAATGTTAAGCCTGGAGTCTAGGGTCGGGCGACAATATCGGCTGGATGAATCTTTACTAGAGCGGCTGATGATGCCTCAGGATGTGTGCGCATACAGTCTACCAGCAAGCCATTTGAGCGTCCAACGCCGTATGCACCCTCAGATCGCCGACATCACTCGTTTGACGTATCCTTATCTGGAAGATCATGAATCCACACACGTGCGGTCTCCAGTCCAAGGTCTAGCACAGCGCATGTTCTGGTGGGACCACCGGATTCCTGAGCTCGAGTCGGACGATCTGAAATCGCATGCCAATCTCCATGAAGTGGAAATGGTAGCCTCACTGGTTGAGTATCTCCTACGGCGTGGTGCTTATGAGCAAGCTGAAATCGCTGTCCTCACCCCATATGCTGGCCAGCTCCTGAGATTATACAAGCGACTGGGAGCAACCTGCGACATCTGGCTTTCCGAGAAAGATCGAGCAGCGTTGCTCGAAGAGGAGGTCCTCGCGCTAGGAGAGGAAGGCCGCACCACTAAAGACGAAGTTGTCATGTCCAACATGCTCAGAATTGCCACGGTTGACAATTTTCAAGGCCAAGAAGCCAAAGTGATCATCCTGAGCACCGTCCGCAGTGGAGGCAAGGCAGGATTCTTGAAGACCCTCAACAGAATCAATGTCGCTTGTAGCAGGGCTCGAAACGGTGAGTTCTTCCCCTCCACGCCAGAATCTTCCACGCTTCACGCAGCGCTAGTGTTGTGGTCTTCAACATAGACTAATAACATTTATTGACAGGATTCTATGTAATCGGAAACTCTCAGACATTGTCACAGGTCCCGATGTGGAGACAAATCATCCAAGTCTTCAATGGCAGGATCGGGGCGTCGATCATGACTATTTGCCATGCTCATCCCGAACACAATCAACTTGTCCAGCAGCCAGAGGACTTCACCAGAGTGAAGGAGTGCTCTTCCATCTGTAATCAGGCGCTGGACTGCGGCCATAATTGCCGTCGGCTCTGCCATCCTGCTCAGCTTCATGCACGCTTGGTCTGCGAGGAAGAGTGCATGAAAGTCTTCGACTGCGGCCACCGATGTTCCAAGAGCTGCTACCAGGATTGCGGAGAATGTACAGTCTCTGTCGACAACGTCACACTTGAATGTGGACACCCTGGACAGCGTCTTTGTGCCGGAGGCATTTCTACGTGCACGACCATCACTGCCAGCAAACAATTACCTTGTGGCCACAATGCCAATATTCTTTGTGGAGAAGACCCAAATGCCAACGTTGTTTGCCAACACTCGTGTGGAGCGTGGCTCCCTTGCCAGCACACGTGCAAGGACATATGTGGGAATTGCAACAGCAATGAGAAGAGCCACCCGCCGTGCGTTGAAATCTGCGGTTTATCAAAAGCCTGTCGTCACAAATGCAAGGAAATTTGTCATGATGCTGGAAAGGCCTGCCCGACAGGATGCCTTGAACCATGTACTGACCGCTGTGAGCATGGGCCATGTAAGCGTCGTTGTGGAGACAGTTGTGACCCATGTGTCAAGCAAACCGTTCCTGGCTGCAAACACGATGCAACGGATATGCTGTGTTGCTTACCGAGCTTATCACTACCCTGCAGCCAGAGATGTCCGAAGACTCTTGACTGTGGTCACGCTTGTCCTTCATTGGAAGGCGAGACATGTCCGCCTTCGAAGGTCTGTTCGGAATGTACGACAGGCGAGACAGGACCTACAGTACTTTACTCACCAAATTGTGGGCACTCGGTGGAGGTTTCACAGTTGGATACCATCAATCTCCTCGGCGTGTACAAGGTCGACACCAATGGGACTATCCTAGCAATCAACTCCGACATCCGCTTGCCATCTCTCGACGAGCCAAGATGCGTATGTGGAGCACCTTTGGAAGGCACGCGACGGTATAGAATCCACTCCAAGTTGGTAAGATTCAACACCACTCTGGATCTCCTTCTCGCCAAAACGGGACGTAAGCTGGCCAACTTTGGATCCGCGGTCGAGACACTGGAGAAGCAACTTGACGAAACGTTTGACGCATTTGTCGAGGCCATTCGTCCCAACCCACTGGCTGCTAAGGCCAATGCCGCTCTCCTCTTGCGTCGGTCCCGGGAGATTCTCGACCTGCAAAATCAGATCACGGATTTCCGGAAGAACGTTGTCGATCTGGTCCAGCGCGACCTCGCGCGTTTGAATAACGCGTTTCCCAACATCGTGCCATCCTACACTCTGATGTTCCATCTTCACTTCGATGTACTGGGATACCGCGTCGTCAGCGTACGTCTTAGTGATGCCTTGAAGCTGGGAAATCAACTTCTGAAATTGCAGGACCCATCTTTCAGTGTCCAGCGTCAAGGTCTGAAGATGATACAATTCGTCCACCGAGAGTCGATTGCTTGGGTCGGTTTGTGCAAGCACGCCTTGGCTGACCCACTACTCATGACCAACCCGTCTCTCGAAGCCGAGATTAGGCTGCTGCAGTTGCAGTTCCTTATTTACGCCAAATCGACAAGAGTCCAGTTGGTACACCTTGGCAGTCCGGTCGAAGACACCGCGCTTGCTATGGACGAAGATGCCATCAAAACTAGCTTGGATATCGCCACGAAATTCAGTCGAAGTTCCCCTCGTACATGTGCTCCTTTCGGCCAGACTGCACGAGATTTTGCCGATATCTTCGCTGCCGCGAACGAGGTCTCGACGTCTTCACCGATCCCGGCAATCAAGAACGCTCATGTGCGTGAGATTGAAAAGCTCTGGGGGCAACACAAACTCGGTCACCTGAAAACCTGTGCCAAGAGGCACATTTACTCTTCAAAGACATTCTGCGACGCCTGTCCCGAATGCGGAAAGGAGGCCTCAGTCTCTAGCAACGAGGTCTTCCGTGAGTCTTCGAAGCACCTGTTCGAGAGTCAATTCTTGGAGGCAATGCACGCTAGGCCAACCAGTTCTCGCCATGTTGAATCGACCACGGCTGAGAGCCCGGAGACAGACCGACGACCAAGCAATGATCAGCCTGTGTTGGAAGAAGAGGTGCCCGAGCAACCAGACAGAGAATTGACCCAGGAGGAGCGATTTCTCATAGCCATGAGGAACAACTTGCCAAAGATTCATGGTGGATGCCAATTGCCGAGAGTCTGAGACGCCATCAGAAGGAACCTGAGACATCGGTGGGAGAGAAGAACATGAGTTAGTCGGGAAGCGGGTACGGGAGTGGGAGCAGAAGCAGAAGCAGAAGCAGCACCGTTTGATTGCGTGACTGGTAGGGAAAATATCCTGGATCGGGTTGAGCATGACAACGCAGCCCTTTGGCGGTAAAAAGGCTTCTTGTAGGGATGAGGAGAGTCACAGGAGCCTGAGCAAAAGTCAGGATTTCGAAAACAGGAAACAATGTGGGCGATGTGAATGTGCATGGATAGTCTGCTCAAGACAAGTCAGTGGCTTGAACCGGAACCGGATCGCCGCACCATAGAAAAGAACGCGGGTACTCGTACTACTTACTGTACAAGCCGGAGCAATGAATGGTTACGACTCACTCACTCGAGCGGATAATTAGTTGGTTTCTACCACGTGTGTTTTTATCTCTTGCCCGTCCCTCGGGAACTTCTTCTCCTGACCACCGTCGCCCTCCCTGCCGAGCCGGCCTGCTCGCTCTCCATGCTCGTGCCGATGCCCGAGTCGAAAGCCCTGCCTCTGATCTCCTGGTCCTCTTGCCTGCCGTCACCCTGGTCCTGGTCGTGGTCCCCTTCGTCCTCATCGTCAGCCGCTTCATCAACACCCATTGGACGTCTGAGATGTTCTTCTTCTTCTTCTTCTTCTGCATCGTCACCACCACCACCACCACCACCACCACCACCACGGCCTCCAACCACTTCCGCAGCGTGTGTGCGTGTGCCTGATCCTGAACCTGAACTTAACCGTCCAGAGTACGTCAACGGCGGTCGGCCACGCCTCGTGGGATACTGGGCGGGCGTGTCCGAGAGATTCGACATGGACAATCCGCCGTGGGGAGACGAGTCAGGATCCTCGTCTTCTGTTTTAATTTTTGTAACGCCACCACCACTATCATCCTCGGCCTTGATGCGGCGTTGTTCCGGCTCCTCGTCTTCGGCCTCGCGCTTGATCTTCTTCCCTTCGCCGGCGAGTAGACTCCTCTTTGTATCTGGCTGGGTGCTGATCTTGAGCTTGCTCCAGAAATGCGCCATGAGGCCCCACCCCAACAGCATACTCGTCACGGCGACTGTGTAGAACAGCGCGGAGAAGACGACGAAGCTGACGCCCCTGTAATTGTAGACCACGTACCTCAACCCCTGGAATTGGGCCCGGAAGACCAGCCTGGCAGAGTAAACGCGGAGGGTCTCTCGCGATTGCACCTCTACCTTTGCGTGCGTGGGGATGACATTTCCCATCCTTCGTCCCGTGCTTCCACCGTGGGATCGCCGCCGGTCGAACACGAGCATCTCGAACATGGGGACCACGAGAGTCGAGCGATCCGAGTCCCGCATCCCGAGGATATGGAACGGGAGGTAGACCAGCGTTCGGGTCAGTGCGGGGACGGGGCTCGCGAAGGGCAAGATGGCGGGTCTGCGTGAGCGATGGAGCACGTCGTCTGAGCGGATCATCGTCGAGGTGTCCAGTGGTGGTGGTGGAGGACTACTGCTAGAAACATCACCGGCGGGCGGCTTGGCATGTGGCGCGTCGTCGGGATCCCCACCTAGCAGAGACAGGTCGAGCATGAAGTTGCCGGCGTTGAGGTTCGTGGCGCAGCGAGGCATTTCCAGAATCAAGGACACGTCGTACGCTTGGTTGGCGATCAGGGCGGTGGTGTCCAGCGCGACAATGGCGTAGGGGTGTTCGTGGTCATGACCGGCCCCTGCCCTAGCCCCTGCGCCGCCATATTGTAGGTACAAGGTACGCTCGAGGTTGATCTGGGGGATATAATTGTAGTAGAAGAAGGCGTAGGCGGAGGAGGAGACGGTGAGCAGGACGGCCGAGGTGGTCAGGAAGAGGATAGTCGCGAGGTAGACCTTGATGGCGGCGCGGGAGGTCAAGATGCGCAGCGGCGCGAGGGCGAGTCTCTGAGGCAGTGACGGTGAGACGGCGGCGACGGTAAGGGGGGCAGCAAATAGAAGAGGGGCAAACCTACAATTGCTCGCCTTGTCAGAGATTCCCCTTCCTCGTCGTAGCCGTAGTTGTTCTTCTGGTAGCTGGCATTCGCCATTTTGCGGCGTTGAACTGGCACTTCGTCAACCAGGCAGACGCGTCATGGTGACCAGGGGAACTCCCAGACACGACAGCCGCGAGGTCACTGTCAAGTGTCTACTTTATGGGGCCATGAGGCTTGCACCAGTGACCATGTATGCAAACAGAGCACGTCGACATGCTGCCAGATTTCTTGTCCCGGCCAAAATTGTTGAGACGCGTTCGGATTTCAAGGCGCGGGAAAATGACGTCACCTCGAGACGGACGCTGGTGACGCTGGCGACGCGCTCAAGCAACTGGCGAAGATGACCGGAGATGACTTCAAGCATTAACCATTACAGTTTCGTCGCTTGCTATGGCAAGCCTAAACCTGTTCATACGCCAGGGGTATTCCATTATCTGTAAGCATCAGTGGTGCGCAATCGCTTTTGCTTTTCTTCCTCCACTTGTCCATAGTAATTAACACAGCCGCGAGTAGGGAAACCAGCTATCGGACTCAATACCTCACGAGTCTCTGCCACAGTGGCATCTCCTTGACCTGTTCCTCGTGCCAGACAAGTTTGTTCTTCTCATCGAGCTCAGCGTGCGAGTCCGTGCTCGGGATGCCCGCCTCTCTGTTCTCCGCGACCACCATGCGACTGACACCAGACTTGTCCTGTGCCAGCCAGATGACCGGTGCCTGATCGGTGATGGCAGGATTGACGTACGACTGTTCATATTCCTCTGGGGTATATCCTGGGATCCAGTCTTCCGAGTCGGCCGAGTCGGGGACAATCTTTTTGTTACTCTCGTAGAACTTCAACGCGAGTGGCTCAATGCGTCGGCTCAAGAAGTTGAATGGTGGGGATTTGGACTGCGTCTTCTTGCCCGGTTGGTCGCCGGCTTCCTCGGCTTTGATGGTGCCAACCTCTGTCGGGACGGTTGAGTTGCCACGGGTCGATGAGCCAGCGCCAATCTCCATATTGTCGTGCTTCAAATGTTGTTCGTCCATGAACTGCTCCATGATCGTGGTGCTGAACTTGTTACTGTTCAACAACTCTAGTGGCATGTGTTGCTCCAATGGCGCCATGGCACGGTCGAACATGAATTGGAAGATGACAACCACAACCAGGAAAACGATCATGATGGCTAGCGGGCCTGCACTGGCCGCGCTCTTGCTGCACCCAATGGCGAAAAGCCCGACGAGGCACAGAGAGGCCAGATATACTCCCGTCATCAGTTGTTTCAATGCCCTCGAGTACGCCTCGCCCTTTGTGTCGAATCTGTTGCCGAAGACGAACAGCCAGTTGTATCTGAACATCAGGTAGAGCAGACAGAATCCGATCGTGGCGAAGCCGAGCACCAGCGGGGCAATGCACGAGTACGAGACGGCGATCACTCCGAGGAGGGTGAACTTGGGATAAGTCGAGCCCCACCCGATGCCTGGGAGGTTGACGAAACGGTTGTACTTTTTGCGTGGAGTCTTGTCCAAAAACTTGCCCAGCAGAACGTACATCAGCAATGGGACGATGTTGAGCAACTGGAGAGCCGCCTGCATCAACCCGAAGAGAATGAAATAACTGATATAGAAGTTGGACGCCTTGGGCAAGTTGGTCGCCAGCAGGCTGGGTGCCGAGCCAGGGTTCTGAACGATTTGAGTGGTCACCGCACTGGCACCTGTTTGCTGGTCAGTATCGTGCAACACATCCAGTTCGGGATTCAGACGTACTGGAGGCAAATGTGGTGATGAGGAAGACCTGCACCACTTGGAAGGCGAAATACCATGACTGCACCTTGAGCTGGATGGCCGACTGCGTTGGCTCTCCCGCGTACTTGGCCAGTAAGCCGCAGAAGATGGGTACAAGTGCCATGAGGATTGCCAGGAGTACCACAGGCAACAAGCCAGTGACGACACCCAAGACTACCTTTGGAATTTTGTTGATGAAGCTCAAGAAGGAGACCTTATTGGTGAGATAGTTGATGTTGGACAATGCACCTACGAAGGTAACTGGAATGGCCCAGAAAATAATCATGACCCAGATGATGACCGTAGCAATGATGATCTTGACCTTCCGGGAGCTGTAGGTCGTGCCCAAGTTCTGCCAGACGACCTCACTGGGTTGCACGCCAATGTAGCGAGGAGAGAACTTGGTCCTGGAGTCGCGGCCAACGGATTGGTAGGCATCGTGCGCGGCCGTCTGGTTAGAGAACTCGATGAAGGCGGCGGAGACCTTGGTGTGATTGAGGTCGAGATGCTCATTCTGCTGCTCGGGGATGTACCGATTTAGTTCTTCCAGTCTGCCTCGGGACCAGTTGATAGTATCGACCTTTTTCCACAATTGAGGCATCAGTCTGTGCTTGGGACGTTTCTTTTCATTGATCCAGCGCTTGGGCTCTAAACCAGCAGCTTCAGATGAGTTTGCCGCGTTGGATTTCTTCTCGGCCTTCAGTCGGTTGGCATTGGCTTGCTTGATGAGTTTCATCTCGGCACCTTCGAGTTTCAAGGCTGTCTTTGTCCTCTCCTTGACATCTTTCTCGAGCTTCTTGCAGTCTGTCACAAGCCAGACCCGCCGCACGGCGGCGCCGAACATCTGTCGTAGCGGCTTTTCCTCCATGTACCCATGAGGCAATCCCATGACCAAGATAGTTCTTGAAGAAAGACGTTGTGCGTGCGCGGCAGACAGGAAGTAGGCTCTCCGTAGCCCAACGAAATTGAGTCTTTCGCGCGCAATCAGGAGAGTGACGAAGCCCAAGTAGACGCAGGCGACGAGAGCATGAGCGTAGTACCTCTTCGGGTCGGCAACATTGCTCATACTCAGGATGTCGAGTTGCTCTTGGCCGCCATGTCCCGTGGCATTGACGGGGAAGAGGACGGGCCAAGTGATGCAGCAGCCAACCAGGCACATGACAATCAACACCTTGAACATGCGAAGCCAGAGATAACCGTCCAGAGAGTTGTGACCGAGAACATAGGCGTCGGGAAGGGAAGAGTAGTTGCGAAGAAGGCCAAAGAAGCCTGACTTGGATTGAGGCGTTGTCCATCCTTTCGCAAGGAGACTGTCGTTGGTTCTGGGTCGGTAGACACGAGAGTAGCGGGTTCGAACGAGGAGGAAGACGACCAGGGCGACGATGGCAATGATGGCAGTGGGAACCAACGTCGACACGATGCCAGAAAGCGAGTTGGAGCCTTGGTCGCGATTAGATCCCGCCGACTGCGTGGCACGTCAGTCAGTGAGCGCAGCGGCAGAGACAAGCCGGACAACGTACCTGGCGGGGATACAGCATGTGAGTAGCGGTGCCCTCCATCTTGAAGCACAAGGCCGGAATGACAGCCTCGCAGGGCCAGGCCAGTAAGCGAGCAGGACGTGCAGTAAGACTCGGCTGAACTCGCTTATCTTCTGGAGGGCGAGGCGAGAGCAAACAAAGGGCGAAAGATCCGCGCTTGAAATGAAGGTGGGAGACCAAACAGGATGTTTATATCACAAGTACGGAGAACGGAGTACGAGGACTAAGATGGTCATTCTGGGCTGGTGGCCCCTCTGATACTGTGGCTTGTTCGCTGCTGTCTGCATGAGCTCACACATGACGCTGTGTTATGTGAAGTCTTGAAGATCGACCACCGCGAACGCTTGGGCTTTCCTGCCTGCGGAACCTTGATTCCTCAGTCGCACCTGCCATTCGACCATTTGGAATCTGGCCATCGGACCCGCTGCAATAGCCCGGGCAGAAGCCACCACCATCACTGGCAATTTCCCCACCTTCAGCTGCTTTGGGCGTCGGGAAGCCACAGCAGACTGAAGCGGTGGTGGTGGTGGCTGGAGCGAGTGATGTCAACCCACATTCGCGGGAATGACATGTTTCATGCAGCCGGAGCCAATGCCAATGCGGGCAAGTCGAAAACCCGGTTTTCAACTAGTGACACGCCACACAAAGCCGCCAGATTGACCAGATTCGGCAAGGGAATGATGTCAGCAAAATTGCTGCCCCGGCACCTGACCAGCTCCAGGACGAAGACAAACGATGCACCAAGACCGACGCGATCGTGGAGGGCTGACTTTACTTTCATTCAAAAGTCATCTATGTTACACAAAATATTGATCAAGTGGCTGGACCAGGTTCCCAGCAAGCCAGAGGAGGCTGCGAGCTGTCCTTGGTGTCCCTGCCTGAACACGGGCCCGTCGACGAACACCTCGATGGCCTCCACAAACGAGCGACTGTTCCCTTTTCCTGCCATGCCATGCCATCGAGCATTACGAATAGGACTCTTGCTTTTCTTCCCATCGCAGTAATTTTCAAGTCATAAGAACACCGGTCATTCCTCGTGTGATGATTATGTCCGTTGGCCTTGTGCTCTCCGTCCGCATATAGGGCCGGGATTCCATGCCCTGCTAATTCAGTGCTCCGTCATATGCATGATACCGCAAAGGTGACCATCGCCATGTCGTCCGGGCCTCCCACACACCCAAATCACGAGAACAGTGTACAAGAAAGGAATTTCAACCCCCGGTCGTGGTTCCGTCTCGCCTTCCGCCTTTCGCTGGATATATACACCAGTATCTCTTCTCACACTAGTGAGCAGTCCGCATCGCTTGTTGCAACCGCTGTTGCATGTTCGACTCGGGCGCTAGGTTCTCCCAGAACCCATAACTGCCATTTTGCTGTAGTTCCAGGAACAGGATGGTCATGCCCCAGACGTGTGGGCGGGCAACCGTCAGTCGTTCGTAGACGACTCGCGATATCTGTTCCCGAAGTTCGCGCTGTGGTTCATCAACATTGCCGGATCCCCAAAGGTGAAGCATGAGCTTGCAGAAGAAGTCCGTATGGGTGCTGGGGTACCGAATCTGGTCTGCAATGGCATTGAGGACTTGATACCGACCCTCGTAGCCGAGACTGAGCGCGAGCTTGGTCGTGAACACCACCGGTGCCGAGTTGCCGTCGAATCTACCGGGGGAGTTGCTCAGTGCCTCTTGGCCAATGAACGGCACCAGGGCGTTGATGATCTCGACACTCTTCGCCGGTCCCATAGCTGTCGACCGCACC